GTGGGGGTAGGGGTTTCGGTTGGCGTTGGGGTGGGGGTGGGAGTAGGGGTTTCGGTTGGCGTAGGGGTGGGGGTTGGAGTTGGGGTGTCGGTTGGCGTGGGGGTAGGGGCGTCGGTCGCGGCAGCGGCTTTGTTGGCAGCGGCGCCGGGTCCCAACGGGGAGGGAGGGGGGTTGTTCCCAGGCATGAACGACGCGCACTGGGCCTGTGTGTTGTGGTTCAGCTCGTTGGTGTCCCCCTGGAAGAGAAAGTTAGACACAGGTTCAGACTAATGAACCAACAGTAGAAAATAAGATGTGAAAATTCCAAGTAATATGAGTACAATGCAATCAAGCTTGCCTCGAAAAAAGGGAAAGCTTCAGAACGCAGTGAGGATCGAGTTTAAAGTATTGCAGGAGTCGAGTGAAACGTCAAATGCCGACATCCAGGAGCAAAGTCCTTGACAAGCCTGGATGTGCGGGAAAGGTTGAGGTTGCTGAAAGACACGAGGCTTCGAGAAGAAGATCAATTGTGGAAGGCAACAATTTGCGAGGACAGGGGCCGTCACTCAAGATCTGGCCTGATTGAGCTTCGAAGCGATAAAACGGCAACTAGCAGTTGGATTCACAGGACAGAGGCTTTGAAGTTCTTTGCGGATACAACCTAAAACGTCTTCAAGATTCTCGACACAAGATCGGGCTACAAAGGATGATTGCTTTGAAGGTTCTCGACAAAAGATCGGCTACGAAGGATGACTGCTCTGAAATGAAGGCACCTATAAGCTCCTGAGATGACCAATCAATCGATGAAAACGGGAGAAATGGTTGTGGCAATCCTGAGACATTGTCAAACCAGGCTCAGTGATTCGATCACAACACAACGGAAAAAGAGGCAGCCAAGCATGCACCATGTAATTTGGCAAGAAACCATTCTGAGTACTCTGAAACCAGATTATTGTTTGCAGCAGCACAAAGACAATCGGTCAACTGAAAGCGATAAGAGTTAAAAAAGCAGTGAGCTTTGACGATCTGGTGAGGAGAATGACAAGTAAATCTGACAAGACTCGAAAGTATGAAGTATAACTTTGCAAGTTGCGATTCCAAAGTTCAGCACATCCACAACTCGTTAGCAAGGGACCATCGAACAAGCCAAAAAAAGACTTCGAAGCAAATAGTACTTGACGAAGGTGCGTGCATGAAGTAAGCAAAGTTGGCAAGGAAAACTCACATAGTTGTAGCAAGTGTAAGGCCCCGAGTCAGGAACGGGGGTATGGGGGCACGAGCAGAGCGTTGTTCCACCAGGGCTGCACGAGAAAAGCAGAAAAGAAGGTTAAAAACCCGGTTTACTGAACTCTGTTCTTTGATCTTAATCGTTGAATTAGTGAAGGCTTTTTGAGAGGGTTTGTCACAGGTCTGAACCTGCTTGCACGGCACAGGGCAATTGGCATGTCCGTTTTGTAGTGCTCTGTGAGATAGTCTCTGTGAGAATTTGGTGACCGTTTGGGGCTAGCTCAACCCCCCTTCACGTTTTGCTACTGTTAAGTGTGTCTCCTGTGTCCTAGCCCCCTTGCAAACCTTGCTGACTGACCTAGAATGCTCAATCCCCAGTGATGACAGACTGTCGAGCAGCCAAGACGAAGCCATAAGGTGGAAATTGGTGCTGCTAATCTGGTTTCAATCTTCACCGCAGGTTGCAGTGGCCTGCGAAACTTGTAGAAGATGCACTATAGTCTTCCAAGCCTCTGGGATCTGGTGCTTGTCCTCTGCACCAGATCCTCCTTAAGATCAGGTAGGCAATCATGGGGGCAAGCTTCCAAAGAGTCAGCCCTTCCTCTGGCCACAGCAGCGACCTTGTGATTCACTAATATTGCTCGTGTTGTTGCTTGTGTCCAGATGTTTGCATGTACCTTTGAGCAGGTTCGACTTATGCAGGCCAAAGTTGCGGCACTCTGCCGTAAGCGCAACTTAGAGACCTGATCCACTCATCTCGAGTTTTCAAAATTGTCCAACTGTTCAGCAAATCAGACAGCCGAACAGACACAACAACCCTTCAAGGTACCCCCTTATATGACTGCCAGTCTCTTTGGTATGGGACTGGTGTCTTGGAGAGACAGTGGAAATCTCCGATCTTTGAGTTGCTGACAAAGAAAGAAACCTCCAAAAACTCTGAGACGAACAATCTTGCAGAATGGCTGCGAGATTCTTTCTGCTATCTCAGCTGTCAGTAGACTTCATTCCTGCTAGCCCTTCCTCTTCCTGGGACTCATAATTGCAGTTTTCTCATATACTGCTAGGCCACCGAGCTAGTAATTAGTTAACCTAATCACCCCTTTCGAGTGTGAGGACCTATGCCCCTGCTTATCTTATGTTAAGATCCTGACACAGCCAAAAGCTTGATAGGTCCTCAGATTCGCTAGCACCCCTTCCAAAAGAAGCATGCCATGGAACAAGAAGTACCCCTGGTATGCCACATAACAAACCCCCCCTTCCTAGGCAGACCAAAACCAAGACAAGTAGTCTGAGCAGCAAATCCTCGACACTGGGGAAACTCCCAATGCATCATCGTGTGCTGTTTCTTATGGCCTTTCCTGGACCTCTGCAAAGCTTCTTCCTGGTCCTTGAGTATCATAAAGCTGATCATCCTTGTGCAGACCAGCCATAAAGAGTCCCAAGCATTCTCATGGTGTCAAACTGTTGTGAGCAGACAGCTACTTCCTCTCCACAAGCTGTTTGGTGTTCTCCCTCATCTGAAGACCCCCTTGTTTGTTACCCAGCACAAGGGAAAAGCTTTCCCAAGAACTCTCAACTCTCACCAACTCGGCAAGAAGAAACAGCTTCTGGTGGAAAGCAAGCTCTAATGTCTCAAGAGAGAGTTTCACAAAATGCAACTTTCAAGAGCCTTGTGAATGCCATGATCTTTTCTAAGATACAGAACTTCTGCAAGAAACCAAGCTCACCAGCAGTACTGCACCAGACCACTCTGCGTGAAACACGTCTCGTGCGTGTTCGGCGTCTGTCCATTTATCGCCCCATCGTACGGATCATCCGAAGGGAATGAGCCACACGCCCCCGCACTCTGCACCAGCCGCCGCTGTCCGACAGAGTGAATGAGGCCCCCTGTGCTGCTCGTCCGAACTGTCCGGTCTCTGTGGATCCTGTACCCCTCGACTGCCGGATGCTGAAATAATGTCAGCACCAGCAGAACCGCCACCAACAGGGTGGCCGCCATCTGCTAGAGCTGCCAGAAGCGCACAACTTTGTCACCCCGACAGGCTTTTTGGTTTCCACTTGGGTGGACTTTTCCTGACAGGCGCTTCACCGCTAGCTAGCCTGATCTGGCCTATAAGGGAAGCTCTCTTTCTTGGCTTCAACCAGTACCTTAACCTGAAATGCACGATAAGCCTTTCTGATCCCACACCGCTCTTCTCTAGAAATGCAATGCAGTGCTTCCTCCAATCTTGCCTGCCCCAGGTGGCCTTCGTGAGCTGCAATCTGCCACTAGACGACACAGCTCTCCTTCTAAAAATGCAGACCGTCTGTCTTCCAACTTTCTGATGATGTTGTGATGGAAGCATCTGTGTAACATTCCTGTCACGTCTCCTGAGGGAGGTAGCACATGGTAGCCCCATCCTAAGAGCTAGCTAGAGCCTTGACCAAGCTCACGTGCGGGTCGCAGAAAGCAAGGGGAGGGTGCGGTTCGGGCAAACTCGCCCCGCGCCTTTCCTGCGGGGAGAAACAACCAGCATCCTGCAAAACGATGGTCTTCCCAGTCTTGCACACCTCGCGAAAGGACAGAATCCCGCCCCGCCTGCCATTATTGTTCTCCTCTCCGGTGATTGAGGACGTGGTCAACGCCGGATCTTCGTAATGTCGAAACCAGACTCTTCAGGGGGCTAAGGACGTAGCTAATTTGACCCCCTAGACTCAGGAACGGCCGAATGTATTTGATACGACCCCGGCCAGCGGCGCCATTATTGGCGACGCCCCTGTCATTATTGCTTGAGTTGGTTTGCTTGTCCCGCGTTGTTCGCAAGCTCGGACCTGTGAACCTTTCGACTTCCCGACTGCTTTTGCTGCAAACTTGCCAAGCGGCCCATCATGTTGAAAGAGTCTTCTAGCCTGGACCCGATTCTTTTGGACAGAACAGACAAGACGACCTCCTTAGAGCGTAAATTCGTTCAAAAGTCTTCTGACCAGACCCAAACCATCTGCCGCAAGTTACGGAGGTCAACTTGGTTCGGTATCCACTGTCGATTTCCATCCAAAAACCCTCCCCCTGGACTGACCCTCGATTCTTGGGTAGAGGCTCAAACCCACAATTCATAGGGCCTATCTCCGAAATATCGCCGAGAGTTTCGGAACCCGATGTGGTGCAATACAGCCGTTCGATGAACCCGGTGGAACTTTTTGACCACTCGATGAGAATTGCTCGGACCGACTTGCTGACTGCTAACTTACTGTTAACCAGTCTCACACTAACCATAACCTTGGCACGGGTGCCACGCGAGGATCCAGGAGACGATGAAACGACTGGGGCTCCAATGCGAGACCCCCGGGCACGCGTTGCGAATGTTGTTTCCAGTCGGGCGTGCCGCTGAAACGAATCACAACGCGCCACGTAGGGCATATGCCCATTAGAGGCGAATGCTTTCGACACATTTGCCCTGCTAAAGCTGGTCACGCAGACTGCAACAGGTGGGCGTTCGGCCCGTCCCCGTGGCTTTCGAAAGCCCTTGACTACTGACATGACAGTCTTGAGAGAGTCCGGACTCCTGCGGATGGCATTCCCTGGGTTCAGATGTTGTCACCCGACGTATCCGATATACCAGCTCCAGAACTTTTCGTTTGGCAACCAGCTTCAAGAGGTATGGACAGATCTCCAATTAGAAAGGTCACGCACCTAACATTGCGCGCTGTGTGCGTCATCCCTGCATCACTATAATGCACCTACGTCATCAGCTGGCTTTTGCTTGTTCTGATGTCGCTAGATGTCCAAAGCACCTGCTCATGGCAGTTACTGGCACGTCCAAGTTCAGTAAAACGCTCGGATCACGATGTGATATCATGTCAGCATGATCAGCAGCTTTGCCAGTAGATACGACTGTTTGGAGGATCCACACCTCAAGCTCACCAAGCCGCCTATTCACCCTGCTTGAATGCCCCTTGAATGCTTCACAGAGGAACTGCAAAACATCAGTGCCACAGGCATGCAGCTGCATAGCGATATTGGCGCAGTTCAACAAAGTTTTGAAGCTTAGTCACCTGATGATCGAGTCCGAAGAAAGACAGACTCAATCAAATCAAGATAATGGCCCATTGTATATACGATTATGACTGCAACTTGACTTGACTGTGACAACATGTTTATGGCAGCTTTCTCATGTTTCACTGTTCGTTCAGCCCATGCACTGTAGCTGTATAAAGGACGTCTGCGTGAATGATCGTCTCACGCAAGCACCCAACATTGAGATGCGAAAGGGAAGGGTGGCAGTGACGTCGGCAGTTTGATGGTGCTGCTCAGAACCTCCTCATATCAACGTTGCCGCTGCAGCCCCCAGCTCGTTGCCGAGTGTGACGTGAGAATGACTACAACGACTTAAAATACTACTCTCCACGTTCGACTGATCTATAGTACGGAGTAACCAAAGATACTGTTCTGAAACACGATCTTTCGTCTTACCGGTATGGGCTGTCCTCACATGTAATCGAGCTTTACACCTTCATGAGCTGTTTCGCGGGCGCGATTGCAACTTCCGTTTAGCCAGCGCTAGCTGCAGCTCGACCGCCCAGCTGTGTACGTATACCCGCCCCGCTGCATTGGCGGGTGATGTGACGTTTTGCTCCACTGCTTATCAAGCGGATCACTCTACTTCATGACTGATCGTTATGCAGGCACAGCTACTCGACCCATTGAACCATCCTTAATGTACGTACATGACAGTTCTGCGTTAACCCTAGGGTTATGTCAGTCAGGATACCCCCGTGAATCTCGAAAACTAAAACGCAACTTCAAATGTTCCAGTAGTCTCGGCCACAGAGGAACAAACGTCAAGGGCGGCTCATGAGCAGCACGAATGCATCCCATCAGAGGCACAATACCCCTTTCGTTTCTTTCGTTGTTGAGACGTCATAGATTTGGCCCGGAGTAGCAGAATCGTGGAATCACCATCATAAGCTCGCACGAGGTGCAATCACTGGCAATAAACCTTTTATAGAGGAATAAGAGGCGCGACTTATGTGGCTGAGTTACAAAGCTGTCTGTGTTTCCATCGGATTTTCGGCGTGACGAGGAATCATGCATGGGACTTGACGCCCCGAATCGAGCTTGATGATGTCATTATGCAGGTTCGTTGAACAATTGCATGTTTTCGATTTTTCCAGAGAAGTGCCAATCAATCAGCCGACCAGAGCAGTTAATCGCAATCTGCATAAATTGAACAGTCGTTCACAATCGCGTCTGCTTCTCAGCGCAGACGTCACATCAGCGATGATTGGTTGTCGCCAATGCAGATCGAGCGCTCTACAGAATCTCTGTCCGTCAAAAGCGTAGGTACCTTTGCAGCCACTAGCTCAGGCGCATCGAGTCGTTGCGTCTTGTGGGCTGAGAGAATATTCGGTCGCAGCTGGCTACTCGGACCCCGAATTAATCCCGTAAGCGGAGTGCTGGGAGGCGCCTCTCGGATCGAGTTGAAAGGCCCAGACAGACAATCATGCAGGCTCTCGACTCTTGGACAGCCAATAGTACAGCCCACGTACTGGTTGCCATTCATCACGTTCACAGCGGTATGATCCTCAGGATACATACAAGGGGCGCCCCGAATCCGTCGTGGAGGTATAAGTTGAAACGCAGCGGTTCTTGGTGTCTTGCAACGATTGGTTCCTAGTCTGAAAAGGCGCTTCTTCAATCTGCAGTCCGGCGACTGGAGTAGGTACTCGAAGGCGCCTAAGTGTTGCTGCGACTGATTTGACAGCGCCGTGCGTTATCTGAGCGACCGTCTGCAAAGCGGAGCGTTGCGAAACGGTCCCACGAAAAGAGCAGTCCCCCAGTCCTCTACGTGCCTGCACTGCGACCTTGGAAACGTGCACGATTTTGAGAGCCATGCTGAAATGGTCAAAGGGGGACTGAAGGTGCGTCGAACCCGGGTCGAATCATGGCAGCCTCGCGTCTTGGAAAAGGGCACGTCACGGTCGACTATCAGGCCGTGTGGTTAAATCTGAGTTCTCCTTTGCAGTGAAGACTAGAGTGAGGATCGGCTACAATCCTAGAACAGCCACAATCATAGAACTCCTCGCATCCGCGTTCTATTCGGTTGAGCCAAGCGGCAAGACCGTGTGGACTAGCTGAGACGAGATCCTAGGCTGATCGACCATCGGCGCAAGAAGGGTTCGGCTTCTAACCAGGCGGGTAACCCGACTTGAGTCTGGTTCTGTATCCGAGAACCGGGCTCTAACCATGCCAAAGTCTGGTTGCTGCTCGGCCTGGTCAATATTGGACACTCAACCCAATTCTCAACCGCGAGCACTGATGAGATTCGACTAGTGCTGAACAGATACTTACACATTCTTCTCGTGTACCTTTTCCGCCCTCACTTTCTCTGAGCGGACGGCCACCTTAAACCAGGTGCCCTGACTAGTTCCTCAATAGCGAAGATTACTTTCGCAAGAGCGAGCGCCGGTGATCGCGGCCTTGGCGCGCGCTTCCTGACGTGGCAGTCTGGCTTTCGAGGGCGTGCCACGTGTCAGAACATGCAGGGCTGAGATACACCGGGTAGCAAGCATGGTCGACGAAATCTTTGCATCGACTCTAATTATATTGCTGCAACGTCGGCCTTTTGTGTTGGGTCCCGGGCTGAGGAAAGTGAGACGGATTCCGTGTCGAAGGAAAGCCAGACAAAATAGAGTTCCAATTGTATGCGATCAGAAAGGCCAGTTTGAACCGTTTTCTGCCCATGTTCTCGAGTGGTAAGTGGTAAGCAAACTATTTGCCTTTGATCCGCCCGTCCTCTTATCAGAATTGGTACATTTGGTGTAGATATGCGTTCCGTGATTCCATACCAACTCTAGGTTCTAGTCGATTTTCTACACCTGTCTCTCCACAGATTCAAAGAAGACACCCTTTTTGGGTTGCCTAGGCTTGGGAAGCTTTGCGACCGCTTTCACCGGCGCTCTTGAAAAGGGTAGATACGCTGAAGCGGCCGCGAACAGGAAGAAACTAGATCGGAATCAGAGCGGAACGGTTCCCTGCGAGCAGTTCTCGGTCGGCGCAAGTGTCTGCGACTAAGTCGCGATTTCGAGAGGGTTAGGCGCCGGTCTATACTTTCCCAAAGCTTTGCATCGAGTTCGATCAGTTTGCTCTCGTCTTGGCAAGCCCGGCTTGTTAATTGAGAAGCAAAGAGCTCCATCAGCCGATCCAATTCAAGGCTTTCACACCCCTTCTAGCGCCGTTGTGTGTTTTGCAGCATGGGTTCCGAAAAGAACTCTTACTGCGAAAAGAAAGACGTACCCTGACTCTTCGTATCCGTTTGCCCCTACTGTCTCTTCGAAGTAGGGTTTGATCTTTTTTTAGATGATTCTCAAGAAGAGTTTTGAACGGATATCCAGGCTCTCCATAAGAAGCTTCTTTTTCAAGATGCTTCTCTCAACTTTGAGCTTTCCGCCGTATTCACCGCTTTATGCTCTTGCTCCCTTCATCGCCCCTCATCACTCATCTCAATCAAAATTTTGTCTCGTGTCGGGACAGGAAGCAAACCCTCCGTCAAACGGTCCCATTCGACCGGGGAAGTGAGGACGCCAGAATGAAGCTCTGAGGCAATCCACCGGGGAAGAAGCAGAAACGACGTCGAGGTCAGCAGATTCTCATACCAGGTCATAGCTTGCAGTCACCGGGATCCGATGGCTTTTCTACGCCAGGCGAGGACGTACAGGGGAAAAGCGCACGAACAGTGCGAGATTAGCTACTCTTTTGCCGAGTCACAAAATCGGGCTCAGAAGAGCATGGGCGAGTCATTTTCACTTGGAGAACGTGCGGCCGCTTTTCGATGCAACGAGCCCCCTTCAGTAACTTCGGTTCCTACGTTTCGTGGAGTCTCCTCTGTAACAGCCGAGCCTACAAGCAATAGTCCTGTCCAAATGCATCTTATAGTACAATAGACCGGTAGCTGTGAGCACTCACAACTTCAAGTCGCTCTACCGGGGGGTGGCCAAGCTGACGTCAGCTACGCCGAATCGCTGAGAATCTCTGGGCCCTGCTCGCGCGCGCTTTACAGGCTCGCGGCCAATTACCATCAGACAATTTCACACCTCGTAGTGCACCGCCTCCGGAACCCGAAGTGACTCCACCTACAGGAAGGTGTAAACGTGCACCAGTGTGTCGTCTCTCTTCGCTGTTATGATATGCTCTCGATGTAACTTTCTTAGCTCGAACGCTTTGGTCGAGCATTACTGCAAAATGCGCTTTCAGTTGACGCTCTCCCAAAAATGCGAAGCGTATATTTGGCACCATCAGGCCTTTAGCTCGTCGAATGGAGACGAAATGTCGAGCTTGCAGTCTGGCCCTGTAATCTGGTTGTTGCCTGACGTCACCTTGAATGAAACTAGTTGAAGAAGGTCATCAAATTGAGTCTGCCGGGCTTATCAAAGTCTCTGGCTTCTCTGCTTACAAACTCACTCATCGCAAACTCTCATCAATAATTGCTCTGGCACCAATCTTTGAACCAAGCGAACAATGATGAACTAGACACAGAACCAATTTCGACAGCTGGCTTCTCACAACTACTGTAAGTATTGATATTCTTCGGAAACGAAAAGATTCGAGGCGACATCAGTTGCTGAATGGCCCACTCTGATTGTCAAATTTCCAACATACTGCTTTACGTCTTATGTGTGAATCTGACTGGGAATGGGCTGCAGGAGAGGAATAACGGCATCGCTTATGACATTGACTCAGTGCAATTCTGATACTTCAATGGCCAGCCGCTGTATTGTGGCACAGGAGGCTTCTGTGTTGCATTTTAATAAAATGTGCTGATTCGTTTCACCTTTGCACCAGTGCACTGGGCGGTAGTGCTCGATGCCCTGTGATCGGCCCAGTGAAATATGCTCAGTGTGCTCATCAGTCTAGCCACTGTACCCTAGCTAGCTTAACAGCAGCCTGGCCCATGGGCCGACACTTACTTCGTGTAGCTAGCAAATATGATCAAAGAAGTCTTGAGTAGTGAAGATTAGCGACCTGGTGTTGATGGTGTTGCGCGTTGCATAAAGCAGTAGGAACCCAGCAGTATTCTTCTACAAGCCTTCAAAGGCTTGAAAGATTCAGACTTCCCTAGTGTAATTGGGCATCTACGTTGCAGACGTTGGAACGTCGTGGTCTTTCTTCGTGTGGCACAGCCAGCCTATTATTACTGTAGTTAGGCCGCTAGCTGGTGCGCCGGCGCCCGGGGGAGCCTCAAGGCTGGGCTGCTTGGGTAGCTCGCCGCCCGGGTTGTATTACGGTGCGTCTGACCACATGGATGATTGGCATCATCATTGCGGATACGGAAAACAGATTCTCGGCCGCTGCTCGCTTCGGAAGGGAGGCTTCATGGACCATCTTCACCGTTCGCGGATGACCATCGACGGTTTCAAACCGCGGGCCTGCTGGGCACTTTGAAAAGCGCCCGATCACGTGGACCACATGGTAGAATCGGAAGTCGCCGGGACGCCGCATCTCAAGCTGAAGCTTTATTCTCGAAACCAGCCTGCCCAAATTTTAGACCAGTGGCAGAAGAATACGTGCCTCGGTCAGGCGGAAATTGGGGGCATCCCTAGCCCAGTTCTTGAGTATATTTTCTGTCTTTTCCTGCCCTTCTCGAACCTCAAAATCACGAGCTGTCCTAACGCGTTTCTAGATCTTCATGGCGGGCGTAGCACTGCAGAAGCGCCACCAAGACCGTGACTGCATGGCTTCTGTAGTCCTAGGCCAAGTCAATGTTGCACGCCTGTTATTTCAGGAGATGGGGCCGCCCCCATGCAGCCTTCAAACTCCTAGATTCCTGGTGAAATATCTCCGACTCCTTGTGCAAGGGTTTCTCCGTCACGACGGGTGGAAGACGCCTGCAAATATTGGTTACACTTTGGTTGGCGCAATCCTGCGACAACAGGAAATCCTCATTTCAGGGCCACCCATCCAAAGTTTGGGCGATCGGCCACTTGAAGAAGATGCAGAAGCTGATTGGGCTAAAACAAGAAGCAGCCTGGTGGTACTGATCTTATAGAGAAGCTCGCAGGATCCGCAGAATACTCTCAGGTCCAATGACACGATCTCCATATTGTATCATAGTTGGCCTCAGCAGCCGAAAGAAACAAAACAAAGCGTCAATTGTCACCTGAGAAACCTGTTCAGTCAGGTTTGCAGCAGCTCTAGAACCTTGTGATTGCGCCAGCTTTGAACGTGTTGGGATTGTTGTGCTGAAGCCCGGTGATTGAGTGTCCGTCATCTAAGTTGCCTTCTCAAATTAAGGCAGCTGTTTTCTGCGAAGTGGCAGCGCCCCTGGATCAAAGTGTGGTGGCAATACAGGGGGTTCGTACCCCTCCAACTTGGGAGCCACTCCGCCTGCCAGACTCAGTAATTGAGCTCGGGTGAGGTTCAGGTTTCAAACCTATCAAACTCGATTAATCTGCTTACATTCATCAGATGCAATAAGCAGGTGCCCATCAAAATCTTAATATGCTCAAGGCCGCTGTTTCACCATGATGCTGACAATTCTGGGTCGCGCGCACAAGATAAGCACACTCTGGAATATTCTGTTCTAATCCGGAGTTGCCGTTTTACTTCAAAAGTCACATGGGCTCTGGTCTCACTTTTGCCTCTTCCTGTGGGGCCCCTTGAGAAGCTGACCGACAATTGAGGTTGCCCTGTGAAGAAATTTGGATTTATGTTTTGGATTGTCCTCTGGATCAGCCTCCTCCAAAGTAAGGACCAAAAAAATCTGCATCTATCTTTTGGACTCTCTTTTGGAGCAAGCCTCCTCCAATGTGCCTCATTTTCACCACCTTTCTGAAAGCTAGGATGGAAATGCACTGCCATTTTACAAAACTCATAACTGATCTAATGCAGCACAAAATAAGCTTTCCAAATTCTGTCACCTGCTTTGACATCTGAGGCAGTGACATTCGCAGCTGCGCCTGACACCAAAGGAGACAGTCAATTGCAGTAGGAGGCTGGGTCCTGGTCTGGACTTTTACCGGTCACCTTCTTTTGCCCCCTAGGCATTCTTAAGGTCAGTCTCACCCTCTCACACCCCTTTCCCCCTTGGATATAGACGAGCTACTTACATGTTATGTGGAGGAATCAAAGTAGTGAGCACCCAAGACTGGTGCCAGCACAATTAAAGCTTGGTGGCTTTCTTCGATCACACTGAGAATGATGAGATTGAAGAAGTATTCTCGTTTGTTGATTGAAGTATGTGCCCCTTGCTGATGCGGGCAACTTTTACCTTGTCACTACCATGAGCCCCATTCAAAAGTGGCGCCAGTCGCAGCCACAATTGACCCCGAGTAACCGGCAGAAGTAGGAGACCCGATTCCAACCATATCCCCAGTCTACCGCTAATCCATCTTGTGTAGCTTTCTCCTAATTGGTGACAGCGTTATGCCAAGCGATGCGAAACGGCGCCGGTCACAGATGGATCTGGGCCCTTCGCTTATTACAACAAGGAAAGCAACACCTAGTATTTCTCAGAATTAGAAGACCGACACGGAACGAGTACCTACCTCCCAGCTCATCACCAACCCAGCTTGTGCGCTTTTCTTCTTCTGATAGATGACAGCTTTTGCCAAGCGGTTCACATTGGCGCCTGTCACGAACGGGAAAGTGGACCCGCCTCTGAACATCAACGAGAATAAAAGCTGACTTTTCGGAAGAAGAGAGAACCTGGTTCGAACAATTCCAACCCACCACTACCCCATCTCGTGATTGTCTCTCTTAATAGGTCCAGCTAAGCAAGTTAAATTGCGCCGGCCAGAGACAGCCCTCCCATAGACTACAACGAGGACATTAACAACTGAGTTCCCAGCGGAAGATAGAAACCGGTTTGAACACCTCCAACCCATCACTAACCCATCTCGAAGCTAGTTTTTCGATAGGTGAAAGCTAAGAAATGGCGCGCGCTGCGGACGAAGAAGTAGGCCCGCCTCTGAACTACAGCGAGGATAATAACACCGAGCATGTCCCAAAAAGAGGATCCCCGATCCGAATGAATTCTCGTGTCCCAGCCCACCGGGAACCCATCTCAAACAGAATTTCCTCCTCACAGGTGTCAGCTTTTGCTGAGCAGTATTCGACATGGCGCCTGCTGCCGACGAAGAATTGGGTCCTCCTCTGAACTACAACGAGGATAACGACACCGAGTATCCGGCGGACGCTGACGACATGGGCCGAACGGAACCGCTGCTGAAGCTCCACGGCACGCAGGAGCACCCACGCATGCTCTCGTCATGGCGGGACATGTTTGGGGAGTGAGTTTCATCAATATTCAAGTCGACAGTTCTGGATGTTCAGAGGCTTGTTGAAGACTTTGGAGTTGTAAGATACTAGTATCGAAGCCTAGGATTCTGGCCGCTGCTCTCATATTTAGGCCCCGCAAAACTACACCATCAATCTGTCTGATCGGCTGGCCGCAAGTTCTGCGGATGTGGCCCGTACTGGCGATTATATCTCTGGGTCCCGGAAATCTCAGGCATGAAAGTCAGCAGAAACAGTGCTGACGACGTGATTGTCAAGACCCATATAAGTAAAGGGGCCAGTGGCCACTTGTAAACGGGCACAGATGAGTGCATCTCGAGCGGCATATAAAACGGCTCATCCCTGTCTGACGGCGCTTCTTGACTGCTAGCAGAATTAGGCTAGCGAGAACGATGACATCATTTTAAGCCCGAACCTTCATTCTGTGGTATTCACAAGTTTGACGTCGGTGCCTTAAAGGATTCATTCCTTTGCACAAAAACCACATTCGCTGTCCAAAAGCAGGAGCCGAGAAGAGATGCGAGAAACGAGTGGTCAACCCGAAATGAAGTGCAACCCACTCGACGTTAAAGTGATCAGCACGTTCCATGAACGTTCACGGACATAACCTCTTTTATCGAACGCAAGAAAGATAGAGAAGCTAAGGGAATGAGTAAGGTAACCGCTCTAGGACGGGTAGGGTCGGTCTGGGGATCTGATAAAGGTGGAAAGGGGTGCGGAGCGGGCACATATTCTTAGTTTAGGGTTCCAGCGTCAGTTGCAGCTTAATCGTATCCTAGCTTGTTATTGCTTTCGTTGAGCCTCAAAACAACGTCCTTTTGCAGGGGCGACTCCCACACTTCCAAGGTTGCGGCGGGCATCGTGGTGGGCGCTGTGAACGCCATGGTGGCTACGCTGTTCTATTTCCTTCTGGAGGGATCCCTCTTCACCGTCTGGGAGTGGATCCCTGAGCACATATGGGCGCCTCTTGTTGGGGACCACTTTTGGTTGCGACACGCTTACACGGTCCTGGTGCCAACAGGTAAGTATCGAATCGAACGAGTCAGGTTCAGCCAAAAGCTACACGCCAGACTCGCTTTTTCGACTTTTGACGTCCGGAACCACTGGAGGCATTCCCCTGTGGCTGGTTGATGACCTGCCGAGAGGTTTCATAACCGCAAATCTTAACGTTGCAACAACACAGTATGCCCCAATGCTTTAGCGACTGGCTATGAGCCTACATTATACGATTGTTTATCCTTCACGCTGAGAACAGCCCTTACCAATTCAACTCTCACAAGTCACTCATGATCTCCTCTGCGAAAGTTTCGCGTTCTTTCTGATCACCAGTCGAACTATGTCGTCTTTGTCCTGTTGGCATGCAATAGAAACCGGCTCGGATCGCTGAGAAGCTCTAGTTTCTAAGCTCTGAGATGCAAGCCTCCGACAAATTCTCGGGCACTTCCCGTTTTCTGCTTCGAAGACGTTCGAGCGCCGATTCGTCGTGTCAGTTCGCCGTCCCATCTCGACGTTCGCAAGAAAAAGCAGTCTTTCCCTTTTGGCTTCCTTCTCGCGCATTTTGGACACTTTGACCGGAGTCCGAGAGAAAAACGTTCACTCTGTATCTCGTGCAGTCCGCGATCTTGACGTGGGGCTCTCGCTGCTATATTCGCCGCGCCAATCCGTCGTAGCAGTCCGCCGTCGTTCGGTCAAACTCTCGCAAGAAAGCCATTTCCCCCTCTGCTCTTCCTATCGCACCAAGCAACTTCAACCAGATTAATCTCAAAGCAACCGTTTACTCTATTTCTTCCAGACCTGGGTCTCGGCGCGGGGCTCTATCTGCTATTCGTAGGCTATCCCTGTGCGTCAGTCCGCCGTCTTCCATTTATAGTCTCACCAGAACTCTAAATTTCTCTGCCCTTCCCTTCCAACCAAACTTTGAAAGCAAGTGACCACTCCTGTGTATTTTACAGTCCTGGGTCTCGGCGTGGGGCTCTCGTTGCTTGACGTGGGCTGACCATCATAACAGCTCGCAGCTTTTTGCCATCCTTTACTTCGAATTGCCAGAAAACAGATTCCTGTCTGCTCTCATGCCCTGGGCTGCCCTTCCCCCCCCCCTAAGGGAGGGAATGCAACTAAAGTTGAAAAAGAGCCCCAACCACTCCCTTGATTCCTGCAGTCCTCGGTTTGGGCGTGGGCCTCTCTTGGCTCAATTCGAAGCTCAAATCCTTCAGATCATTCTGCTCCGTCATCACAATCTCGCAGAAACGGATCCTTTTCCCCTCTGCTCTTCTGTTCCACGACTTGCTCGTCCAGACTTCACACTGAGGTCGAACCCATGTTCTGTATTTTACAGTTCTCGGTCTCGGCGTGGGGCTCTCTCTGCTTTACGTCGGCTATCCGGGCGACCTCCCGTTCATGGTCTACTGCGTGCATCACGGCGGGCAGATCCCCCTCAAGCACTTTGTCCCCATGCTAGTTTGCGCGAGCGTTTCGATCACCGGAGGGGGGAGCCTAGGGCCGGAAGCGCCTATTGTCCTCATGTGTGGCTGGTAAGCACACTGTATTTCCCTTCTTGCTGCCCAAAGTGATCCAATCAGATTCCAGTACAGCGGTGGCTTGATTTTATGATGGTCGAAAAGGGTGCGAAGAAAGGCCGGACCGTCGTGTTCTGAACGGATACATCCTTCTTCTTCGTTTTCTCGATCGGTGCACTCTTCATCACTCCCACAATATTTAATGTACAATCGAGTCATGGCCGTTTGAGTTTCAAAAGTCAAATCCCGCTCTTAGGGTCTTCCAAGCTTCACGGTAGGTAGAGAACTGAAAAGTCGAGCAGTGGCTCGCCCCCGCTTTGGCCCGCATCTTGCTCGCCCTATTGGCAATGGAAGTGACGAGGCAAGTTAATAGAGCCAACAGCGTTCGCTCGAGGTCCGGGCACTGCGTAATCTCATATGATTTTGCAAGCATTGCAAAAGTTCTTGCGTACGTCCGTGTTCGCCTAGCTGGCCAAAGGCTGATGGCTTGCACCGTGGTACGGTCTTTGAAAAGGTCCGAGACCCTAGCCTTAGCAGGAAAGTTTTAAACATCTGAGAAATGCTTCCTCCCGTGCGACCATACACCTTCGCTCCACTTCCTTTTTCATTCTCAGCAAAAAGGGCTCGTGCAACACCTAGCGTGACGAGAACAGAAAACAGATAAAGAAGGACAAAAGGTAAGCAACTGTCAAAGTGACACCACCTCGCAGCTTAAGTTTGGGCAGTTTCGTCAGTCTCTGGGCGAGCCACAAGGGCACGGAATTTGCGCCATGACGCTCGTAGGCATCGCTTTTTGGGAATACGTACACGCTCAAACGCCCACAAACAAAACATCTGAAGACCCCAAAAGTTCTAACCCCATCCTTGAATATGCAGCATGGGCCGTCTGGTAGGCCGGTGGCTGGGTCACGAGGGCAAGATGGTGCGCGCTGAAAGGCTGACGGCATACGCGTTCGAGAAAATCTGAAACCATGGATTTTCTGTTTCAACTTTTTGAAAGGATTGAAATGCTCCTCGCAGTGTGGGAGGCCTCGTTGGACAATGGCTCGGCCACAAGGACAAACCGATGCGCACTACCACGCTCATGAGATCTAGCGTTCGCCAAAACCTGAAACCTGAATTGAGAATCATGATTAATAACTAGCTAAGATGCTCCGCGCAGCAGGGGCGGTTTGGTAGGTCAGTGGCTCCGCCACAAAGGCAAGACGATGCGCACGACTACGCTCATGGGCATACCTTTCGCAGAGTTGACAGCCCAACGTTTCAAAGAATAGAACTCTGAGATTGTTTGAACTGCTCCTTGCAGTGTGGGCGGTTTGGTGGGTCAGTGGCTGGGCCACAAAGGCAAAATGATGCGCACGACGACGCTCATGGGAATGGCGTGCGGTTTCGCGGCCTTCTTCGGGGCGCCGCTTGGGGGCTCCATGTTTGCGCTGGAGGTGCTTCACCGAGTCGGTATGGAGTACTTCGAGAGCGCGACATATGCTGTGCTCGCGGGAACGCTGTGCTGGTGAGCCGCCTGCCTTCATAAAGCCTAACAAGATGAAACAGCAAAAGGTAGACTCGTGCTGAGGAGTTGTGTCAGCACACGAGTCTGCTTGAGATTGCGGTTCGAGAGGTCCGTCCTGGTTTCCTGTCTTCGATCGTTAATCAAGAGAAGGTTGGGGACGTTATGTTCAGTCGGCGCTGGCAGGGGATATGACCAAAAAGGGTTGATGCATCGATAAAGCTTTGAGCGCAAGAGTGGAAAGCTTCGAGCGATGATTGCTTCTTGCTTGAGCCGCTCGCGGGTATCAATGTTACGCGGCGTGCTTCACACGATCCGAACCAATAAGGAACGCAGAACGCGTGCGAAGAGACAAGTCTGTCGGAAGCTGCGATAGCTGTTTCGAAACTCTGGAACGCCCGCTCTCCTTCTAGTGCCGTAGGAACCCTGATCCTCTGAAGCTTCAAAGCCTCCCCTCTTCGGAAACCCTGACAGCTTCGGAGTTTCAGCATCTCAACGCCCAAAGTACTGAATCCGGATCTCCGACTCTTGAGCCCCGTCCCTGCAGTATCATGTACCATTGGACGGGCATGGCAATGGGCAAGACTTGGATACTCCCGACGGCTGTGGGCCAATCCAATGTGCAAAACCCTTTGACTTTATCGCGTCAAACCCCCAACTCCAAATTGCCAATCTGAATGTCTCGCAGCATTACGTACCACTTTTTGACGGGCATGTCAACGGGTATCATCTGAAACCACCCCACCGAGGGCACGAAATATGTTCGTACTTCCTGGACCCCTAAAGTTTGAGAACCTCAGAAGTTCCTTGGTTTTTTGCAGCATTATGTACCATTCACTGACGGGCATGGCAATGGGCAACATTTGGAACTTCCCGACGGATCTCGGTCAACCCAGCATCCACAACCTCATGGTCGGAGTCGCGCTCGGCTTCGTTGGAGCCGCCACGTCATACGTCTTCCTCAAGGCACGTGCCTCTAATCAATGTTACCTAGCCTCGGTTAAGCATGGGTTAGGTTATTCGAATTGTAATGGATGGATTTCTGCCCTGTTCCTAGATGTCGGCAAGCTTGGGTTGACTCAATTCTGCAGATTAACAAAGATCGGGTGCACGTTGATGAGCGTAATCAAGGGCAGTGCTGCTTTCGCTTCCCTTTGCGCCTCGGGATTCGAGACAAATCTTGGATCAGCGTGCTTGGTTTGCTGGAGAGATTTCCCTTTCTTGCGTTGCACAAGTCCTGCCGTTGCTAAGTTTTCTTCTCCAAGCCATGCTTGCGTTCCCTTATACACGTCTACAATCTGCCGTCAAAGTCGTCTCTGTGTGAAACTACTTGAGAACCAATGATCTCATTGTCGCTCCAAAGAAGGCGACAATTGTTCTCCTGTTTCATGTTACTTTCCTTGTCCAAGTCCACACAGATCCACACGGTATATGGCCACGTACTCGTGGCGAGCAGTCCTTTTGGAAAGCTCCAACCTTTCGAAGTCTCTGAGGCGCTTCAATCGGGCTCCCCCTTACCAAGACTTTCTTCGTATTCTTTGTACTTAGAGAATACTCTTCTCCTATTCATGTGCTTCATCTTCGCAACCCCACATTCTTCTCGCCCTCACTCCCTTCTCTTTCCGCCCATGTAAGCGGATCATTTCTTCCTGTCCCTAACTTTCTGACTCTGCGACCATTGCAGGTGCACAAAGTGCTGGGCCACGTGTTCGAGTCGCTAAGACTGAAGAAGCACCAACTGATCATGTCAACGGTGGCCGGTTTCTTGCTGGGAGTACTTGCGCTTGTCGTGCCGCACTCCTTCTTCTGGGGCGAGTTTGGTAAGGCTCCCGCGCTGCTAAACGGGCTTCAAATCAAGCTCACACTTGTGTGTTTACGCATCCAAAGTTCCCACCCACCATCTGCAAGAGCGGGGCTCTTAGAAATGAAAAGAGCCCGGAAAAGATATAAAAGCCCAAAGTTTTCCTCTCTTGATACAACTTCTCCAATCTATCAAATGGTAGGGTGAGTGCCTGACGCGATCTCCCGATTCTCGGATGGTCGGCTTGAAAATCATCGGTCTGATGCAGCCCTTTATAACGGTGAAGACATTCGTTCATCCAGCATTCGATATTAAGCATGTCGATTGAATGAAACGGAAAACTAGGGTTTAAAACTCTGTTTTTCAGTCCACCAACCGTGCCTTGCCTACCAACTCTTCTCTTTGCTCTTATCTCGCTTCCCTTTCTGTTGACCTGCATCAACCTGGAACGCGAGCGTTTCCTTTCGGCCCGATTCCTTTGGTTTTCGTTGTCGTTTCCTTTCAGTCCCCCTTACCTCTCCTTCATGTAGGCTGAAGCCTTTCGTCCACGATTGCCCCTCTTCTGTAGTGTAACTCAGGATCCCTCTGACCCCGGTCCACTTTCGTTTGGGCCCCCCTTCCATCCAACGTGTTTCTTTCCCCCCTGCAGAGATCCAGTCAATCATCGATCGCGGCGGGGGGCTGCTTCCGCACATTTGGCCCAAGGACCAGGCCATAGCGTATGACCTGGGAAAGCCGGGGCCAAACCTTATGGTGGCGCTCGTGAAGATGGCTGCCATCTCGGTTACCATCCACGGCGGGTTTAGGGGCGGGTTTATCTTCCCGTTCTTCCTGACCGGCAGGTAAGAGTCCGCACTTGAAGACCACCGCTTTGCTTTTGAACCCTTTTTTTATCGGCTCAGTGTCATGGAATCCCTTTCCCAGGAAGAACGGATGTTAGATTTTAGCAAATTTTGCAGCGCTGTCGAGCGGGCCAGACTCGTGTGCGTTCAAGCCTGCACTCACTGATTGGTCAACTGCTTGGTCTAAGAGTGCGCGTTACACCTCTGGAAACGAGTCTGGTCAACGTCTTCCAGCGCGCGCGGCCGCACCGGCCGTCCACCTACCCGATTCGAGTCAACTTTTGCAACTCAGTTCGAATCAAAACATGCCTTCCAGACACTCTCACACGGTTACTCCCGAGCCGTGAACCCTATAAAGCAGGTGAATTTTGCCAAAGGATTTCAGAACTTTAATGGGCTTCTCCTACTTTTCGCAGCGCGGTTGGTCAGGCAATCCCCAGCCTTCACCCGGACGTTGGTTAGCTCTTGCTTAAATGCCCTTTCCGACGGTCGTTACAAAGGTCAACAGCATAGCTGACATCAAAACCCGCCGTCAAAACCCCTCAATTGCAAGCTTACCGCTCTCAAGGCCCCCAAGACTTTGAGATCTATAAACCTAAAAGTAGAAGAAAGCCTGACTATTTCCCCCCCTCTTTTGCAGCGCGGTCGGTCAGGCAATCCACTTGGCGATCCCCAGCCTGCATCCCGTCGTTTGCATGATGGGGGTTGCCTCCGCTCTAGACGTCGCTATCACGCGAACCCCCTGGGCCAGCGCGCTCATCCTTGCCTGCCTCTCTGGTGAGCCACGTGGCACCATCGCCGACGTAGATTTGGTTGAAGACTTGTCCGTAAAAGTATCCTTGCCTGCCTCTCTGGGGGACGTCGCACCGTCTTTGTGTCAAAGGTAGGTAGTACCAATCGACTTAGCCCATGCCATCTTCATGCCCGTTGGAGAATTCGGACGGTGCTTTTCATTGCTTTTATGGATTCTAGCGTTGATTAACACAGAGTAGGTTGACCGGAACGTGTTCCTTCAACTCTTGCTTGCATCTGCGGTTAGCCACGTGGCACTATCCGCTGACGCAGATTAGGTTGATCGGAGCTTGTGTCTTTCACGTGCTTCTCACTCAGCCCATTGTAGGACCTGGTTATGCACGCTGCCAAGAGGTTCGTGTTTTCTGGAAAGCCAACATGCGGATTGCCTTCCCAAATTGACTAGTCTCGAGCAGACCTGATTTGGCGGATGGCTTTGGATGGGCCGGTCGAATGTCTTCCGCATCTGGGCGATATAGAACGCACGTCATTGACCCACTTTGACAAAAGCCCAGAGCGTCAGATTTGCGATGTCGCAGTTCAAACGTCAGGGGGTTCGAGCACCGAGAACTGTTTTACAACTTGAAAGGATTCCAACCGGGAAAGGGTTTCTCAGGCCGCCGGGTTTTCGGTTGCGGCCCCAGAGCGACCGTTAACGACAAGTTTCGTAGACATTGAGGGAACGACAATGTGGTAGTAGACCCACTTTGTCCAAACAAGACTCAACCTTTTGACTTGCTTCCAGGCTCTGCTTCTACATCAAAACGACATTTCAAAGGGTCGATATGTTCAGCTTGATTGGTTCCACTGGACGCCACGAAAATGGGTCCAACGAAAGTGACGTCGAAGCCTCGATGAGTTGACATTAGTCGAATGCGGAGCGCGTTTAATGGGTTCGGACTTCCAGTGGACGGTTGTCGTTGCGCTTGCTTTTCATCGAACGGAAACATCTCTGAAGCCCGTGCGTAAACAAATGCATGGGACGTATCGAGAACTATTTCCATATGTTGTTCCGTATACTCTATGCAGGCCAGCCGAACGTGCTCCAGCCCGCCGTCACGGCCGCGCTGACCAGCCTGGTGCTGACGTATTCGTCCAAGTTCCAGCTCATCAAGACGCAGCAGACGCGCCGGTTCTCGGAACCGGAGCCGGAGGACGAGTGGCCGCCGTACGATCCGGCCCACGGGGAATAAATGAGCGGAACGAGCGGACTGAGGGGAACGAGAGGAATAAAGCGAGAGCAGATTGTACGTGGACTTCAAGGGAGACTGGGGAGCGAACCTGAGGGTAGCGGGGCTTGCCAGGAAGCGCTCAGCTAAGACGATGCCGTTAGGTGCCTATCCGAGGAGAGGTGCTTTTCACGGGATGACAAGCGCATTGCTGGGAGTAGCGGGTTCAAAATGGATGCAGACGCAACGAAGCGTTCCGCATGGCAGATTCCGTTTGCTTAGTTGAAAGGGCCTTAGCACGCGGACTGGCGAGTGCTCTTGATCCATGTCGATAGTTCGAAAGCAAGTTGTAAAGAAGCACGGGGACTCCACTTCTAGCAAGGTGGTCGTTATTGGACGAACGAGTCCGATAAGCACTTCGCAAGCTAGCCTTCTCAGCCGAAATTCAAACTTCATAGGCGAGGCCGGTATGGAATCAGGCAGCAAGTGGCCGGTTTGCGGAAGGTTCAATTGGACGGTCGGATCCAGAAAGCCCATTATGTAAAGCTTATAATTGTATTTAGCTATAGATAATAGGAGAGTACGACGCCACTAGTGGGTGATTGTACGTAAAACCTAGTCATGGGTTGCATCGGGTAAGATTCATAAGGCCCCGATTAGGTACGGTAATCAGATTATGATGTCGTAAGCTGACGATCGATCAGAGTAGATCCATATTTAAATTGGCCCAAGTAGCTCATCACCTTGATAGTACAGCATGCTGCAGACGTTGATAATAATAATAATCGAGACCATTAGCATACGATAAAATTAATACCAGGTCTCAGGTTCAAGCGTATAAGCAGCCGACCTCTAGGATAGTGATTCGTTCAGATCGAACATCTACGTACAGCTATAGCTCAAGCCTGGTACCGTACGGTACCGTCGTCGAGCGATTGAAGAAAAGCTCCAGAGATGTTTGTTTCTTGCAGATCGCGTTTTACAAGGGAGAACTGCATGCGCATGGCGGTCACCACATCGCCGCTGCAGCAGATTTTATATTCGATCATAAAATCAAATTCATGAATCATAAATGCAAGTCAGTGTGCCAGCAACAGTGACTATCAAAGTAAACCGCGCGTACTGCGAGCTTGCCAGACATGCCATATCTGCGGGTAGGATCTCCGGTTGGCCCCGGTCGCCACAGCATGTGCGCAGATCATAACGATCCTGGATATATTGAAATTAACCGCGCTCGATTGATATATACGCACATGCATGCATTCAATCAATATCGTAGTTCAATAAGAACTTTCTGGTATAGATCGAGGTATTTCAATCCTGAAGTGGGCCGGAACGTCAGTTCATTTGCACTGTCTGACTCGAGAGGCTTCCGGCCATACATTCTTGTCGGACCCGCGTACACCGATAAAATCTGTCGATGTTGATCCACTGTTGATCGTAGCATCACGCATATGCCAACATGGAAATCATATCATTGGACTCCACGATGCATGTCTCGTTATCCTTCTGCATTGTGCGATAGCTGAAGCTGCTTATTGATGCAAACGAACATGGTACACATATGACTTTGCTGAAATTGTTACCCTTTTCTTTCTGGAAGAAGCAAGCGCAGGGTGAAAGTGATTCAGTATGGGATCCAAACCGATAACATACAGTCACTGCCATCAAAATTGCCGCAAGTTTTCTACGTGTTCAGAACTCAACCAACTACAATACAAGACCAGACACGCCTTTCAGGCAGCGCCTTATTTTTCAACCGCCAGTCTTGGTTGCTACAACCAACACTAGCCAGGCGGCCGTTCAACCAACGGCTGGAAACGACCTAACTCTCAACATAATGGTCAGTGGCTCTTGCGCCCCTACATTCGGACGCAGTTTCTCGGTGCCCTGCATCCAAAACTTGATCTCGTTCAGCCCTGGCGCTTTGCACCGCACCGGGGGCCGCCGCCGTCCCCTCAACGCCCACCTTTCCTATTCCGCCCTTTATTCGTACAACCCCCCTTTTGCACCGCACTTTGTACACGTTGTAGTAATAACTCACGAGCTCCTTCAGCGGCCTTCCCGGCAGGCTCTCCCGGATCGCTTGGAAAAACCCCTCCCCAAAGAAATCCTCGCTCACGTCCTTCCCCCGCCTGATGGAGCTTGCCGCCGCCACAAACCGCTGCTCCTCTCCGCGGGACCATTTCCCGGCGACCCGTTCTCCCATCTCCGCCAGCCCGAGGTCGCCCCCCGCGTCACCGAGCGCGGCCTCTAGCGCGGACCGGGCGTCCGAAACGGGCTGCTTCCGGACAGCCGCACTGTCCGTCTGGCTGCTCGTTCGCCGCAAAACCGGCCGGGTTAACCGTGGGTCAGAAACCAGGTCCGGTTTGGCAACCGGCTCTTCCTTAATGGAAGCTGGTTCTTGGAGGGGGCGCCACACCGGCCAGCCGATCCACGTCGCCTCTGACGTCAGCATGACGTCACCTAGAGGCGTCGCAAGAGGACCACTCGGATGCCGCGTCGTTTGAGTCGCCGGTTTGGCGACGATACGTGGGCGCCACTCGGGAACTGACGCCTGGTACCTAGCCCCAATCCTGGGCTGCAAGTACTCCAACTCTTCCTCTACTAGCTTTTTCCGGGTCCGCCGCCCTTCCTCGGCAACACTTCCTAACCGCACCACTAACCAACTCTCCCGGTGCCGTTGCAGCTGCTCCTGGAGGACGGTTAGCGTCGCGGTTAGCTGCGGCGAAACCGGGTCAGCGAAGGTGACCAGCGGCCGGTAGCCCCGCGGCCGTCGCAGGGGGTGGCCGGTCGCAACTTCTCGCCGCCGCTTCACTTCGGGGGTTTCGGGGCCCTGCCGGAACCCTGGGTCTTCGACCCCCCCGAACTGGGTCGCGCACAGCAATCCTGCCTTGCGCTTCTGGCCGCTCAGGCTGTGCATCCACTTGCTGGGCGACAGCGTCAAGTTTCGGGGGGAAGGATTCATCATCCGGGGGGAGAGGTGCATCTTCCGGGGGGATGGATTTAGAATGAGTTTCAGGCGCTGGGGGGACAGCGTCTTGGGCTTGGCGGGCATCGGTTCAGACCTCTCCTCACCCCCCGGAATGGTCAAAGCTTTGCGCCGGTTTTCGCCGAGCCAGTGCTCCAGTTCGCTCGCGTCCTGTGGGCCCAAACCGTCCAGTCCGTGAAGGCTGACCGTAAGCGCTCGTAAGCCCCCAAACCCCCGGAAGGAGCTTTCGTCCCCAGGGAATCCTACCGGGCCCCCCTCTGCCACCTCTTTTCTCCAGTCGAAGACTCCCACCGCCTGCGCCGGATCGTCTTCCAGAAGGTTTGCGCCTCCGTCGTGGTCCCTAGCGGTTGGTACCGCTTCGCCCCCAGTTGGTACCGCCAATGGCTCCGCGTAGCGATGCCCACGCGCCCCTGCCACGTCAGCACTCCCGCTGACCTCAGAAACGCTCCCGCTGCCATACACCCCCGACTTCCGCACAGCAAGCGGCTCGCCGAAGCTTACCCCTCCAAAGATCTCGGACTCTGTCAGGCTCCGCTTTGCTCCGGCGGAACGAACTGAGGGGATGGCGTCGGTCAACAGACTGCCCTCGATGCTCGTCTCAGGGCCCAAGTCAATGGTCACCCCCTCGCCTTTGGAAAGCGCCCCCGCCTCCAGCCCTTCTCGCAACCCTTTGGAAGCGTCCGCGCTCGTTCCCGCCAGACTCTCACGGGCCCCGTAGAAGCCTTGGGGGGCTTTCTCGTACCCCCCCCAACCCTCACCCTTCACCCTTTCGGAACCCACCTTCATCTTGCCCGACACCTCCTCTACCCCCCCAAAGCCCGCCTGGAATCCTCCAAAACTGTCTCGAAGCCCTCCCGAACTCTCCGGGCATCCACCGTACCCCTCCTTAGACCCGCCCGTAACCTCCTCCACTTTCAGGCTGCACGCTGAACTCGTCGCGTCCGTTTCCATGCACTCTTTACTCTCTGCGTGCTGGCCCAAGCTTCCCTCGCTGACCGCCCTCAGGCTCGGCAGCGTCGTCCTGACGTCATCCCCCCCCCCAGAGTGTTGCTCCCGCTCATCCTCGCCTCCAAAATGCCTCTCTCGCTCTCCCCCTCCTTGAGACACCGGCTCCCGCTCATCCCCCCTCCCGACATCCCTGTTGCTCTCCTTTAATCGGCCCCCGCCCCGCTCAGAAGTACAGGTGCTGCTGGAGCGCGTTTTCTGGGGGCCTTGTGGGGGGAGCGACGTCGCTTTGAGAGCTTGGGACGGGGGCGACAGGTCGCCCAACAGGGCCTCGAGGTCGAGGAGGTACTTGGCGTGCAGGAGTTTCAGGCAGGGGCCCGCCTCTAGTTTGAGGCCCATCTGAGCGGCGACCACGTTCCATTCCCGCCGCTTTGACACCTGGCAGCAAATGGAGACGGGGTTTTAGCAACCAATCGGTGGTCATGCAAGTTTATATTATGGGAAATGGTGGTGTTTCCAAAAAGCGTGGTGTTGCTTGTAGCTCCCAAAGCGAGAGGACGCTGTATTACTGACCAGGATCGTGAAAGTGTTTCCCTGGCGCTGAAGAAGAACAAGCCCAATAAATGCATCTAGTATCTCCTTTCAGGAACCAACATAAGAGAACTGAAGAAGCAAGGACAAGAAGAAAGCTACGATCCTCAACAATCGCTTTCAAGGCCGACCTTTACCCACAGTCCCTCAAGGATAGATTGATCCTGTTGTGATTTCCTCCCCTTCAGATCAAACCTTGGTCCAGCAGAAAGGCGTTCAAACTTCAGAGGATAGGATTGGCAATCTTCCTCTGTTGTTGCAGGAAGGCTTCAAGAAGAGTTTCTCCTGATTCTTTTAGGGATTCGAAAAGGCATTTGCAAGCAGTCAATTTCTTCACCCAAGAAAACCGCCAGCACAGGTGGAAATTTTCCATGCAGGGGTGGTCTATTCCAACTCATTATTGTCCAAACACCCCACACAGTAGTTCAAGGGACTCAAAACCTTGGCACAAACAGGTGACCAACGAGAAGGAAGAACAGCTCACTCACCTCGTTGTATCCCCCGTTGCATGCCACATGCTGATACAGCGACAGCAGGTTCACCGTCTGTCCGTCCACCATCGCCGGCAGTGGCCTAATCTCCCCATCCAGTGCAAACAGCGTGCTCAGCCCCTCCTCAAACTCCGCCTCCTCTAGTTCCTCCTTGGTCAGGTTCCTCTCCTCCAACACTGGCTCTTTCTTCTGCCGCACTGGCCGCGGTTTCCCCCCCTTCTCTCGTTTGCTCTCGCCAGCACTGGGGTCCCCCCCCTTTCTGGGGGGCTTGGGATCGGGCGCGCGTCGCTCCTCGTAGACCGGGAGGGGGTCGTTGGAGTTGCTGCTGATGCGCTCGAGGCGGTAGGCCATCACTTGGCTGACGGGGTGGATGCTGCGGCGCACGATCATGCCGTCCCCTACCCTGCGGTTCTCCACACACCTGTGGGGAAGAAGGATTGGCGACGTCAGGAACTGTTCTTCTCCACTGACAATCTTTGAAAACGTTTTTGACTAAGTCTTGCAGAACGTTGACAGTGTCTTGACTAAATCTGAAACCCTTTAGCACACCTCTGGTCAAGAAGGAAAGTTCCTCAAAGATTAGAACAGTTTCTCATAAAGTCTTCTACTCCCACTCTGCAGGCTCTCGGTACCTGTTGTAAAATAGGGTGGCTGCCCCGGGATAGTAACACCTAGGATTTTAGAGCTTTGCTACTCATCTGGAGTTTTCAACTTACATCACATCTGGCAAAGAAAGAAGCCCAGTTAGAGGTGCAGGCTACATAGTTCGGCCAACATTGTCAAGCTTTCTCCCCTGTCTGCTGTTGTATACAAACCTTTCAGCAGACACAAGTGATTGCTCAAGAAATAAACTTACCAGGTAAGCTCCTTAAGCAATCTGTCCAAGCTCAAAAGGTCTTTGAATTTTAGGACTACAGCAACAACACTCTTCAAGGCCTAGGAATTTACTTTGTGCAAGTAGAGTGCACAAGACTGGCAAGCACACGATTGGCGTCTGGAATGCAACTCAAAAGCCAACCTTGGAATTCAGAGAGGGAAAATGCAATGGAATAGGTCAGAAGCGCGGACGCCTGAACTTCAGCTTGGAGCAAGGAGGGTTTGTTTCGTCTCTGGTGCCCCTTCTGGCTGAAGAAGAGTTAGTCCTTCAACAATCTCAAAAGAACCTTGTCGCCTTGCTTGTTTGTCTCAATTGCAACAAGGCTTCTAATGAGCGTTGTGCTTTAAAACCCACACAATTGACTGGTACCTCCAGTCAATGTGTGGAATTTCCAGAAATGTTTTTCTGGTTCACAAGCTAGAAAATTCCACCTCTGAGCAACAGAACAACAAACATTTTTGGATCATTGCAGGGTTTGAGGTGGTGATTGAAAGGTAGGACGCCTGTGCAGATTGGCTAAGAGCACCTTGTATAAATGTGATACTCTTCAAAGAGAGTTGACTGTTTATTTTGTCAATTAGCTCTCGCTGTCCGTGATTTTACCCCCTTCGAGAACAGGGTTGTCATGTTCACTAGGCTAGTAAATTGTCCAACATGCATGTCGTAATGGTCACAGAATCAGTAACTGGTAAAAATGGGTTTTGAAAGACTGACATATCCTTTGGAATTCAAATTTCCCAGTTTGCAAATGTCACATTTCAAAATCACCTTCATTCCCAGGCAACATGACAAGAGAGCACGTAAAGGAGCACTACATGCAGACATAATGTAACCTGACTTACTGACTGACTGCAAGTCATCCAGGACAGCACACAGCACAACGCAATTGGCCTTGATGATTGACTGAAAAAAAATCAGAGATAGATTTTATGCAAGATAGAGTCTGGTCATTTCTGAGGGCAAGGAAAAGCCCTGTATCTCTATATTACCGCCAGTATTTACCATCTTCAACCCCTTCCCTAAGGTAAAAAGGAGCCCTTGGACTCCCAGACTCAACCCCCCCTTAACAATGCAAGACGTGTTCGGTCCTTGGAAAACCTCTAGGTTTACCAACTCAAAACCAGACATTATTTCATTCCATTTTTCCACAATTCCAAGAAACAGACAGAAACCCCATACTATGGAAATCAACGACTTAAGGGAACCACCTCACCTCAAAGAGAAATTGAGCAACCCCGTATCTCCTACAGAGCTTCGTGACCGCTGCTTCAAGGTGACTCGTGACACCCAAGTCCCCTCCGGCTCCTTCATCAGGTTCTCAATGATTGCTTCCATGCCTGCTTCGATCCGCCGCTCAGAGTACCTGCTATGCTTGATGCTGATGCTCTCACTGTTTGCCTCCTTCTGAATTGGCCAAAAAGGTTTCACAAGCTTCGTCACCCTGCCGATCCTAGAACCAGCCCCCCCATGGCCCCTACCAGAAAAGGTAATGATTTCCTCCATGTTTGCAACCTTGTCAAGTGTGCAGTTTTTCATGCAATGAGACCTTTTCTTTGTCATGCAGGCAATAATTCTTCACGTTTTATACCCTTGAACTGCCACTGCTTGCTTCTCCTCCATTTTCTATCCCTTCTGATGGCCTCGTTGCTCAGAGCTCCAACTCGCAAGCGACAAAACACAGCCAAGATGGAGCAACATCTGAACATGTCGTCCAATTCTGCAAGGGGCTAGAATTGCCTCTAAGAACTCCTACCTAACGAGCTCAACGCCCCCCAAACAAATTACCAGCTTTTACCAAGCTTCAAAGGCAATCTTAGTGCGTCCTAAGCAGGAGGGAAGCGGGTAATGGCCGCCCTTTTGTAGCGCTCCTCGCTGCTGGCTCCTCCTCTTTCCTCTGAGCACGCCTTTTCAAATCCAAATTTGAGCAGGGAACCGCTAGAAATCGAATCCATCTGCTCCGAACCGCGCTGACGTCGTCCAAGTGCCATAAGCCCTCAGATTCCGGACCATGTGAGCCGTTCAGATTCGCCGCAGAATGTAACCGTCGCCAATTGACGGCGGAGATTGCATCTCACTTCTGACGATTCAAACCTCGACGGCCACGAAACGAGCGGGAAGAGATTCCGCAACAGCTTATGCGCGTGGGAAGTCTTGGTACCGCGAGCGGTACCGTACCGCATTTGTCCAACTGGAGTTCGGACGTTTGGACTGGTCGTATTGGGCGAAGACCATGCCCGACTCAGAAACTTTGCGAACAAGGACCAGCCTCAGGCTGCAAAACTGGCGAGCCCGTCCAACTTCAACTTCAAGTTCCCGGCTTTCTGCAGCTAGCTCAGCTTGAGCACCGACTCCGAGTACTCTGAGTCTGAGTCTGAGTCTGAGCAGGGCTTCTCTTGGAATCAGATGCAGAGCGCTAGGAGCTAGGTAGATGATGCAGAGGGGCACTTGCGGAAGACGACGTGTTCGTGAAGACTGGCAGAAAGGAAAGGAATGGAGGCAGGGCGCGAGACGGCCAATACAGGAAAATTGAAGTTGCTTTGCTGATTGTGGAATCCCTGATCAAGCAAACATCATAGCTGAATGAGCGGGTACATGAGCGGACAACACTCACAGCCACGCAGCTGTGTGTATCATCGGGCAGTTCAGGAGTTTGAGTAGTAGCTTCTGGCCTATGCGAGCCAGGGATCGCTAGAATGGCGGCGGATGAGATGCAGAAGCGAGCAGAACTAAGACGGGCGATTGGCGAACTGAGCGAAAGGGGCCTTGTGCAAGCCGCAAAATGGTGAGTGGGGCTCCTGGGCATGCTTCAAATATAGCTTGTATCGTCAATGCACAGATGCGCTGATTGTCCGCTGTACCAATTGGGCCAATTGAAGGTCTGAGTTGCTGTAGCTCTTTTTGGTGGCATCATTGAGAGATATGAGGAGTTCGACCCGCACCACCCTTCACTACTGCCTGGGCAGATGGGAGAAGAAGGATACTTTACGCTTTGATCACAGTACCCCTTGCAAGGGCTTCAATCTGCAGCGTGAGCGATGGAAAAAAATCGCTGGAAAAACGATCCCCCCTCCAGAAGACTGATATGTTTTCAAGCAGGAGCAGCATTGGGGAAGCATCTGAGTTTACTGCTTAAAATTGAAGGATAGTCGAAACAACTTTCATGGAAAAGTTTTCGAAAGTCCCCTGCTCTGTGAAAGTCCCCCTGCTTCTCCCACTGCCTCTCCATTTCTTACAACGGTAGAAGGAATGTCAGCCCTCCTTCAGAACTGGGGTTAATTTTCCTCAACACAATGCCTTTTATAAACACGCATTATGATTTAAAACATCATGAGCGCTCTCCCATCAAACGACTTATCTGCCCGTCTTCGGAACCCATCCACATAACCTGACAGCGCTGTGTGGTTCCGAAAACCACCGCCGAAGCTCACAATAAACTCCTTAAGGAGTCATCGTTAAAAGGTTTCACCACCTTTTGTAAACCGGGGCTGCCGAGCAACTTCCAAAAACCACCGCCGAAGCTCACAAAAACTCCTTCAGGAGTCACCAATCAAAGTTGTTTCACCACCTTTTCTAACCCAGGGCTGCCGAGCAACTACCAAAGACCATCGCCGAAGCTCACAATAAACTCCTCCTGGAATCACCGTTAGAACTTTTCACCACCTTTTCTAACCCAGGGCTGCCGAGCAACTTCCAAAAACCACCGCCGAAGCTCACAATGAACTCCTTCAGGAGTCTCCTATCAAACTGAAAAGACAAGTACCACTGTGATTAGCAATGATGGAGGTAAATACTGTGGCTATAGCAATAGAGGACTAAGCGTATTTGACCACCTCTTCTGACCCAGGGCTGCCGAGCAACTGGTCGGCCTCTCGGACGCGGACGGCCCCTCCACGTCCGGTGGCGTGTCCGCAACTCCCTCCGTAACCACACGGAAGTCCCGCAAGAAAGAGCCCTCTGCTCTCAAAGGTTGCCTGTCGCTAGAAGAATCAGAGCAGACGAAATCGGAAGAGGACGTGCTTTTGCTGGGGAAAGTGCTGTTCGACTCGAAGGAGTACAGGCGAGCGGCGCATGCGTTGCGGGAGTGCACGAGCAAACGGGGGACGTTTCTGCGGTGTTACGCAACATACTTGGTGAGTTCTTTTTGTTGGATACATGAAGTTCTTTCAATTAGTTCACGTTTTCTTTCTTTGAGAGGAAAAACTCGAATGAAGGACTTCAGATTCGTCGATCCGCTTGTTAAAAGCGCTTTCATTAAACGCGTCAGACATCGAGTTTCAGACTTGATTCGCAACCGAACGGGAGCACTCCTAACTTTCCAGAACCCTGGCAGACATAATGGAAAGTTGGATGCAAATAGATGAACTTTAGTGGTACCCTTGTTCTGGCATTTTCGTCTGTGTGTCAGATGCGGCTAAGCATGCCACCCTCTTGTTGTTTATGAGTGCGTTTTGGAAGTCAAAATGAACGAACGGTCGTCCGCAGGGCCTTGCTGTAATCTAGAAAGCTCCTGTTGATGTACCTGAGCATCTGAAGTACCTACGTCTACTGACCAAGCGACTTACATCCGAAGTAGAGCCCATGCCTAGAAGTTCAGTGCTTTGACCTCAAGCCCCTGCAGGGCTACTGGACACCGGTTGCAGGCGGGTAAGAAGCAACCAGGGCAAGGCATTGTGGTAATAGGAGGCCTGGAGAGACGGGTGCCATCCAAACAAAGTCTGGATCGATCGTTTTGAGTCTGCTGGGCGCACGTGTCCGTTCCATAGCCTTGACACCATTCTGCAGGTTGCAGAGAGGCAACATGAGCGATATGTGGAGGCGACCGGTCGGCTGGAGAAACTGTGAAGTCGTCATCCAGACTTTCGGGTGTCAACTTTGCTCGAAAACTTAAGGCTTCTGATTCCGACACCATCTCGCAGGCTGGCGAGAAGCGGAAAGAGGAGGAGATCGTGGAGGTCGCAGGTCCGAAGAACGATGTTGTATATTGACTAAAAACCTTTTGAGTGTCATTGTTACTACCGGAATATGAGCCTCCTGAGGTTTGACACTATCTCGCAGGCTGGCGAGAAGCGGAAAGAGGAGGAGATCGTGGAGGTGGCGGGTCCGCTGGGGAAGAGTGACGTCATCAACCAAGACCTGGAGAGCCTCGAGGCGGAGCTGGGGGGGCGCTACTTGCAAGGGCAACTCGATGCTTTTTCCACGTACTTGTGAGTCTGGATATATACTTCACCTGAAAGACTTCAAAAGACTTCGAAAGACTTCGACAGATACATTTATCTGAGTGTGTGCCACTTCTCGACTTTACCGGCGACTCCCGTTTTTTGCATTTTCATTCAGACCTGAGCATAATATTAGAGACAAAACTAAGCTGCACGGAATCTACTCGCAGCTCAAAAGCTCGATCGTGTTGTCACTCATAGTCTGAACCCCATAACTCTGATCTCTTGCTCCTTTCTTTCTGCCTTTTATCCTGGAAGACGAATGGAAGAAAGTCTGATTCTCCAGTCTATCCTTGCAGATACGGCGTCGTTTTGCATCAGCGGGAAAAAAAGGCGGAGGCACGGAAGGCCCTCGCCATCAGTGTGAATGCGTACCCCTGGAACTGGAGCGCCTGGCTCGAGCTGCAAGAGCTCTGCACCAAACTGGAGGACGTGAGTGTATTCCCACTTTGCCACTACAGCGAGTTTGCTGCCGCTGATTTCCTCCTGTCGGGCTGTATTCCCCCCTGTATTCCCTCCTGAGATATAGATGCGACACCGCGAATCGATGCCGATCTCGGCTTGCTTTCGAAGTATTTTGGAGTCACCTCGACCGATCGCCCATCCTTTCAAAGAGTTACCGACGTCAGTATCAGGTCACAATCTGGGACAGCCACGTGCAGCCGCTGGAAAGGAGATGTTACCGACGAAAGGTTGCGGAGAACAAACTGTCAAAATTTTCGTTTCTGCGTGTGGTGAGACACGAGTAAGCAATCGTACTTGGATCTGATTCGTGCCACCTTCTGACACATGAGTAGATGAAATATAATGCAGCTGCCAACGCTAGCGCTGGAGCCGCACTCGAAGCGCAAGTTTTTCCACGCGAGCCTGGCTCTCGAGAAAGCACAACAATAAAAGCTTCTTTCTTCTCCCTCGAATCTCTCGCTCAGATTCTTCTTTGCTTGCTACAATTACCGACGCTCGTGTTAGAACCGCCCCGAATGCGCAACTTTGTCTACGCAAGCCTTGCGCGCAGGGAGGAAAGACGAACTTGAATAATGTCTGGTGTTCCTCGGTACACTTTCTTGGCAAGGCATCGACTCCTTCGCTTGCTACAGATACCGACGCTCGCGCTAGAGCCGCACTAAGTTCGTAACTTCTTGTACGCGAGCTTGGCGCTCAGGGGAACAACGACAAACTCAAACGGCTTTATTTTCTCCTCTCTCAGTTTCTCGCTAAGGCATTGACTTCGCTTGCCACAGTTGCCAACGCTCACGTTAGAACCGCCCCGAATGCGCCCCTTTTTCCATGCAAGCCTGGCGCTCAGGGGAGCAAAGACAAACCCAAACGGCTTTGTTTTTCTCTCTCACTTTTCGCTAAGGGACTAACTTCTTTACTTGCTACAGTTGCCGACGCTCGCCCTAGAACCCCATTGAATGCGCTACTTCTTTTACGCAAGCCTGGCGCTCAGGGGGACAAAGACAAACTCCAAAGGCTTTGTTTGCTCCTCTCTCAATTCTCGCTGAAGAGTTATATGTTTTGCTTGCTACAGTTGCCAACGCTCGCGCTAGAGCCGCACTGGATGCGCGACTTTTTCCATGCGAGCCTCGCGCTAAAAGAGCAAAAGAACGAAGCATCAAAACATACTCAACTAACGAACTAACCAGCTAATCTCTCGCTAAGGCACTTTTTTAACTCTACCCAGTTGCCGACGCTCGCGCTAGAGCCGCATTGGATGCGCGACTTTTTCCACGCGAGCCTCGCGCTGAAGGAGCAGAAGAACGAGGAGGGCCTCCAGCAGTACCGCGCGCTCGCGGCCGCGTTTCCGCGCAGCGACTACGTCGTCGCGCAGACCGCCACCGCGCACTACAACCTCCGCCGTAAGCCTTGAAAGTCGATCATCATTCTTTGTCTTTGATGTCTTTTGTCCGTGTGAGGTCGATTCGCTTCCTTTCGTCTGCTCCTTTTGAGGCGATACTAAGTTCGCTTTGCTTTCCCGATTGCCGACGGATAAGACTTCCGCTTCTTGTTTGTTCAGATGCAGACCGACTGCTCAACGTGTCCGGTTAAGCAGGGTTGTGAAAAACATCCTCAGAAAATACGTTATCTGCTTCAATGTAGACGACAACCTGGAATGCAAACCGCCAGCGAAGTGCATTGTTCCTTGCAGACCTGGTGGCCATACATGGACACTTCACGTTGGCCGATCGTAGAACATCGGCGGTAGCCTGTAGGGTGATACGGAGAGTGTGGGAGCACGACAAGAAGTTCTCCCACCCTTTGTTCTCAACCTCACCCTTTGTTCTCAACCTCAATCCCTCGGAAAAGTCTGATCCTAGCAACGTAAAGTTACCGTTCGGAATCATTGCCCTTTTGAGAAACCCTAGAACCCTACGAGTCCATCAAACCCTACAGTCTTCTTTGTCTTTCTTTTGACAGAGTTTGACGAGGCTCAGGAGCTGTTCGAGCAGCTGCTTGACTCGGAATTTATGACGTTGTTGAAACGTCCGGTACCCGGCATCGAAAGTTTTCCATCTGGCGATCCTCCCGTTCTTACACAAACCCGGAATTTTACACTAACCCTAAACTAACTCTAGCTAACCCAGAATCTATCTTTGACAGAGTTCGACGAGGCTCAGGAGCTGTTCGAGCAGCTGCTCAAGTCGGACCCGTACCGCGTCGATGGGCTTGACATCTACTCCAACATTCTGTACGTCAAGGAGTGCTTCTCGGCGCTCAGCTACCTGGCGCACAAAGCGGTGCTGACCGACAAGTACCGGCCCGAAACCTGCTGTATCATAGGTGGGTAAGAGGAGCTTCCTCGCCTTTCTCCTTGACTTCTTAAACTTGTTCAACTTTCTCGTGGTCTTAGCTTGAAAAAGCATCAATACCGCATCTGATAGAGGTTGTTGGAGGAGTGCTTCTCTGCCCTCACTTATCTTGCGCACAAAGCGGTGCTGACCGACAAGTACCGCCCCGAAACATAGGTGGGTTTGAAGCTTGTGTCTTCTTTTTCCCCTCTTTTTTCGGATCAGATCTACGGGAAGAAAGAAGCAGAAACGTTGAGTTGTGCTTGTCCGCCCTCAGCTATTTGGCGCACAAAACGGTGCTGACCGACAAGTACCGGCCCGAAACTTGCTGTATCACAGGTAGCTAATTGTTGTTCCCCTCTTTGTGCCTCTGTCGTACCCACTCCTAGGATTATTTCGTTGTAAAGAAGCCAGAATCGATCTCTGACAGCCAGTATTTTTGCAAGATGCTTGCGTTTCTGCGCTTAGATACCTTGGCACAGGGCTGTGCTAAGATTCAAATTCGTGGGCCGGGGTCTCTTGCACCGTAGGTGGGTTTGTCATGGTTAAGGGTCTCTCTCTCTCCCGCTTTCGACATGGTAGAGACTTCGTTCTCTTTTCTTTCCCCCATGCAAGCTTTAGCCAAATTCGTTTCACCATTGCAGGAAACTACTACAGCCTAAAAGCGCAGCACGAACGGGCCGTGCTCTACTTCAAGCGGGCCCTAAAATTGAACAGGTGCGAGAGCTTTCGCTCTAGTTCTCGCTAGAAGCGCGCCGTCTCCTGCCGGCAAAGCTGCGCGACTGTCGCCCCTTCTCGCTCACATACTAATGCATAACTTTCTCACTGGATGTCTTTGATGCGTTTTTCCAGCACTACATCTGCCTTCTGCCTACTACCTTTCTGTTGTACTGTACAAACTTTTGGCCCCTCGCACCAGTTGTGTATGCTGGTCGCAAATTTCGCACGAGGAAGCAAAGCGCTGATCGAGCGGATTAGGATATCTTGATTTCTCAAGTATGTGTGTTAAGGCCTTCAGGTAGTAACTTTCAATCAGACGGGCCAGTGTGTCCGACTTGCTTTGATGATTTTGCAGGGTGCATTTTCATCTCAAGTTCAGAAAACTCTTTCGCTTTCGAAAGCAACATGCTAGATCTCGTGTCGTTGCATAGATACATTAGTTCTCACACTCCTTCTCCTAAACCAGTCAAGCCTTTCAGCATTGGGGTGACACTTGATATTCGCAAATTACTCGTGGGAGTTTGCGTACCAAAAACGGTGTCAATCTTCCCCTGCAGAAACTATCTTTCGGCGTGGACGCTTATGGGCCACGAGTTTGTCGAGATGAAGAACACACCCGCCGCCATCGATGCTTACCGAAGGGCCGTAGGTCAGATCTCTCCGCTTTTCCTCTCTTCGATCCAAATCCAAGCTACTTTGATTACTTTCAGAGTTTCGTATCTCGTTTCTGCAAAGTGTGTTTCTTCTTCTTGCGTTGTTGTTCTCCGATTCACCCCCTGTGCAAGGACGATGCGTTCTGTGTTCTCTGTTCATCTTTAGCAGCAGGGGCTCTGTCGCTAAGCGACGCGATTTTGCGGAGTCCTTCTCGACGACAATGGTGCCGAGCCACCTATGCTTGCTTCGCTTGCATTCTTTCCACCTAAATCGGGTTCAGGGGGTCCGCTCTGTCTGTTCTCGTCTCCGTTCGTCCGGTTTGAACGTTCTTGAACCGAAAGGTTCAAGTCAAGATTCACGACTCTCGAATTCTTTGAGGGACGGTGTTTCCGCGAGATCCTCCGGAAACAAAAGCTGACGACCCTAAACCCTCAAAAGCTGGCCATTGCAGATATCGACCCTAAGGACTATCGAGCGTGGTACGGACTGGGCCAGACGTACGAGATCCTCGCGATGCCATACTACGCGCTGTACTACTATCGGAGAGCGACGCAGCTTAGGTAAGTCCTTTGTCGAACCACTGACGAAGAGCATCGCGGTTGCAGTATCTTTTAGACCGAAAAACTTTTCAAGCAAGGGGAGCAGCTTTTATACTTTGCTTTTTTTGAATTGGAAGAGCAGACTTCTCTTACAAAAGAAAGCGACAGTCTGAGGTGGTTCTGGTTTGAGGACGTGCTTTGACGATTTTGCGGCGAGGCCTATACAAACATTTCAAGACATGCTTCCGGGAGTCAGCTACTACCAGAATCCACATTGCTTTGTTGAACGTAGGAACAGTCTGCACCCTTTGTTCTGAGCTCGGCTTCCACCCGGCGGCACGTTTGTTTCGATCTAGTTGACTTCAGCATTTGCCTTGCCCATGATCCAGATATTGCCGACCGGACCGATGTGTGATGGGGCTAGTGGTACAAGAAAACCAGCTTGGCATGCAAAGCGTCCCTATTATGATTATGGAACCTTCTTCGGAACCCCCCGAAAGAATACGCTCAATGTTCTGATTGCCCAAACCCTATCGTTGACCCGGATTCGACAACGCCTCAAACTAGCACTCTTGCAGGCATGTGTGTGCAATGGGCCAGTCTTACGAGAACGAGCAGCGGGGCATGCACGAGGCGGCCATTCGGATCCAAAACCCTCGCCCTGATCTCCACTGTTTGCATCCGTTGCATGGCCCAATCCCCGTCGTTGAATTTCTTAGCACTATTTTTGCGCAGGCCAAACGATCCGCGCATGTGGTGTGCGATGGTGCAGTGCTACGAGAACGAGCAGTTGGGGATGCAAGAGGCAGCCACTCGGCGTTACTCAACACACTATCCTATGCCGATGCTCAGGACAACGTTCTAGCGCTGTAAACCAAAGTAACTCTTGAACCCATTTTCAGGCCCAATGACCCGCGCATGTGGTGCGCAATGGGTCAGTGGTACGAGAATGAGCAGTTGGGGATGCAAGAGGCGGCCACTCGGCGCTACTTAACACTCTATCATACGCCAATGTTCAGCATGATGCACGAGCGCTGTAAACCAAAGTACATCTGGATTCCATTTCCAGGCCGAACGACCCGCGCATGTGGTGTGCAATGGGCCAGTGCTACGAGAATGAGCAGCTGGGGATGCAAGAAGCCGCCATCCGCTTAACTAAAGCTCGTCCTAGATTCTGATTCCAACAACGTTGCCTAAAGCTTTTGTGGTGGCCGAAACCACATCGTTAACCCTGCGTTAAACCCTCTCATCCTTGCAGGCCGAACGACCCGCGCATGTGGTGTGCGATGGGCCAGTGTTACGAGAACGAGCAGTTGGGAATGCAAGAGGCCGCCATCCGTTGCTACTCGAAATTCTATCCTATGCCAATGCTCAGTATGATGCATAAGCGCTGTTAATAAAAGGAATTTTTGAACCCATTTTCAGGCCCAATGACCCGCGCATGTGGTGCGCAATGGGCCAGTGTTACGAGAACGAGCAGCTAGGGATGCAAGAAGCCGCTATCCGGTGCTACCGGCGCGCCGTGAGCTACGAGGACCGCGAGGGGATTGCGCTGCACAAGCTCGCGCGCCTGCATCAACAGCTAGAGCAGGTGCGGGGACTGTCGACTAGAATGCGAAATTCCGGGGATTTTGCGCCGGGTTTGAAGAGTCTCAAGCTCCTGGTCCGTTTCTGGGGCGGGAAGCTCAGATTTCAGGCATTTGGGGGTTTTAGCTGCTTTTGGGTTGAGGATGTTGACAATGGAGATTTTCGTGAGGCGTTCGTATTAAGGCCTGCGCATCTGATGAGGCAAGAGGCAATCTATTGCACAGCTATTGGATACTTGTCCCCATTCTAGGACGCACTTGAGATAAGGGCTTGGGGAATGACGTCACAGCAGATAAACACGGCGCAGCGATGGAGTGTCCTTATCAGAACAGTCAGTTGCTGACGTCACTTTCTGGTGCGTTCGTTGCCAGATGGACGAAGCGGCGCACTACTTCCGGAAGAACCTCGAGCGGATGGAACAAGACCAGGTGAGCCAACAGACGCCGACTCTTTCCTCCGATCTTTATGTTGCTTAATCCTCATCTCAAAGAAAGCTAACTGCTCCGCATTTTCTTTTGTGCGCCAGGACTTGTCGGACGGTCGATGCGGTTAAACAAGCGGTTCCTCTTGCCCGCCGTACGCTGCCCTCAAATCGCATACGGGGTCAATTGAGTATTTTCTGCTTTCCACGGTCTAATACGCCAACACTTGACAGGAGCTCTTCAATTTTACTTGCGCCCAAAAGGGGACACCTCGAACCAGCACTGTCACAACGACAGAGACGTTGGCAGACCCTTTGACGGATTACCTTCTCGCAGTGGATTCTCTTCACCCGTTATGTGGTCTCTGCTTCTCGTTCCAAATTGGGAAGGCTCATAAAGACTGGTAGTTTACCATCTTCCAAAGTTGTTGCGATGAATTTCATAGCAGTCCAATAGGCGTTGCGTAGTAACGGCGCTGCTACTGGACCGCGATCCGGAAAAGATAAGAAAAAAGGAGCGCATCCAAGCAGAATCCTGTACAGGCCCTGATGTTCCTGGCAGCATACTGCAAGCCACTTGTGACGACATTGACCTCAGCGGCTGACATCAGGCAGACTCCACATTCCCTTCAACCATCTTTTCCAACCCTGCATTTGCAGGCCGGCGGGCGCGGCGTGTCAGAGGCGCTTGTATTGTTCGCAGCGTACTGCAAAGACGACCAGCGAGTCTGTGACATGGGTTCTACTAATTGACGTTAGGCAGAGTTTTACGATCATTTCAACCAGCTTTCAAACCCTGGCTAACCAGCTCTAACCCTGGGTTTGCAGGCTGATGGGCACGACATAGTGGAGGCGCTGGTAATCCTGGCGGCAAGAACCGTGAACGGCAAACTGTGACGTCGGCCTTACGTTAGGCAGAGTTCTACGATTAACCAACTGAAGTTTGAAAAAGTTCAAAACCCTGGCTAACCAGCTTTCAAACCCTGGGTTTCCAGGCGGACGGGCGCAATGTGGTGGAGGCGCTTGCATTCCTGGAGCGAAGTGTAAAGGCGATTAGCGAATCTATGACAACGGGTTCACCAACTGACCTTAGACAGTCTTTTCCAATCCCTTTAACCAGCTTTCAGAACCTGGCTAACCAGCTTTCAAACCTTGGGTTTGCAGGCGGACGGGCGCGACGTGGTGGAGGCGCTGGTGTTCCTGGCCGCGTACTGCAAGAACCAGGGCCTATTACACGAGGCGGAGCAGTACTGCACCAAGCTCATGGACTATGGGGCCCCGGTTAGTAACTGCTCTTGTTTTGTTGCCTGGTTTCAAAGAGTCGTCCTTGTTACGCCTCTCTCGTTACTCGTGAAAGGTGGTTGCATTTTCGGTAAACAGGGCGTGCTGCATGAGGCTGAGCAGCACTGCACTCAGCTCTTGAGGACCCTTGCAAGTCGGACGTTCTCAAGAGCTTGATTCTGTCGTGGCTCTGGCCCTCCCTTACGCCCTCTCCACATCTTGAGGTGTTCAACATTCGGAAAAAGTAGGCCGGTTGTTGCGCTTTGCGAAAACCTCAGTACAGGGGAGTTGAAGTTGGCCGCTTCTTTCCGAACCACTTTTCTTACTACGCACTTCGTTCTGCTCTTTTCGTTCTCCCTTGTGCGGAGCAAGGCGTCTTGTCAGAAGTAACTCTTACAAGCTTGTCTTCTCCTTCCTAGACCGCATACCAGTCGGTCGCTTCGTGCACTGAATGTCAAAAAGCTGTTATAATTGCTTCGCTGCCGATTTCGCTTCAGGCGTGAAGCCGGGCTGCCAAGGTAGAGCTCGATTCTGCCAAGCTGGAGGATTGGCTGCAAACCCACGTGCGCTTAGGTATTAGCTCAGAAAAGCTTGGCTCGTTTTGAGCGGCAACAAGCAGCGCTCAGTCTGACGCCGACTTCCGTACTCGGAATCCGACAGCGCTTGAGAAATCTTGTCATGCCCGACATGAGAATATGATTCATAGCAAGCTCAAACACATCTCATCTTTCTTACCGATCTGACCCCTGATCCGAAACCCGTCTCTTGCAGGAGAAGGAGGAGGCCAAGGCAATCTTGCGAGAGATCCGGAGCGTCCAAGAGCACGGCGTTCTATCCCCACATATGGACCTCGAGAGTTATACGCCTTGACGGAGCTCCGGATGTTGACCTTAGGCGTGGCCTGTGGAACAGGTTGCGTGTCCAGCAGACTGGAGTGGTGCCCATATCATGCGTCAAATTCTTACATGGCAATGAGTCTCAGCATCTCATGTCAACTCTAAAGGACGCCGAGCTTCACAAATGTTAATCTGAACTCAATCACATCCTTGCTATGTATTTTGGACATAGAAGAAACGTCTTCCAAATCTCTCGTGTTTGAATTCTCTTCAGCCCGATCTTTGTTGAAACGGCAGCATATAATCAGACGGTCGGACTCACAACCACATATGTGTATGCCATGAAACGGGCACACGTGTGCGCTGCCTTGTTAATTGCGCATATGTGACTTGCAACACGCCAATTATCCCCGACGGCGACACAATTGCTCATCGAGTACTACCGCAACAGGGCCTGCACGCAGAGAGTCCACGTGACATCCGACAAGCTAAAGTGACCGTCTGTAATCAATTTGCACTTCGATACAAACGGTTGCTTCAGTTCTCATCAGTGCGTGGTCGGACTCTGCATCGACGAACGAAGCTTGGGATCCTATAAAATATACTATCGGATACACATATATGCATCGGCCTAGGCCGGTTCTTTGATTGCAGCTCTGGCGGGACGCTGCACATGCAAATAACGGCATGCGGCGCGCCAACGTACTCCTGAGCTGGCGCCGCGCACGAATTTGAGGGTTTGAATGAGTCTGGCGACTGCGCAACGTTGGCTGCTCAGACTTGAGCTTGGTCCCGGTCGCTCGCCCAAGCATAGCAAGCGTCCGCGCAAGGATCGGCTGTACTATCATTAAGGACTTAGCCGCATGTTCGATTATCAGTTGTATGTCCAAGCCCACGCACACATGGGCTATATAGCCGCGGGCGCACCAGCCGGGGTCTGGCATGAGATCGAGTGCACGCGGCCGCTATATTGGCTACCGCCGCTATTGGCTACCGCTAAACCCTGCAGGGTTTGGTCGGAGTGCGGGGCGGCGCGGCCAGCGCGCGTGTCGGCTGCGGACCGCGGCCCGGCCGCCGCGCTCCCAGGCCGCAGATGCTAGAGATCATTGAACCTATGTAGCTCGCTCAGCTGCAACTTGTAAGAACTTCAAGCACGTTGCACAGCTGCTGCTGGGAACTTCCTTTGTCAAGAGTACTCCCCCGCTTCAGCCTCGCCCTGCATGGACGCTTTCAGCAACGTCATTCGCCTGAGCCCTAGGAGCACCTTGCGAATAGCCTACGGCCTAAGGGCTCTTCCCCAGAAACAAACAAGAATCATCTCGCGGCAGGAGAGTAGCGGCACCTTTGCCACCTTTCATCTTTGAAAAGAAGAGCAGGATGGCCCTTTTCAGAAAATTTGTCTCTCACCTGAGCTTCTGCTTCTCGTTTGCGAGGCTGCAACCGATCCAAGTTCGTTATTGCAACGGTATCCGAAATGACTATCTGGCCAGGGATGTCAAGGCAAACTTGGAGGTTGATACCCCAATAGCGGCTCTCTTCCGATTGGTGGACCTGGCTTTGGCGGGGCGGTTTCTCTCCTTACGAGATGAGGTCGAGTTTTTCTGGTGGCGTGCAGTTCCCACTGAAGTGCGCTGGGGCGATGCTGTCAAGAGCAAGGAGTATAACATGCACTACGAGAAACACTTGGATGCTGACTGGCTCGTACACAACGTGCCCGATCCCCGGAGTCTGGCAAAGCTTCCACCTCCCTTTTGCGAGCCAGTATTCATGCTCAAAGCGCCTACTTCTAAGGAGATCAACCAGTACAGGCAGCAGCACTCAAAGTACGCTAGCTTGTATGCAACTGAGGAGGGTTGCAGGCAGTTGCGGATTGTCATTGCTGCCGCATTCGCAGCTGAGCTTTGTGAGGCGTTCAACTGCCGTATCCAACATGGTTTGGCCAGGGGCAGGGCAGATGATGATGACCACCTGACTTTTGGACTTGCAAACAAGGGAAGGCTGCAGCTCGAGACTCCTCCAGACTGGGAGAAGGAAGTGGGAAAGCAGCCGGTTGAGGAACTGGGGTGTCTGCGCTTTTTTGGAATGGGCCCTGAGGAAAGAAGAGTCGGACTGTGGGTACCAAAGCTCGGAGTCGGAGTTTTGAAGCACGGGGCATTGACTTCGAGGAGAAGTTCATAAACTTTGCATGTAAGAACCAACTTGAGATCCCATCTGTAAACTGCCTAAGTGTCATCTGGGCCTTGATCAAAAGCTGCCAGTTGGGACCAATCATGGTGTACTCCTTCCTCCTCCTGTAGATCCTGAGTTCCTTACAAGAGCAGCTTCTGTGGTAACAGCATGAAAAACTACTAGACCGAGGACCAGCACAAATTGTTAGCAAGGCAGCTCCACAATTTTCTTTCAAATGGCTTCAAGCAGATTCAGCCTGTGAAGCCGTATCATGGAGGAAGGTCTTTATGGAACTCCAAAGTGACTTGGGAGTCTGTTGAGTGCTCTGAAATCGTTCCTGTTCTCCCAACTTTGAACCATAGTCCCCTTTCTGCTGGGCTTCTGTGTGTCTACTCTTACAACAAGAAGCATGCCTTTTCCCTCTCATGTTCCGCATGCCTAAATCCTGGCGCAATGTTTGATCAAACTTGCGAGTGACTCGACGAGAAGCGCACTTAACCTTGACAAAATGGTCTCCGAACTCATGCAGTGCTTCTTCACGATCTCCCGGAGTTTGCTTACTCTAGGTGTCTGTTTCATTGACAGGATCCACTCCGTCAGCAATCTTTCTTCTTGGCAAGCTGGATGCGTGGTAAGCCCAGCTCTTACGCCCATTCTTTGCCTGCTATCTCTCTAACCATAAATCCATTCATGAAGACCAGAAAATGGATTGCGCCAACATGTTAGCGCAGGTCTTCGACGCCAAAGACCTGAAGCGGAGATGATCAAACTAGGAACTGAAGGAGTCTGGGTTGCAATGCTTTTTGGCTTTCGAGGATCTTGTCAGAACTGCACTTTTCCATGATCATATGGTCCTTGGACCGCTTGGCCGCTGGGCCGTTTGGAGATCAGAGAGATACTCGAAAGGGGTGGGCTTTGAGACAAGCCCGGTCTCATTTAGCTTTCCTGTAAGACCGCCCTGATCTCAAGGCGTGGTCTCAAATGGGGCTTTAGGGTTTGTTCTGACGGGTTTGCCACAACTAATATTTGAACCGCTCTTCAACTACTATTCTCGAAGAAGGAGGTGAGATCGAGAAGGGGTGGCAAGCCTGGTTTCTATGGCCCCAGGGGGAGACTGACAGCCAGCCCCCAATCAGAGAAGGGCAGCAATGTCTATGACGCTTTCGAAGTACAACCTCCCGCTCGTTTGCCAGCACTTGAGCGAATGGCGATCTTTCGAGCAGCTATTGGAATTTGAGTAGTCTCTGTTCTATCACGCACTCCTTTTAAGGACACAACGAGAAGCTTGGAGAACGACGTTACGAGAAACGAAAACCACCATGTGACGAAGTGACTTCGTCGTACTATCCGTCCCTGACGTCACTCTTGTTGGTCCCTCGTCGCCAGATGGACGAACCGGCGCACTACTTCCGGAAGATTCTCGAGCGGATGGAACAAGAGGCGAGCCACCAGACCCGGCTCTTTCTTTCCGACCACTTGTTGCTTAGTACTCATCGGCAAGCGCGAAATTAGTTGCTTCCAATCTTGGATTGTGCGCAAAAATCTGTGCGACGGGCAATGCTGATCGGAACCGAGACTTCTTCTCATCCGCTTTAGTTCCGCGTACGTAGATCATCTTACTACAATTTGGTTTCTGCTTTTCGGACGCCAAAAGTATCTTGAAATCTGAGCCAGGGTCGTCCAACAGCGGCGCTCGAAAGGCGATATCTCGAAGCGGTAGTCAGTACGGAAGAGACGTCAGCAGACCCTTTGACGGTTTGCTTCTTCGCAGTGAACCTTTATATCACCCGCTATCTGTCCTGCTTCTCCGTCTGAAAGCGACAAAACTCCCAACGATCGTCGTTCATAAACTTGCAAGGTCATTGCGATGGAGATCGGCATAGCAGGCCGACGGGCCTGACGCAAATGAGGCGTACTACTGCAAAGTTGACCAGCGAATTTGTGACTACTTCTGCTTTCGCGGCTGACATCAGGCAGAATCCACGCTCACTTTGATAATCACTTTTGAAATCTGGGTTTGCAGGCCGAATGGCGTGACGTGGTGGAGACGTTAGCAAAAATCGTGAATAGCAAACAATGACGTCGGATTTAGAATCCGAAGTTAGGCAGTGTTTAGGTTTTTAAGAATCATAATAACAATCCCAGACCCTGGTTAACTAGCTCTCAAACCCTGGGTTCAGGCTGACGGGCGCTGGCATCTTTGGCGACGTGTTGCAGAACGGCCAATCTGTGACGTCCGCCTAACGAGCGGACGTTAGATAGACTTCACGTCCCCTTTAATCAGCTTCAAATACTAAGTTTGCAGGCGGATGGGCGCACTGGTGTTCCTCGCGGCTTACTGCAAGAACCAGGGGCTTCTGCATGAGGCGGAGCAGTATGTGGTCGTTGGTAGCACAGCCTGGCAGGCCGTCTCTAAAGCATCGTTCTTTGAGTCGTCACATGTGCGGTTTTGTCCACAAGGCCTTCGGAACCAGTTCAAGCAACTGGCATGCTTCGTTTGACCTATTCAATCATACATTTACTCTCTCATGCTCGAATTTGGAAAAATAAATACACCGGCCGTTACAAAAGAGAGCTGGCACACCTTTCATGATGTGCACACACACACTCATACATGTATGCCATGAGAAGCCTATGGCCTATTTGGCTACGGCGAGAACGAAAAGAGACCATGTGCGGAACTACTGAGCGGCAAGACTGTATGCACGCGTTGCATGTGCTCAAGCCGAGTGGCGGAGATCCGGGGCCCTGAAGTAACTCAATGAACATGCCATGATGCCATTCAAGGTATATATACGCGGCCGCCTATACCATATACAATGCAGCTAGCACTAGCAACACAACATATGAATGACAGCGCGTATACTGTTGTTAGTATAGTACTACATGTCATACTCCTATAAGCTTCCCAATGATCGCCGCATATACGTGCATGTGCACGCTATATATAGGTCCTATATACACGTGACTCAGTACAGCTTTTACTTAATTTAAGTCAATCCAAAGCATGCTACTTCAGAATTGTTTATCTCAACGCTCAGTTGGACGAATTGGTCCGTCTCGCGTTCAAATGAACGGTCGATTGGCGGCCATCAGCTTTCTAGGAGCATGCAAGCAAGCGAGCGCGTGACTGAACGACATTCACTGTCGCACGCATATTGTCTAATATCAGGGCATGCGAACAATGTAGCGAGTAAGGACAAGCGTGACTGAAGCCTACTTTTTCTGCATATTTCTACGCCTAAATCATCGTGATCGAACTTGAACTTGAATTCGGTATGGACGGTGCATATCCGATCTCTTCCACTTCCCTTGTGTGTGCCTTTATCGAGAATGGAACTCACTCTCAAACTTCACCACCTTGTCATCCATGTATTTCCAAAGCCGCGCCCAGCAATTACGTACCTATATCCTCTGCTATCCGGATGTTACCATTCACGTTGCATCTGTCAATACAATGCGAGTATAAATGTCTATACCCTCGCCGAACTGGCTCAACAACACGCCCCATCAGCAACTCACAACAACGTGCGTACAAAACGAAAAACGCGTCTACCAGTATTCCACCGTTACCGCTTTCGTGCGGAGATACTCATCAAGCGCCTCTTGTCCAAGATCCTTTCCAAACCCGGACTGTTTCCAACCGCCAAAGGGCGCGGCAACGTCCGTTTTATTGTACGTATTGACGTAAACCGTTCCCGCTTGCAACCCGTCAGCAACTTTTAGCGCCTTGTTAAGGTCCTTAGTGAAGACGCCTGACGCGAGGCCGTATTCGGTGGCGTTCGCCCGTTTCAACACCTGGCACGACGAGAGAAAATTCAGGAAGTAACTAGACTGGGCAAGCATTCGTATCAAGCTCAGATTGAACCTCACGACTGGTCGGCCAACAGCAACCTCACCAGTGATGGCAATCTTTGGACACGACAGACGTAATATTTGAAAGTTCCCGAAACTCCTGGAAGAGGACGATTGCGGAGGAATCACCCGTGATTTAGCGATGACGTCTGTTACTGATGGCGTTCAGTTCTTGTCAGGAGCAGCGCTGCAAACTTGCTCGTAGCAGCCTCTACAATTGGCAGCACCGAACCTACGAACAGAGTACCCGCAATTCGGGATTGACTCATGACTTTGAGGGTCCAAACGTGCACTTCAACTCCACATAAAAATTCTCACCTTGTCAAATTACAGACAGAAGCTTCTCAACCTTGAGGTTTCGACGTCGAAGTCATCCGTCATCCACTTTCAAACAAGTGCAACAATGTTTCCTACGGGGTTACAAATGCACTTTAAAACGGTCCCCCGCCCCCCCCGGAATGTTGCCGGTGTCCGTAAGCCGAAAGATCCACCGTCCCTTGCTTTGATTGAAGCCTCACCTTACCCGTCCTCCGTTTATTAAAGAATTGCAGTAGTGTTTTCCGGGGGGGGTAAAATGCAGATTGAAAGGTTCCCCCTGCGGAAACGTTGCCGGTGTCCGTAAACCAGAAGACCCACCGTCCCATGCTTGGTTAAAGCCTCACCTCATCGAGAGTCTCAAACTTCGAGATCAGCATAATCGGCCCGAACGACTCCTCAGTCGCTGCAACCGTGCCGTCTTCCACTCCGGTTATGACCGTAGGCTCCAGGAAGAAGCCCCGCGTGCCAACACGTTTACCGCCGTAGACTACGGTTGCCCCCTCTTTCACCGCCGTCTGCACAGAGGAGTCCTTGGGTGTAACTTGGGAAGCACTTTTGAAGGGTTTACAGGAAGTTGGTTACGGATACTTGCGCCCAATCGGAACAACCGAATTGGCAGCGCCACACTGCAGGGGTGCTGTGGCGGCGCTCCAATCGTCTGCTACTTTTCCGAGCCACACGTGACTGTTCTTTAGTGCGTTGAGGTGGAGCCGGTAGCGAGTCTGATGGAAGCGAATGACCGTAGCGAATGGGGGTTGGGGACAGGTTCAGTGCGTTTCCCCCCGAGGAGAAGATGGACACATGCCGACACGCTTGCGCTTCAGCCTAAGGTGGCCCATTTGCATTTGTAGCTAGAGTACACAATACAGTCCTCGTCTAGAAACAGACTCTTTGCCACTCCTGTTTAAACAGGGACAGATCGATAGTCTGATGTTGAGACTGTAACGAAGATGAACGTCTCCTACTCATCTTCCTCCTGTAGAATCCATAGGAGGGGACGATAAGCGATGCTTACCTCAATATACGCCACCAGCTTGTCGAAGTGCGCCTTATGGTTCTGCGGCCCGTGCACGGTCGTGCGGTCCAGCGGGTCCCCGATCTTCATCTTCCGGACGTCCGAAACGACAGCTTCTACAAACTTGTCGTGTACGGAGGATTCCACAAACACGCGTCCGGCGGCGATGCAATTCTCGCCCTTGTTGAAGAAGACGGCCTGGCCGGCTTGTCGAACGGCCCGGTCGAAATCGGCATCCGCAAAGACGATGAGCGGGGATTTACCGCCAAGCTCCAACGAGACCTGGGATAAGTTGAAGAAAGAACTTCAATCTAGACATCGTTTACGGTTTCGAGATTTCAGGGGTTTGAAGAGAAGCTCTACAATCGAAGAAGACGGCTTGACCAGCTTGCCGAACGGCGCGATCGAAGTCGCCGTCTGCGAAGACAATCAGCAAAGACTTGCCCCCGAGCTCCAATGAGACCTGCGATGTTTTGAACAAAGAAAGTCAAGCTAGACCATCGTTTGTTGTTTCGACTTTTCAGGGATGTAAAGAGAAGCTCCAAAATCGAGGGAGACGGCTTGACCCGCTTGTCGAACGGCGCGGTCGAAGGGCGTCTGCGAAGACGATGAGCGGGGACTCGCCACCTAACTCTAAAGAGACCTACAAAGAAAATTGGGACTTTCAAAATCAGTCAAAAGTACCAGTATTAATCTCCATTTTTGAGGGCCTGACCCGCTTCCCGAACGGCACGGTCGAAGTCGGCGTCTGCGAAAAGATAATCATCGTGGACTTGCCGCCCAGTTCCAGCGAGACCTGCGAAGCGTGAACGTAGAGCGTTGGGGTTTGGGAGGTGAAGACTCTCAAGTTGACTGATGTTTGAAGGCCTTCAAATGGCGCGGTCGCTTGCGAGGACGATCAGCAGAAAACGGCAGTTATCGATTTGTTGAAGTCAAACAAAATCGTGCACCATAAATGCTAGGCTCAAGCTATTTAGTTTCTGAACTGGTAAGTCTTGTGAAAGTTGCGGGCTGACCACGCGGCACGTTTAAAGTCGGCGGCTGGGGCGATAAAGAGGGAAGCGTTGCACTTAGATGCATTCGGCTCGAAAAGACGGACGGATGCGCACAGTCCTAGAGACACCGGATTTCTGTTGGACCTCGAAAACATGAGAGAGCAGACTCAAGCACCCAAGCGAAACGCTCAGAGGAAGTAGACATGTTCGGAGCAGATTCAAGCAATGTGGCTCAGTGTGCTTCAGATTCAAGGATAGAAGCCAAGGGTTTCCACGTTTTTCAAGCCACGTGCCTTACTGCAAAAAAATCAGGTCCGAGCATGCTATCGTCGGGGTAAAAACGTTCCTGAGAGCCAGACAATTGATTTGTTTTCTGCCCGAACTACAAGAGGTTGCGGTGTGGCTCTTGCAGTCAGTCCGTTCTGCATTCGATCTGCACCCCTCACCTTCTTGAGGGTCTTCGCAGCGCCCCCCATGATCATCTTTCCGACGGGCGTCGACCCGGTGAAGCCGACTTTCCGGATCGAAGGGTGGTCGGTAATCGCATTCCCGACCACACTCCCCGCGCCAAGAACCACGTTCACAACACCGGGGGGAAACCCCGCCTTGAGCGTCAGCTCCGCGAACTTGAGCGCCGTCAGCGGAGTCACCTGGGCAGGAGAGGAGCTGACGTCAGCGGTGCCTATGCTGGCGATATTATTTTCGTCGTGGTCAGCATGAGTGGAAAGTCAACAACGTTCACGACCCCGGCATGGAACCCCGCCTCGGGCGTCAGCTCCGCGAACTTGAGCTCCGTCAGCGGAGTCACCTGGGCAGGCCAGGTGCTGACGTCAGCGGTGCACATGCTGACGACAATTTGCATTTTGGCGACATCGGGAGAGGACGTCATGGCTGCTAATGCTGATGTTGGGCGCTGCCTATGCTGGTAAGTAAGGGTGGTGCTAAGAATGCTTATGGTCTTAATCACCTCCAGATCAGCTCCAAAATAGCTTTGCCGTCTGGCATATGTTTGTGACAGAACCAGGGGCGGGAAGACGTAATTGGAAGTGTTGGCCGGCGGAAAAACACAAGCCAGCCTTATAATACCAGGACAACAAAGGCTGATAGCGTAGCAAACAGCTCTGTACAGTCATTGTGATCAAGACCTTAGACAAAGTGCTCCTACTCTCAGTCACACGCGTCCCTCGCAACATCAGTCAGAAGGGTCTTTCATGTTACGTTCCTGGGCGCTTCTTAAATCCTCGCTTATGCGACATTTTACCAATCATTTCACCGGAAATTCGCATTCGACTGCCAGATTTTGCACCAGAGGCAGACAAGGAAGGGGCAACGTTGAAGCCACTCCTTTCTTCTTCTCCATATTGTCAGCAATTCGGGTTCTGTAACTTCGCTGAGTCACAAAGCCCACCTTTATACGCAGAAAGAAAGTGTTGATTTTCGCTCACCTCCGCTGGTTTCAACACGAGCGTATTCCCCGCCGCCAGGCACGCAGCCGCCTTCCACGCCACCATCATGAGGGGGTAATTCCAGGGCACAATCAACCCCACCACGCCGATGGGCTCTCGTCGCGTGAAGCAGAGGTTTTTGCTCGGGCGGGAATCGTTGATGGGGATCGTGCGGCCCTCGATCTTGTCCGCGAGGCCGGCGAAATAGCGGAACGTGTCGACGGACATGCCCACGTGGGTCTTGACCGCGAGCGTATAAACAGCGCCTGAACAGAAACGTAATGCAGAAGTATTGGGGTTTCGTTCTTGAAGTGTTGTGTTTGAGTATGCTTGTAAAGTCAGACCGGCGAAGTAGCGGAGCGTGTCGATGGACATGCCCACGTGGGTCTTGACGGCGAGCGTATATACAGCACCTGACAAAAAACGCAATGCGGAGGTTTCAGGTTTTCGATGTTTGTAAGCGGATATGGGAGCTTTTAGTTGTGACAAGACCGGCAAAGTGGCGGAGTGTGTCGACGAATATGCCCACGTGGGCCTTGACGGCGAGCGTATAACAGCGCCTGGAAGGAAGTACACGCTTGACATATCTTAGGTTGGGTATTTTAGGTCAGTAAACAGGTTTTGTTTGTGTGGCGGGGCTGGCAACGAAGCGGAATGCGTCGACGGACATGCGCACGTGGGTTTTGACAGCGAGCGTGTACACAGCGCCTGCAAAGTCACACGCGTGTTCTCAAGCTTGGTGCGGACTTTTATTTTTGTGGTACAGGGAGACTGGCTGAATGTCGAAATAGATTCACGGCAAGTCTCGACAGCAAGTTACAGCACCTGATAGATCGATAAAGGCACAGCCTTTGAAATTATCTGAAGTTTCGGGTATCTTTTCAAACTTGATTTCAGACTGGTTGGGTTGACGAGGCTGGGGGAAAACCGGAATACCTTCATGGACGTGCCTGCACAACTTTTGCCAGTGAGCACGTACACTTCACCTAGACACACACTTCCAAGATCCGAGATTGTGCGGCTGGTAGGCGTAAATCAGAGTTTGCTTGCGAGACTGGCGGGGTGGCAAAACATGCTCAAAAAATGCTCTTCAAGTCAATGAACCAACAGCTACAAGAGCTGTCTGCTCATCCCCGCGCTGAACCTGGGCAAGACACGTCATAGTGGCTGATAGGCTCTCGCCTCCGTACCTGAGTCCAAGCTCTCGATCGTTGCCAGCTCCTCCTTGTTCTGCTCCATCAGATCGGCCAGCTTCATCAGCAACTTGCCCCGGTCGCGTGCGCTGATTTTCCGCCACTCGCCGTTCTCGAACGCATCCTGAGATAAACGGAAAAGTCCTTCTTCGTGCCACTTTCGGTACTACTTCAATCATGTCTCTTCTCAACTTCCTCTGTAGAATGCTTTGTTGTGGTCCCGCGCAAGAAGAAACTGCAGGACTCACTCGGCAAGAATGTCGAACACATTTCGAACACGCGTTTAAGTGGGAAGCCTCTGACCCGGATGCCATTACAAGGAGGGTTTGACTGGCACAGACGTCAACGGCTGGGATGGGTCGCAAGTATCTTGTTCCATATTGACCACCTAACGACAGAGTTTCTACTTTTGGGGCACTCTAAAACACTTGCATGCAACCTGACCGTTTCTCCAGTCTTGCTAACCCGGTCGATGATGCGATCGAACAAAGCTAAGGGCGATCCGCTCACCTTTGCTGACGTCACAGCTCCGTCGACGTCCGCCGCGCTCCCGTCCGCCACGTCAACAATCACCTCCTCTGTCGCAGGGTTTATCGTGGGCCGGGTTTTCCCCTCTGACCCGTCCACAAACCTCCCCCCGATAAAGTGCTGCACTGGCAAACTGAGCTCTAACCCGTTCGCCCTAACCTTAACCGTCTTATACTCTGCCGCGCTGGATTTCGTTTTCAGAACCGTTTTGACGAAGTCGCCGTATGTGGGTGCCCGGTAGATGTCCTCTGGGTCAATTACTAGGCCTACGCTAGACTGCAGGTTTTCTACTAGGCGGGTTGCGTCGAGGGAACCAGCGCCTTGGGCGAAGAAGTCGGTGTCCGAGGAAACCTGCGGGAACGGGGGTTGCATGTTAGGAAATGTGAAGTCAAGCAATTTGCAACATTCCCTACGATGGAAGGTTTTTGAACGCATGTTGTCAAACGGACCGACTTCTTGTGCAAATCATCAGTTTCTGGAGGTATCGCTGCACAAGAATTGGTAACATTCTCAATTCCGATGGAGCGAAGATTCAACGCTAGCCCTCAAGGGCTAGGCTCGACTGAGATTCACCAATATGAGCTTTGCTTTGACGGCACAAGGTACAACAACAGGCGGTCTCCGTGCGCGATCGACGATCCAAGGAAAAGTAAGGTCGGGGCTGGTATAGCTACTTCAACGGCTTGGGATAGGGATGGGTGCGGAGCAGACAATCACGGCCTCAATCACGGTTTTTAGCATTGGAAACGCTTCGTTGCCAGATTGAGAGGTACCTTGAGGAGGCGTATGCCACGTTCAGGGCAAGGTAAAGTCCGACGCCGAAACTACAAAAAGCAACCCCCTCCGCCTCACCGTTTCCACCCCCAATATGTCCTTCCACACCGCCTCAATCGCCGCCCGCGCCGCCGCTTCGTCCACTTTCGGGGCCTCCTTTTTCCCGCCCCCCTCGTTGCTACTCTCCCCAAGAAGGTCTGCGGCCGGCAAGCTTTTCCCGCCCACTTTCACTGACGTCACCAACAGTTTCTCGCCGTCAGAGCCGGTCAGCACAAGGCCCTGCCCGGTGACAAACCCCGGGTGCTTGCTCCCCTCGATTTCCACGGGCTTTCCATCGGTGGGAATGCCCCCCGACGGCGTTCGAGTGGAGCCGTAAAGCGTGGTTTCCTACCATTTGCGAGAGGAGAAGATTGAGTTGCTGATTATCTTGCCTTCGGAAAAGTTAACGACGTATGCACCTTCCCGGTTTCTTGTCTTGCAAGCTTCATAATTCGGTTGGAAAGAGCTGCGCAAGCTGGTGCTAGAAGTGGCGCGTCGTGCTGTGCTTTCAGCGCTAAAGGCAACAAGAACTCGTCACACCACGGCGGCTCGATCGGAAAGGATATTGCAGGGTCTTCATGCAGAAAAACTCCGTGTTTCTCTAAACCAGAAATTGAAAGTCAGCGCAAGTATGGAAGTGAACTACACGTTGGTTAGGTTCAACCAAACTAACCAAGTTGGGCAGACTCCCATTGCTCTCGATTGTTTGTAGGGCCGACTTTTAACACTAAGCACCCGGGGGACGGGTGTGGTTACTTTGGGGGTTAGGGTGGGTGCGGGTGCGGAGCGCGAACTATCTCGACTTAATGTTTTTGATTGAGATGCCCGGGGCTTATGTATCCAAGAACTATCTCCTGTTGATACAATCTTGAGTAACCATTATGTTGGGCATCGGTCCAAAGCGTTGCGTTAGTCTGCCGTTAGACGAATACCTGGGAAAATCTCCGTTGGATATCTGGTCTGTATCGAACATTATCATAAGACCCCTTCAGATTCAACATTCAGGTCTGGTTTTGTGCGGATTAAGTTTGCACTTTATCTGGTCGTTAATCAAGGGCCGCTCTGTTTCTCACACGTGTTGGCTCCAGCTTTTCGAGACCTCTGTAACACGTTCGTTTACCTCAACTCGGTTCGTGCGAAAAAGCTTGCGGATTGCCTGGCCGTTAACCACGGCCCACGTCCCGGGCACTCTGTTGTTGCCCCAGGCAAAGTCGCGGGTCTCCTTTTAAACCCAACTAACCGCGCATTCAAACATATGTGGAATCGTGCGGGTTAAAACTTCAACTCACCTGGCCGTTGACTACGGCCCACGCCCCGGGCACTCTGTCGTTCCCCCGGATGAAGTCGTGGATCTGCTGACCGGTCTTGTCGAAATCAATGCGGGCCTTAACGGGGTCCTGCAAAGATGGGTAATACCAGGTTGAGACTAAACTACACTCGCTGAGGAGTCAACAAGCATCCTACTCAGATTTATAAGTCGATTGCTGTCGGTTGGAGGTCCGAAGTTGTGACGATTTCGCTGGGTCAGCATTTCAGAGCTTGTGACAGCTGGTGAACGGAACTAACAGTCGATCTCAACAGGAGCTTCAGAGCTGCAACTTGGGGGTTGCACCGAACGCAACCGAAAGAAAGGACCGGAAAATTCATGACGTCTTCACAACAACTCCTCGAGGGCTCAGCCATCGTGACTGTAGCCTAAAGCAAATGGTCAAGTGCGAAGCTCCCCAGCCGAAGCGCGACTCTGCAATCAGTAAGCACTGAGAGATCCCTCATCTCGCAGAAAGTAAGGATGTTGGAGAGAAGAAGGAGGTATCTCTGACCTTCCAAAGCGGATCGTAGGTCGCCCCTTCCGTCGGCTGGACGATACGGGGGGCTTCACCGGCTGCTATGAGGTCGACCGCATCCCCGACCGCTTTCACGCCCTCAGGGAATAGGAACCGCTTATCTGTTGGCGGAATGGATATGATATAAGCGATAGCATAGGTTATGAGCGGCTACGGCGTTTCCAAGCTGCTATCAGGTCGACCGCATCTCCGACCGCCTTGGCCCCTCCGGAACAAGAAAACGCTCATCTGCAGGGGAAAGGGGAATGCATATAAGCAGATGCAAGGCTATGGAAAGTGCGTGCGAGAACCCAGCTGCTATCAGGTCGACCACATTCCCTCGGGGAAGATGCCCATCTGCGGGGCAGGATGGGTAAGCTTAAATGAATCGCATAAGCCAGGTGCGGATGCGACATTGTCCAGTCGATAGTATGATCCGACCACCTTGACCCCGTTGGGAACACGAACCGCTAATCTACAGGAGAGGGGAACCAATCCATTAAAGACCGCGAAAAATTTCGGATTTAAGCAAGAGCAGCTGAAGGCAAGAGCGGGCAGATACTTGAGCTTGAGAACGAAGCAATTGGAGGAAGGACTTCCAAAACCAGAAAGGGTCGACGGTGTTGGCCGCACGGAACATCTGGCATTCGAATGCGTAAGTTTGACATCTTAAAACGGTTGTCGTTTCGTTCCCAAAGTCGTATCCCCAACGCATAACGAACCAGCAACTCTTTTTGATCTCCGTTCAATGAGCGATTCGAAGGCGTCGACCGAGCTGACGTCTGTGCTGCGATATATCTGTTTCGTGTACGGAGTACTGCAAGTAGTGAAGCTGCGACACCTTGATCTGGAACTTTTGGGACTTGAAACCCTTCACATTACAGAGATTAAGGCAATTGTCGTTCACCACAACGTCCGTGTCGCACTGCAAACCAGCAGTGTGTTTCAAGAAGTTTATATCTCAAGTTCAAGAAGCTTGGTTACTCGAAAATAAACAAACATCCAGAGGTCTGACACTCACAGAGCGAGTTCACTGTGTCGTCCGGCTCAACGTCCGTCTCGCGCGTCAACAAAATCGGTCCGGTGTCAAGTCCGTCGTCCGCCCAAAACACAGTCAGCCCCGCCTTCTTATCGCCTTCCATGAGCGTCCAGTTGATAGCTGACGCGCCACGATGGCGGGGCAGAATGCTGGGGTGGTAGATGATGCCGCCATACTTGTTGCTGTCAAGGAGCTGCAAAAGAGAAGCGATCCCCGTTTCATTGTGAGCATTTCCGATAGTGAATGCGTTACGGTGCTGCGGGGGTGATGCTCGGGTCGTAAACAATGCCGCCATACATGTTGCTGTCAAGCAACTGCAGAGGTGAGTTCCAGACTCCTTGAATCGAAGCTCTGAAACCTCGATCTTCGATCAACCAAGGCGATTAGTGTGCATTCTCTCACGGGAGATTCGGATTGAGAAAGGATGCTCGGGCGGTGAACGTGCCGTCATACTTTCGCCTCGAGCAACTTTTATAGGAGAGGATGATTCCTGGGAAAATTCTGAATTCAAATGCTTTCTTTCATGTACCTCATTTCCTAAAGGTGTATTGTGCCGCGAGGCCTGAATTCCATGCAGGTATGAATCTGGTCCGTTCATTGGCTACGTAAAGGCACTGATCTAAGTTTCACTACCAGGCAGGGCCTTTTCTTAGGGCCAAACCCCTTTCGAAGTTACCTTGCTTTTACACAAATCTTTAGGAATCAGAACGGCAGCTTGTGGCCTTACTCCTACGTTGACAGAGATTGACGACCTCTACAAACTTTGGGTGGCGACCAGGCAAGCCATCACCAAGACAATGTAAAAGGAACCAGCCAAGACTCCATCTCTGACAACTGCAGTCACCGTTTGCGGTGCCAAGAGAACAGAGCAATTTCCTCTTCAATTATGCGGACTGCCACGCGGTTGCACATGTTAAAAAGCCGAACAAAAGTTGACGGCGCACTGCTTACATCGACAGGGATGAACTGCGTGACGAACGCCAGCACGCTGAGGTCAGCGCCTACCGACTTGAACTGCTGCTCCACCTCAGGGAGCGTGTGGCCACCGTCCTGAGAAAAATGGTCTGAGCTTGGTTATCTCCTGATTAGCTACAAATTAGCTCGTGGTTAGCTAGAGGTTAGCTCCAGGTTAGCAAGAGGTCAGCGACATCCCAAGGGAAAGTGGTAGAAGTCAGCAAACGGGTAGCAGAGCAGATAAGTGAAGGTTAGACGGACAGGCCAATTCAAAGGCTTCTCCACTCAACTTCGCAAAATAGGTCAGAAACAGAAGTTTACAGAGGGTTAGCAAAGAAGACACTCAACACAGAGAGGGGTTGGCAGCAAGGGTAACCAGGCAAGATGACCCACGCAGACCAGCCAAGCTGTCCCAAGCACATCGCTGGCCATCTATGCCACTTTCTGAAGACATTCTGCATCCCCTCTATCCCAGATACTACCCTCTCAACCACCTGAATTTCAAAACGCGATGATCGTTATGCCCTTGCGTTGCCTTCCAATGAGCAGAATGGGTGTCGCAAAGCGAGAAATCTGGCCAGTCTAGTGGGAATCAACTCCACTTACCAGGAACTATTTGAAAGCACGCATATTAAGAGATTTGTCATATTGCAGATGACCAACCTCATTTCAGCTGTCTGCATTGGTTCTTACGGCAGCCATCAATGCTTTGAAAGCATGAAACAGATTTGCAAAGGTACCAACGCTTCAAGAGCATGCAACATTCTTGCAGATGTATCTGGACTGGTGTTGCAGTCGAAAGAGTGGCTCGAGTAAGGTCGGCTGTTCATGAATGTCAATGATTGGGCGCTCTGATTAAGAAGACGCCGTGGAATAATATGGTTTGGTACTATGCATCTAACACAACTTTTGCCAGCCTCCAATCTTAGCAACGACCAGTCTTTTGTGGTAAACCTTGCAGTATTCATTTTGCCACAAAGTATGCACAAACTGCAGCTTTCTCAGCTATCCAGGATTTTCACCACCAACTATCACCAACAGCATAAGTCTATGAAGCATCTGAATTTCATTTTCAGGATTCTAGAACCAACAGCATTGAAACTTATCAAAAAGAAAGACAGGAAGATGCTGCTGGGGCCAGATGTCATCCAGGAAAGCTTTCCAATCAATTGAAGAACAATCAGATAAAGAACTGCAGAACGCGACCAGCGAATGAGACACCTATCTCTGCAGATAGTCATACGAAGACAGATTGGTCGCTATGCAGCGGCCAATGACCACAATTGAGCAGGCAAAGAAGAAAGTAATAGAACGTCAATAGCTCACCTTCTTCAGAGCCTTCCAGCGCGGAAACTTGAACACCTGCAGGTTGTCTGCCTTTGCTGCGGTGGCAAGCGGGTCCTCCCTTCCCTTTGCGTCAGGGACCGTGAAGACTCCCACAATCTCATGGCCTCTCTTCTTCAATTCGTTAAAAACCTCGGCACCGAAAGCAGACTGACCAATGACGGCGACCTTGAGGCCCATCTCGACTACCTTGCCAACACGCGGAGCAAACATGAAAAACAATGCGCCCTTCGCGAGTGGCTGGTTGCTTCCTCCACGCTCACTTTGCAGATTGCAAGCTTGAGCTCCAGCTCTGGAGAAAAAGTGCTCCAGCCAGGGGGAAAAAGTGGATTCCTCATGATTGGCTGTGGGCAAAAATCTTGAGATACGTCTGCATTCATTGCACGCAGACCACGTGGGCTTGTCCACGTGGGCCAGGATGTAACCGATTTATGCACGTGTCGTGCTACAGTAGATTCACGATTATAAATTGAACACAACATGAACTTCAACTAAGCATTGAATGATGAAGTAAGCAAGCACGAGTCTTAGCGTTGCAGATTCGCATTGCACTTCTCGGCCTCTCTGTGAACCCTGGGCCTCACAGTGTGCTCAGGCAATCACATAAAGGGAATTGTCGGGGAATTTTCATAGGTATTAAGTAATCTCGTGACCATCTCCGACCCGTTGCACCATTGGAAACAAACACTAGAGACCTTGTACTTTGCTACTAGCACGCAAGTTGCAAAAGGTAGAAGGAACTTAAGCTACGGCATGCGGGTGGCACAGTAAAACCGCCTAGTGTCTTCTGTTTGCGGGTTGTTTCACCCACGTTCTCATCTTTTGAATGTGTTTAGACAGACAGTACGTCCCCCTCTCCATACGCCTTTCTTTCTATGGCGACGTCTATGTACACTTTCACACTCAAAAGCTCTGTATGTCAAGCTGACGATAGTCCAATCAAATACATTTGTTCCAACCTGCTGATGGCCCGCTTGGCACTCACCCCGGTGTCGTTAGATCAATTCGCTTTGCCTTACAGGCATGAGACGTCAATCCCACTGGGATTTGTGTCTAGCACCTCTATCCAATTAAGCCTTCCTTCACCAAATGTCACAATGTCTGCCCCGCCTGCAGGATTGGCCTCTCCCTTTATACTCGGGTACAATTTTAAGGTGCCCTCGGCAACTTCAGAGATGTTTTTCTGTTCTGCATAATAAGGCTCGTCAATCCCCTTACATATGTTTCCCGTCTAAGAGCTTTTTGTCCAATGTCAAAGAGGACCCTTTCAACTCAGTCTTGAAGCGGTGACAGTCGGGCGAGTGAGCTCCTCCTCGGGAAGGACGCAAGGGTGTCCTACCATAAACAAGCCTTTCCTGCTGTTCCGACCTGCAGTATGCCTCGGCTCGCACAACACTTGACTAAACCCTTTCCGTCCGCTTCAAGCAGGCTTGCTTGCTCATGACATCCCGTCGGACGCATTCCCTTGCTGTTCTAATCTCCCTCATTACAATGTGTTGCTTGCTTGTGAGGCAGAGTGTCTCCGCACTTGCTCGAGTCCGCATATCGTGCTCAATCGGATTCGTCTGCTCAAAGCAGCGAGAGCTTTCGTGCCGTTCCGCCTCCCTGCTGCTTGATGACCGGTCGCTCCTTGGTTCCATCCTTTTGCAAGTGTTGTGAAGGAGTTTATTTGTGTTCGCTGACTGGTCAGAAGCCGCTCCTTTCATTCCGCTGGTCTGCTGGACCGGCCTCCTCCGAATATCCAAAGGTAGCCATGTCCTGCGAAGCAGCCGAACAATGAGTGTAAGAGCAAAGCTTTGCTTGTGCTCTCGAGGGCAAACGGCCAGAATGAAAGCCCACGCTTCGTTGATGGGCCTGGGCTTGAAGCTCCGAGGATCATTAAAAGCAGCTGTTCTTGAACGGCGAACCTTTGGAAATCAAAGAGTGCTAGTGACGCTTACGACGACGGCTCTGTTCCTGTCAAAATATTGCTTTCCAAGCAACCGGTGCCAAAGACCAGGACAGCTTCGACAGAAAGCTCAAGATTTTAGCAATGGTCTTAGTACAGATTGCAGCCTCGGTCGTTTGTAAGGCTTTTTGACCTCATACGAGGACTCGAAGTGCTTCGCCTTTGAGAATGCATGTGGGGCAGTCTGATGAGAAAGGATCTTCGAGCGCGGGAAATGCAGTAAAACCTGCAACGGAAACGGAAGAAGATGCGGAAAGCGGAAAGCGGAAAACGGAAAACGGAAAGCGGAAAGCGGAAAGCGGAAAGCGCGAAGCCGACAGCCTACCTTTGTGATGATGTTAAGCTGCACGAGTGCTGTGCCGGTCGATCGTACTCGCGTTACTGCGTACAGCGGAAAAAGAAGCGGAGTCAACAAGCGCCTTCCGCTATGTCGTCTAATGGATGGAACTTGTTTCCAGTTTGAATGGCAAAGCTGCTGCTTGGGAAGGGCATGCAGCTTAGGAGTTCTAAGAAGGCAGTACCCCGGATCCGGATTCCAGAAAGCACAAAACCGCTTTGCTCCACTGAACGCGGCTTCGCCTCGGAAAGTCACGCTACTTGATCAGGATAGATGACCGTTTGCGAAGCCAAAGTTCGCAACCACTTGAAAACAATAGGTAGCCGTTTCTATGAAAGATTGAATGCTCTCACATCCTCACCGTTGTTTCTAGCATTTACCTCGTTTCTTTCCGAAGGCGCTTAGAGTAGAGGAGACGATGGACGAGTACTTTGCAATCTTTTGTCAAAAGAGGAAGCTTTCACGCGATTTCCGTTCGTCCCAACCCCAGCTTTTGAGTCGCTACATACCTTCTCGCCCTTCCCCGGAAGCCGGAAACTTGGGGTCCGAAAACTCGGCGGGCATGCCCGCGATCCAGGACGTGAACTGCTGCATGAGAGAGGAGGAGAGCGGCCGGAAGAGCCGGACCTTTCGGACGTACCTGCAACAGATCAACGGACAATTTGCTTCGTACGGACCAGCAAGAATAGCACAGCTTCATGTGAAGCGATGAAGTAGCCGGGGCAGGTTGACTTTTTCGAGGCCACTGAGAAGGCAGGACAGGTCGTTCGAGACCCCTGAAGCAAGTGCACCGTATGCGTTTGTCGAACCCAACGCGACTAGTGCCTACAGAAAAAATTGAAGATCGTAACACAGATGGTCAGGATGAGCAGTAAAGAGACCGACGAGGCAGGAGGCGATGCCAAGGTCGTGCGATCCCCCGATCCCACCAGGGAGGAGACAAAAGAAAGGATTGCGAGGTTACCGGAAATAGGAAGATCTGTAAGCGGTAGAATCAGATGACTGTACTTACCTCCCGGCAGCTGTCGGAAGATGGACACACCCGTACCCTTTGATGACGTCACGGCCGAGGGCATCGACCTCGAAGATGCTGAGAATAAGCTGCGAGGAAGCGGGAACAAGAATTAGTCTCTGAAGCAGGCTTGTCTGCCCCCGAAACAATTTCCAAGACAGTAAAAAGCAACTTCTCAGAGCAAGCACTTGCCGATTACGAGGTTCTTAAGGAAAATGCAGTATCATAGCCAGACACATTAAGGTCATGGCCTAACATAGACTGTGATAGCCTCACATGTGCCTTCTTTGTCTTTGCAATCTCCTAGCAAGAAGCTTATATCTAGCTATCAACAACTACTCTTGCGAAGGATTCCAACCTGTGCAGCTTCGAAGCGTCACTAGTTGCTGGTTCCGGAACACTTTACCCTTTGTTTTCTCCTCATCTCTGGTTCCTGAACTTGTGTGTGTCCTACCACTCGGCTGAAGGCTCCGACGCTACCAAACGCACCAATCAACGACAATCTCGGGCATCCACTAGCAGATTGGCTATCTTATATTCTGCATATTGGCTCTTTGTTGGTGGAAGGATGCTCACCTGAGGCCAGCCAAAAGCATTGGTGCTCTTGTAAGTAACGTCAATGGGGAAATTCCACACAAGCTGCGCGTTTGGGCCAGACGACTTTCTCGTGATCTGAGTGATACCATCCTCCACGCCCTGTTAGTACAATCAATTTAATAATTCAGTGTGGTTTTAATTGCTTGTCACATTCAAAACATCTACATTGTATTGTGAATTTCAAATCTCAGATGTCCCAGGTTGCTGGGGATGGTCCCTTGCCTGCCCCCAGCACAAAGCTTGCCTCAGCTTCTTTCATTGGCATTCCCTTCTGCTGGAGGAATTGCTTGCAAGTTTGCTGCTAATCTTTTGGACAATTCGTGATCAGCAATGAATTGCTTTTTCAGATAGTGGGCCTTGGAACATTTCAAGCAGTGAAAGCCGTTCGAGACCGACAAGAATCAGCAGATTTACGCAAAGAAAGGTCGGGTCTGCATTTGCGAGAGGCGTGATGGCTTTTCTGGCGCGCTTAGAAGGTCTTTGTAAAATGTGTTGGCACCTTCCCTTCTTTGAGAAATCAGAAAATGTAAGTTCTAGAACTTACATCAAGCACGTGCCAATCATCACCGTGCACGAGCATGAACTTGCAGTAGGCGTTGTTGCAATCAGGGATCTGCAAGGAATGCATGAAGTCAGCATTGACCTCGTACACAAGCTGGTGGGATTGAAGCTGTCAAGTTGTAAACACCGTTTTGTCTGGCTACGGGAAGTTTGATCTTATTAAACATTGCCACCGTCCATTAGTGGATGCCTGTATGAAAAGAGCCATCTTGAAGTAAAGCACCACCTTTTTACCACCATTTTCTTTGTCAATGGTGCGCTCACGTTTCCCCTTTGTTTATGTTGTTCTTAGCCTCCTGCAAATGGCCACTGAATGGGCAGTGACATTCTCCAGATTGTCCGCATGAGCATGTGCACAAAATGGGTGCTTTGCAGCAGCTCGCAGACTATGTTGGCACTCTGCTTATCGCAACTTTATCCTGCAAAGCGGGCAACACGTCTATCCAACCAATTGCACTTAGCAGCTTGGAAGGTAAGCAAAGCTTCTTGCCCCAGGTAAAAGTTGCGAAAGCATATCAGAACAATTCAGGGCACACCGCATGATCATTGAAATCGAGAACCAAAGCTACCACCAGCTGCCACCAGCTTAATGTATTTGGAGAGTTATGACTCACGTCCGCGCACTCTAGTTGCCCGGTAGCCATCACCATGAAGAACGTCGCCGAGTCCGCTGCCATTGCTCCAGCTTTCCTGCTTGCGGAGCTACCGGAAAGCTCAACTTTATGCTTCCTTCTCAGCTTTCGTCAAATACTCCGCAGCTCGCTACCCAGCTAAGCATCCTAAGGAATACCCCCTCTCACGCTTTCACACTCCCCTCCCCTCAGGCTACTGCCTCGCTTCCTGAGCACACGATTTTATCAATTGTTTCAGACAGTGGAAAGGCCCCAAATGGCAAGAGGAGCGATTGATTGAGCGGGGCCTGCGCAGGAAGAGAAGCGCTGAGCATGAAATCCAGGGACAGAGGCAGAGAAATTGCATGTGCGGGCTTGCATGAAAGTCAGCTCGGACTAGAAAACTCACCATTGTGTACTCCTGGGACCAGTGTTTACAAGACAGTTACATGGAGCAGAACACGAGCCGTCGATGGGCTGTCCTCGTTGGGGTGGCGTATTAGCGCCAGCTCCATCGGACGGTTGGAAAGCTCTCCAAAAAAAGGCACAATTGTACACAGCCTAGAGGCATAATTTAGGTGTTGCCTCTACAGTCCACAGAGTATGTAATCCGCATTGCCCGTCTTTTCAGAGCTCTTCCGACTCCGGCCAGAGATGACATTGAAAGCTCGGAGCTGCATTGATGTTCTCATTTCCGTAGACTGGATACCTAGTGGACGGCTTTGGCTGCAAATCCCATCTCTACCTGTTGCGGGCCTGTTGCTTGATTTGTGGATCTCAAATTTGGGGCAGCCTGGAAGTGATCCAGAAGTGGGGCTTTTCAATTATGGTCTTTCCGCTGACAAGCAGGGGCTTTCTTTCTGTTGCAAAGATGGAGGACAAAAAGTCGATTTGGAGCTAGGTATTTGCCCTTGGTGGCCGGGGCATCTGGACCTTTGCTAGAGGGGGCTGAAGCGCCAAGCACAATTGCAACAGCTCATGGTGGTAAATATTGCGCAGTTAGACGCTGGACTGTAGACTCCTGAGCTCGAACAGGGAGGGCCACGATGGCAGGAGTGATGGTGGAGTGAGTCGCTAAACCCTAATCTTCAAACTTTACTCATAGTTACTCAGAGCTAGGCCTCACATCAGCTGCTCGTCATTTCTTCACCCTTGCTGAGAGCTAGGGCTCATATTCTCATCCGTGTCCTCTGCTAAGTGGTAATTAGACATGTCAAGAAGCTCAAATCACTGGGAAATTAACTGCCACTTCACAAAAGGGGCCTGTGCTTCTTCTGGTTGCTCTGCCTCAACAGGCTAAGCACCGCAGAGGTCCTTGCAATGAAAACGTTTCAGAAGCATATTGCTGCAGCTTGTCCTCCTTCGCAAGCGCGCTGTTGGCTGGTGCCATTGAAGCGAGACTAAAATGTATATGGACATTGTAACAATACGAGATTATTGGCTTGGCAGAGCAGTGTCAGAGAAGCGTCAGAGCAGCCCTACGACGTTACCATCTTACGTTGGTCCTATCAAATGCATACCACCACTGAATATCCCTAATAAGTATTGCTTGCCCATGCAAGAACCACCCAGAAGGTGTTCCATGATTACAAAGATGGCTATCAACAAATGGGGCCTATCAATTCTTAGGAGCACTCCTTACGTTGGTGTCAACTATATCCTTTTAGCCTTAAAAAATCAGGGCAACCTTCAGCCTGCCCCTTCCAATGTGGTAGTACTAATTTCTCCTGCATGAGAAGAACGAGTATCTCTACTCCAAAGCATATTCTTGCTTCATCAGCCTGTGTAACAGGATTCCAAGTAATCTTTAGTGTTGGTATGAATATCCTCTGAATGCAGGTATGCCCTGGGCCAGAGCAGCCCGGAGGTTCAGTTCCTCGACTCCACCACTGTGGTCACTATCTGTGGGAATGCCCTCAGATTTCAGCAGCTGTCTGGTGGGACTCAGGTAGGCCTCTGCATACCTTTCCGGGGGCCCTGCCATATAACCAAATTCATGTAGACTCAGGCGGTGGCAACACATCTGCAGTGTTCGCCGCTCGTACAATGAGTCGGGGGTGATCACTGACAAATCGCGTTGGGGATTTTGTGCATACTATTTTCTTGCTTCCCACGTTGACATAACACATCCTTGGTCCCAAATCCTGCTTTCCTGTCACCGTTTCAAATAGTAGCCTGGAAAGCCTCCACTGGTGCGACTGTAGAGTTTCTGCTCTATGCCCATAGCAAACCTGAGATCGACTCCATAAGTGTTAGCCAAACCTGACTCCTGTGAATGCAGGACACCCGCTTTCTGTGGGGGGCTGGCCGTGGCATCTCCGCTTTCACGGTCAACACTCGGAAAGGCCTCGTGGCGTACGCAGAAAAGGGCCTGAACCCGTGTATCTTCGTGCACGACAGCCAGAGCTTGGACTTGCTCACCAAGCTCTCAGGCAAGAACCGTGTTACTACGCCGCCTTTCCTGTAGGATCTGACTTACTTCAGACTCTACCGGTCTGATCGTAGTTCTCCAGTTCTTAAAAAGGGTTCTGCGCAGTCCCGGTGTAAAGCTGGTCTTTCAAGCACTGTTTCGGTCCCCTGATTGATGCTACGAGTCGGCTCGTCACAATCTGGAGTGGGTGCAAGCTTCCTTCAAGTTTGCAAGTGGATACTTTCGCTTGCCCCCCTCTGCAGAACACAAATGATAAGTCCCCAATCTGCTTTCCACTTGACCCCCGTTCCTTTCCCCTCATTTCTGCCCACCCCTTTTGACTTTCCAGACATCGCCGAGCTTGAGATCGTCCGGCTCGCCTTCTTTGCGGACGGGGCTCGCCTCCTGGCCGCGTCCGGCGTGCCCGACTTCGAGCTGACCGTGCATGACGTCAGCACGGCGGCGCAGCAGGCCCGGACGAAGCTCGGCGCCCCGCTCGATGACGTCAGCTTCAACCCGAGGAACGATATGCAGTTCTGCTCGCGCTCCGGAGGGGTGCTGACGCTGTGGACCTTGGAGCGGAGCTACGAGGTGAGGCGTGACGTCACTTTGCGCTGGTGACGTCACTTATTCGAGAGGCAGATAGACTGTCACCATGTGCGTCGGTCGTTCGGCAAAAGTGGAAAAGAGGCCGGTGATTCTGGTTCGGGACTGCCTCAACACAAAGAGGCACAAGGGTTCCGGCTTTCTGCCGAACGTCGACGATTCCACTGTCTGCTAGCGACCTTCCCATTCAAACGAGTTCCGTCTAATCTCTGGGGGCTCCGCATCAGCTGCGGGACATCCTTTTCATTTCCCGAGATGCATACACGCCTTTGACGAAGATTGGCCTCTTTAGTAGGGACCCATCAAGGTCGGTCACATCTGAATAAGATTCAAATTCTTATGCTAACAAGCCATATGAATAATAAGGTCACGTGCGGGGGACGGGTAGGTTAGTCTGGTGGTTGGGGTGGGCTCTGATAAGGGGCCGGTGTTGCTCAAGTCAGGGTCTTTTGTTTGCTTTTGCCCGCTAATTCAACCTTGTCATTCATGCGGCTTATTAACCTTAGAATCAAGAACTATCACCTCTGGTGCCGGATACATTCGAGCCCAAGAATGGCTCAATTTCAGTAAGCACCTTTTAGTGATGGTCAGGACTCTCGTGTCGGCAGCTCAACTCAATTCGTCCCCATTTCTGTTCGCAGACGCACTACCTGACGTCAAAGGCGCTCCCAACCGACCGCTTCCACGTCACCTCCCACGCGTGGGCGCAGAACGGGGCCCTGTTGGCGGGGTGTTCCACAGGGGAGCTCTTGCTGATCGACTCAGAGACGGGCCGCGTGAGAGGGCCTCAATTTCTGGAGCAACTCGACCGAAAAAACGCGGACGCACAGAACGCGATTGCTATGAAAGATCCTGCGGTTTCCGGGGCGGGGGTTGGTGACTCGCAGACCGGAATCCGGAAACTGGGCCCGAGCGCCACGGAAAAGGGGAACAAGATTCCGCTCGGGCCGGTTCTACCGGGTGTGAATACGCTCCCCGGGAAGCTCGGGGGAGTCGGCGCGAAGTCAATAAAACCGGGCGGAAGGACTGTGAAAACGGCCGGCGCAGCGGCCAAAGGGATCCCCGAAGTTCTGCCCGGTGATAACGAACCGGTCGTGCACAGCCCCTCGGGGGAACCGTTAACCCTGCTCGCGGTTAATGAGACGCACGTAATCTACGGCGGTTCAAGGCGGGGTTTGGAGGTGAAAGAGCTGAGAGCGTTTGCGGGTCCCTTGCAGCCGGCAAGCATGGAGCTAAGCCCGGTTAAGAGTTTCAAACGGCAGAGCGGGTTAGTGGTTCAGGTGTCCGGGAGGCAGAGCCCAGATACGGTTAAGGGCTTAACCAAGGGTTTCGAGCCTTTGGTAGACGAGGAACGCTTCATCGACCTGGACGGTTTGGCGCCGGTTAGCCTAATTCAGAACCCGAGCCAAGCCCAACAGATGCTCGTGGTGACGTCAGACGGGACCGTGCACACGTGTGACGTCTCTTCACCTGACTCCAAGTCGCAGTCTGCTGACGTGTCCCGCTTCCAGCGCACTGATTCTCGATCCAGCAACTTGTCTCTCCAAAGCTCGAGTATCGATGAGAACGCGGTCCCCAGAAAAAAGGAGATCGCGGGTGCGACCGTGCATCCGCAGTCAAGCTTCCACTTCGGGGGGTTGAGCGGCCTAGCAGTTCTGACCCCCCTGAAGCTGCTCGTGACTGCCGGGGGGAAGGACAAGGCGCTGAGTTTCTGGGGGATGGAGAGGGGGAACTTTGTCGCGAGAAAGGGGCTCACCGCTAAGGTCACGTGCCTCCAGGCTTGCGAATCAAAGGTAAGTGCACGTTTGTGGATTAGTAATTTAACTCCTGATTGGATTATATGATTGAAGGAAGTCGAGGGTCTGGCTTGACTTCCAAAGACCCGTCGATAGATGAGCCGGCGGCTGCTTTAGAAGTATGAATGAAGCAGAAGGAAGAGCAATTCGATGCAGAAGAGATGGAAAGGACAGAGCGTAACGGCAACGCTTACACTGCCAGAGCGGCGAAAGTTGAGGCCACACCAATTCGTCAAGAAAGCTGTGTCGTCCTGCCATACACAGGGACCCTTGAATCTTGACGGTCAGAAATCGTTCGGGTGGAACTTTTCCGTGGCTTTTTCCAAGTAGCACGCTGCTGGTCGCGAGGCGCGCAGTGAAAGGTAGATTTGTATGTGCGAAGCATTGCACGAAGAAGCAAAGCGACATGATAAGTCCCAAACCCAGCGTTGTCTCTCTTATCCCAAAGGGAGCGTTGTTTCTCCTGTCCCTCCAGAATCTTCTCGCGTGGGGGAGCGATTGCGGCGTTGTCCGAATCCTGCACGTCGACGCAACAACCGAATTCGTCACCACCTTCCGTCAGAGGCTCCACGTGGCACCCGTCCATAGGCTGCGCTTCAGCGCGAGCGGCGCGTTCCTCGCGTCGCAGAGCGCCGACGGGCGTATCGTCTTCTCTTACTCCGGACACGGCTGGGACTTAAACCCAATCGGTTACTTTAACCTAACCGAAGATGTTCTAGACTTCCGGTGGTCTCCAAGGGAGTCCACCGAGGGCACGCTTTTCCTCTCGCTCGTTACCGGGGAAATCGTACGGCTAGAGGTCCCCGAGACTGCTTCACCCTCTGGCGAACGTTTGTTCGGAAACGCAGACCTGAAACGCGCGAGCTTCAACGTGGACGAACCCGTGCTGAGCTTCGAGATCGTTCCGGCGAACAAAACGGCGGGAGTTAACGAGGCCCTGTTGGTTGGCATGACGGCCGACAAGAGCATACGGCACTACACTCTCCCGGATGGAACCGGGGACTGGACGGGGCCCGGGGGAAGGCCGAGGGCCCCGGTGTTTGAGCGGTCGGCGCACGCCAAGCCCGGGGGGGCGCTAGGTTAGCGCTCGTTCTTTGCTAACCCAAAGTATCCGGTGTTAAGAATTTCGTCTCCTTCTCCTCTACCTTCTTCTCCTTCATGGACATACCTGAGTCTCGACTGTGCGGACTTTTCCTTCTTGTCTTCTCCAATCAGCCGGGCATCCTGAAGCGTGACATGTTCTGTTCTGAATGCTACCTGATTCAAGAATCTTTTGTCAACAGCTTCCTTACAATGAGATGAACGCTGTTAGAGCTACAGGCTGTCCCGCCGAGTTTGTTTGCACGTCGTTCCGCTGACGCAATGTGACCACCATGAGAGCCGCGGACCGCGCCTTGCAGTTTCGGACGAGTTACGAAACGTTCTGTCCCTTGACCTAGACCTTTTGTAAGACCCATCGATCCCAGCACGTAAACACAGTTTAATGTTTTGAATCTGCACGCCTTTCCGCCGGAAAAAAAGTGACGCTCCCTGAAGCAGCGACCGGCGCCCTGCAGTTCTGCTCGACAGTACATGTCAAATCTGTTGCTTTTATCTCGTTGATCAGTGAGCAGTTCTCTGGATCTGAGTGTAGAACTTTGATTCCGATCACAGGTCTTTCTGCCGACGGAAAAGTGACGGTCACCGGCGCCGCGGACGGCGCCCTGCAGCTCCGCCCGACGTTGCGCGACATTCCGTCGCAGGACGCCGGCGAGCTGCAGCTGCACGACGCCTATTCCGGCGGAATCCGCCACGTTGCAGTCTCGTCCGGAAGAGTGTTCACCGCTGGCGCGGACGGAGTGGTGAGTATCCCTATGGCGGAATAGCCTGGGAAACGCAAGGACTCCGCAAATGAGTTGACATTCGGTCCAACGACTGTTGAGTTTGGGGGCTGGCATAAGTTTGTTTCATTCCTCATCTCTTTCTTCCTTTACGTGCATGGTGCATATCCTTCGAACGTGGTTCATTGCTTTACCATTTTCTTGAAGCTGGATCAGGAAGCTTATTCCGAAAGCCAATAAAAGCTGTCCAAGTAGTGCATTGCACGCTGAATGTTTCTGCTGGCATCTCGTTTCCATTTCTTGCTGCGTCTTTCGCCATTTGCTCGCTACTTACTTCGGTTGATCTGAAAGCTCCTCTATTGCTTCTTCATGATGATTGAAACGAACATGATGATTGAAACGAAACGCATTTATATCTTAGAAAAAAGCAAAAGGAACTCTTAGGCTCTAATGAGAGTTCGGTTCGTGCTCTGTCGGGTCTGAGATTGTACGAGATCCGAATGATCTCCCTTCTGATGATCTTTCGCCGCGATTCGTCGGCAGGTGTTTGTTTGCGACGCCGTGGACGCCGGAATCGTCCGAACGGACGGCCGGAAGGAGCGGCGGAGCACCCGAAACCGGAACCCTCCCAACCCCGGGGAGCTGGCAGACGTCAACGCGCCCGACAGCCCGACGGAACCGGACTTTGCCGCGGCCGGAACGGAACCAGAACTGCCTCTGACGCCGAAAATGGTGGAGGTGAAAAAAGTAGCGAACGAACCGGTTGAGGAAAGTGAGTGTGATTACAGCGAAGGGGATGCGGTCAGGAGGAAAGTAGACGAGCTCCGGAGGCGGTTCCGGGAGTGCGAGGAGCGGAACGAGAACGCACCGGAAGAGGAACAGCTGCCACGGTAGGCTCCATTCAGATTGGAATGCCCCACCCGATGCCAGACATACGTATCCTACCTGAGCAGCACTGTTTCAGGCATCCAAATTTTGCCTTGAAAGATGCAGTGAGGAAATTATCACAGCAACCTAAAATCTCACTCATTTATTGAAAGACACAATGGGTTTACGGTTGTTAAAGTCTGCAATGCGGAGAGCTGACCAGCCCTCGCTTTAACAATTGTTCGGATTCGCCGCAGGTCCGACTTCGTGGTTGACATGGACCTGCAGGCGGCCCTGAGTGCGGACGGCGCCGCGCGCGTCGGCAAGGTGCGCGCGCAGATCGCGGCCGCGATAGCGCGCGCGCAGCTCCTGGCCGCGCGCCTCAAAGCCGAGTTCTGGGACGTTATGGAGACGCACACGGACGTCCTGTGTCCACTGAGTTCCGGTTCCGACGTCGAGAACTTTCCGCTGCGGAAAACGGGACCGGAGGAGGAGTCAGCTACGGAGGCGGCGGAAAAAAGGAGAGCGGAACTCGAGCAAGCGCGGGCGGACAGCGGAACGCCGGAAACGGACGGGAGAGAGACGCCAATGGAGGCGGCTTCGACGGGGGTGCTGGCGGAAACGGGGAAGGATTCCGCTCGGGGAGCACCGGAAGAGGGACCGGATCCCGGTGCGAAGAAAGAAAGTCCTGCGGACGGGAAGACGGAGCGGACGACGTCGGGAGGTGCGGACAGTGCGACGCAAAGCTTGCTGTATGGGCCATTCGAGCTGACGTCAGTCAAAACGAAGAAGGTCCAGGTGAGCCGCTTTCAAGCTTATTGTGGGCGTTGGAAGCTCCACGCCTCGTTTGACACACCCGTGATGAATCTCTGAGTTCTAGGCTTCGTAAAACCCGATGATCAGGGGCTTTACCGAAGACCCAACGGTCAAAGCAGTCTGCTGTAAGTTCAAGTGCTCTTAAGAAAGAACGTGTCGACAAAGAAGCGCATGTGATAAGCTACTGAGGTGAACCTATCACCTTGAGAACTCTCCTTTCTGCATGCTTGAATCTCAAGCGAATAATTGCGGGACAAACGCGTTTTGGGAGCACCAAGTTTGTTGCACGTTGGAACGCCTATAGAGGTGATTCCTTTCTCAAGCTTATACCTTGTTCGATGACCAGTCATCTGCAGAGCGCATCAATTAGCGCTTCTCCCTTTCGCAGAACCAACTGCTGAAGCTGGTTGTGCGCGAGATGAAAACGTCCTTCAACGCACAATTCGTGGCCGCATTCCTGCTCACCACAAGGAAGACTCATTTCCGTTCCAAACATCCGATTATTGAAGGTGGTTCTTGCGCGAGATAAAAACGTCGTTTAACGCGCAATCCGGTACCCCGCGTCCTTCATTTCGCAGTCCAATAATCAGCAAAACATGTTCTGCGCATTACTCCAATGCGTCAATCTCGATCCAACTGCTCAAGCTGGTAGTGCGCGAGAAATAAACGTCCTTCAACGCGCAATTCGTGGCCGCGTGCTAACGTCTTCTTTACCTTCTATTGAAGATCTATAAGCGGAGAACATGTAAACTTTTATCCGCGCACAACAGTGACAGACTCAATTCCCTCCGCAGATCCAACTGCTGAAGCTGGTAGTGCGCGAGAAGAAGGCGTCCTTCAACGCGCAATTCGTGGCCGCGCGCGCGCGCAAGCAGGCGGCCATGGACAAGGTCGCGGAGGTGAACGCGCGCCTCAAGGAGATCCAGAAGGACCTCGGGCTGACGGAGCCGCTGACGTCATACGCCGTGCAAGACCGGGAGGTGGGTTTTCCCTTTCGGCTGGACTTGGTCGATGTAGTACGTCCCGCCGGAATTGAGCGGTTTGAGATGAAGTGACTGCTTGGATTGACGGAGTGCCCGTGCCCTGATTTCATACACTCTGCGGATGCCGGGAGGTGGGGTTTCATGGCCGACACTAAAGGAAGCCCGATTTGACGTTGTGGAGTTTGAAAAAGCGGCTGAGATGACCAGCAAGAAATGGTGGGCTTTTGAAAAGGAGCCGCGCGAGGGAACTCAGCAGGAAGGACTGTGAACACTGCGGGTGTGTTGGTTCGTCAACCATTGCACGCAAAAAAGTTAAAGGCAGCACTATAAGGCTTGACTTTGTGCCATAGAACAATCTCGTAACGGATCTTTATCACGGATGCTGATTGATCAAGGGCGTGAAATCGAAAGTTGACAGCATCCGTTGGGCACAATTGCCACGTTAGGGGGGGAATACATATGAACAGAAACATTCCGGTCTTCCTGCAGCGGAATGACTCGTTGCTTACCGTACGCGACAGCGAGATCAAGGTTGAGCGGTACGTCTCGCCGGAGGAGCTCCGGCGGATCGAGGAGGAGCGGAAAGCGGAAGAGGAGCGATTGCGGTGAGGGACATTGCCCTTTCGTTAATATTGCCTGAGGGGTTAATCGCATACATTCTGACTGCGCAGTAGAGACTGGAGCTTCTTCCGGCGACATTATGGCCTGAAGACGAAAGCGTTTATGTACTCTTGAGTGAACCTCGTCTTCGAAATCCCCTAAATCTTCAGATCCTCGAAGATCACAAATCCCAAACTCCTAAAGCCTGAGATCCCGCATAGGTCCAAGAAGGGCGACGACCCGCAGGAGCGCGCATTGCGCGACATGATGGGCGGAAAGCTGCAGAGCGCATTTCCGGAATCTCGGGCAAGGCCGGTTCTCAATCAGACCCTCAAACCTACTTCAGAAACCCTTACTTCCTAGACCCTCAAACCCTCGAACCCTCAGAACCTCAGACCTTCAGACCCGCAGACCCTCAAACCCTTAAACCCGCAAATCCTCAAACGCAGATCCAAGAAGGGCGACGACCCGCAGGAGCGCGCGTTCGCGACATGATGGGCGGAAAGCCTTAGAGCGCTTTTATGAAAACTCGGTTAAGGCCCGTTCGACATCACCTGAAACTCTCTGTGAAAAGCCCAGATCCTAATTCCTCAAATCTCAAAACGCAGGTCCAAGAAGGGCGACGACCCGCAAGAGCGCGCGTTGCGCGACATGATGGGCGGGAAACTGCAGAGCAAAGCCGACGAGGAGGCGCAAGAGGAGCTGCAACGGCCGGACTGGATGAGCGGAGAGCGGGCCAAGATGAGCGAGGACCAAATCAAGCAGATCAAGGAATTTGAGGCCAAAGAAAAGGTGAGGATAACATATATCTGTAAGCTGCTTGTAATCTTCATCAAAATCGTGTGAGAGGATGAACTTGGTAAATATCGGTGAGGAGCGCAGATGTGAAAGTTGTGGTCTGCATCAACATCATAGATCAGAGGGTTTGAGGCTTTGGAGAACAAACTCAATTTTCTGCTGCCGCTCGATTTTCTCTTGTTGTTTCGATTCTTTTCAAGCGAGCGCATATCAATGTTTCAGATGGACCAATCAGACAGAGTGTAAAAGGGAGGGAGTGGAGAGAGGGTCCACGGAATCTCTGCGGTTGAGGGCGGAACTCTATGCTTTGACTGTGCCTTGATTCGTCGGTATTCAATTCTACAAAGGTCACTGAAAGCTCAATATTGGTCACGAAACCCTTCAAAACGGCGATCGCAAACGTTTGTGTCTGGTCGCTTCGGTGGTCGCTTTCGCTTTGGGTGAAAATCAACTTCATCTCCGCTTCATCTCACTTATTTCCTTGTTGCAGGCCTTCAAGGAAGAGAAGGAGAAGAAGCGCAAGGGTCTGGAGCTGGAGTATAAGCGGCTGCTGGAGGAAGCCGTGAAGCCCGTCGCGGCCTTCGACGACGAACTAACGGCACTGCGAAAGCACAGGTAACGCTTCCGCTGGGACCTGCGCCATTAAATGTTTCTACTTCATCCTGTGTCAATCTTTACAACCTTCGCCCGGAAACCCAGCGTTTATGTACCAAAGATTGAATTCTGAGCTGCCTAGACAGTTGAGAGGAAATATGCATCACCGTTGCGCGACATCAGGATTTACAACACTGCAACAATCTTGAGGGATCGCAGGGATAAGCTGAATTTGCAGCTTCTGTCGTCAATGCTCAACCGATTTTCTCTTTGCTTGGAAAGGTCACGCTTTTAGATGTCAAATCACCAGGCAAATTCACCGGCTGTTGACTTTCTGGAAAAAGGGGGTCAGGAGTTTTCTTCGTCACAAAAGAGAGGTTCAAGAGGTTCGTTTAAAAGCCCCGGGGTTCAAGACGCATGAGGCTTCAGATTGCTGAAAAGACGGAGGAGAGAAATTCCAAAACCTGATTAACATTGAAACCTTCACCCTCAAACTCAACCTCGCATCGCAAAGTAATGTCCTACCTTTCCACAGGTCTCACGTCCTTTCCGAGTGTCTGGAAGTAGAGCTCCAGATTGCACGGCTGGGCGCGTCCATCATCGCAGAGGAGGAGACGGATCAACGGCAGCAGATCAATCTGACGGCCGAGGTTGAGTCCCTGCGCGCCACGAGTCGCGACACTGCGGCCGCGGCCGCGCACTTCCGTCAGGAGGCGGAAGAGAAGAAGGACGAATACGAGATGGTTCTGGCGGAGGATAAGGCGATGGAGAAAGGGTTTAAGCGCGACTTCGCCGACTGCGGCGATGCGGCAGACGCGCTCTTCCGGCTGTTCAAGTGAGTCCGCGGAAGTTCCGCGGCGGAAGAGGCCTCGGCCGGATCGCATGCTGCTTCAGGTTTTCGTTTTTGGTGTTACGGCTCTGAACCAGGGCAATACGCTTTCGAATTTCGGCCGGTTTTACAATACTCTAGAGGAAGTTGACTACGAGCCAAGCAAGCGCGAAATTGCACCGAACGGAAAACCCGAAGCCCGAAACATCGCACTGATCGGTGATCATTGTGAATCCACGAAGTAAAGTTGTCGTCACAAAGCGTTCACGTTATCAGTAGCTCAACTAGTTACTGTTATTTCGCGGACTTTCACCTTCCGACGAGGGATACTTTGCTTTGACTCATTTCGGCCCACTTTAACTTCAAAGCGCCCTCTGACCGCGTTCCTCCAATAAGCAGGCCGCAGAAATGCCAAAACAGAAAGCTGCATTTTGAAGCCTCGGGATTGCGTGGTGTGAAGACTAGACCTAAACCTCCAAACCCTGCAGGCGCCGGGCGAAGAAGGGCTCCGCGACCGGCGAGCCGCCCGCGGCCGCGAGCCCGACGTCCGAGAACTCCAACAAGATCATGCGGAAGTCACAGAGATCCTTGAGTTCGATGCACAGCTTTAAGGTAAGCGATCAATCATCCAACACTTGTCGCAGGATAGATCGGCGACAATTTTAGGACGGAAAGCAAAGCTTTGGGAAACTGAAAAGGGTAGAAAGCATTGAGAGTAAGGTAATTTTGGAGCTCGTTTGAAGGAAGTACTTTTCGTATTTTGTGCTAAGCTGCAGTGAAGCCGCTTCACGAAGGACGATGGACTTAGCCGGAAGGAGAAACACGAAGCACGGGGTTTGGTTCGGGTCACTTCAGTTAAGCGGCAGCGGAATCAGACGTTTCTGGTGACCGGAACGCGTTCTGATCTCAAACTAAAGGTTCCCTTGATTCCCACAAGGATTGGGCTTCGCCATCTAAGCATGTGCCTCTTTGAAGAATCTATCTTCAATACAGGCAGATTCTCATAGAAGGCCGGTCTTATACCATGAATAGAGAGATTTGCATGTGGTCTTCTCTACTTCCTTCCGACCTTTCCGCTGCAGATGGCGAGTCCGCCGGAATCAGGGATTCGGAACGCACCGGACGCGCCGGGAAACGACGGCCATCTAGACTATTCGGACAAACCTGAGGTGGGCTCCCGGCTATGCAATATCTTAGCGTTTCCGTCACCCGTTGCAACAAAACCGATCCACTATACGGTTTTCTATCAAGAACGGTAGCGATTTAGGGGAAAGAGTTTATCAGAACTCCAACGGTAGCGCTTTTGCAGATGGCAACATGGAAGACATCCGGATACACGAAAGCACAGAGGAGCTTTTATTTGCCTTCATCTTCAGTCATTCAGCTGCTTTCATCGTATGTTCTACTTGCACCCCTCAACACTCAAAAAGCTTACATAGTCAAGTCACTCACGTCCAAATCCAATACCTTGAGTCTCACTTTCAATCTCAACCGCAAACCCATTGCCCCAATCTTGAAAACCTTAGATCCTCAAAGGTTGTTGAACACTCTGATCCTAAGACCCTTCAATCCTTCAACTCTGATACCCACTAAAGCACTATTTCGAAAGGAGTAAAATACCTGGCGACCCTGGCTCTTTGTGCTGCAAAGTATTTTCATTTGGGGTACAAAACGTAACTCAGTATACATCACATGTACTTGAACCCAATCTCACACGCTCCGCCATCCACTCGCAGACCATTAGCGACCTCCAGTGGGAGCGCTTCCTCAGCGCGCGCGAGCGCAAGATCGCGCAGGAAGAGGAGGCCCGCGCGCGCGGCGCGCAGCTCGCGGAGATGCAGCGCCACGTGGCGCGCCTCGCGGAGGAGGACGACGTGGCGAAGAAGCGGCTCGAGGACGCGGCCGCGGCGCTCGCGAGCTTCAAGGAAAAGCGGGAGGAGCGGAGGTGAGTTAAGGGTCCTTCGTATTCGGTTCAATTGGCTCAACGGTCCTTCAGTTGGATTTACGTTCCGTTACTGGGTCTTACGGTCTTCCAGTCGGGTTTAAGGTCCTTCAGTCGAGTATACGGTCCTTCAGTGACTGTTTGCCCTTTCAGCTGGGTTTGTGGTTTGAAGTCGACGTCGGTGGAGAATCTTCTTGGCAGCAGTATTTGATGTAAGTAGCTCCAAGATGGACTGGACTTTTATTTCCGCATTCACTGCCCGAAAGCAGTTGAGGGCGCGCCGTTGAACCCCAAGCAGGGCCTCTCGATGAAGGAAATAAGAAATATACCACTTTTAAAGGCTCCAAAGAACAAGCTTTTGGACTACGTGAATTCCCAGCCTGAGGCGGATGGGGTTACTTTGCAGGTCCAGGGCGGGTGAGTGTGCAGAGAGGATGACTTCGTGCATTAAGGTTAAAACTTTGATTCAGAGATCATAGTCTAAAATCAGACACCTCATCCTACACAGCGGCTCTCTGTTCGTGGAGAAGGTAGACGTACCTCCTCACACCAGGCGGAGCCTTTTAACCACAAGGACTATGTTGTATAGTATGCATCTGATGATCTCAACAATGAACATCATGTAACATGTTCCTACAACTCCCTGCGTCGTGCAGGAAAGACCTGGACGTGCCACTTGACATCAATCAGGGCCTCTTCCCCAAGAGAAGTGTTCGCAGTAGTCGCTTACCCGTAGAAGGTGATGTGAAAACCCTTTGACTCCTTGTATCGTGCAGAAAAGACCTGGACGTGCCTTTTCACATCAAGCAGGGCCTGGTGGAGGTCGACTTGGACCCCTTCACGGGGGGGCTCCACGACGCATCGCTGCTGCACCGTTCCGCTGTAGAGGAAGTCAACGCGGAAGTGCGGAAGCACGGACAGCAGAAGGTGGGGCGGAACTCACTAAGATTGGCACCTGGTTGTTTAAGAAATAAGATTTTCTTCTCATTTCAGGCTTCTAGATTGAATCAAATTCTCAGTGACAGCAGCTCCCCGTAAACAACCCCCAATTTCGGTCAAGTGCTGCACCGTTCCGCTGTAGAGGAGGTCAACGCGAAAGTGCGGAAGCACGGACAGCAGAAGGTGGGGCTAATTTTGCTCGAATCAGGGTGTTCGCTGAAGATGAAGCAATCAATCATCGTTAATGAAAATAGTTAAGGACTGCAAATCTTTGGCTATCAGTGAGCGTATCAGGAGCTGCACCTGGAAGGATCAGTTGCATGTGAAAAACTTGCTAAGCCGCGTTGTCTCGCTGGGTGTGCAAACAATGTTACATTTCCACCCAGACATTTCCCCACACCAGATCGACATCCTGACGCCCAATTCAGGATCTCGAGAAGGGCATCTACGGAGAGTCAGAATTAAAGCTTTCTGTGCGCGCACGTATTTTCCAGTGTGGAATCGAAGCTAGTAATCAAAAGAAAACGTAAGGCGTCCATTCATGACTGCCCTTTGTCTCTTTCGCAGATCGACATTCTGACGGCGATCAAGGACTTCAAGAAGGGCTTCTAAGACGCACAGTAGCAGATGCAAATTCATCCTTCCCTAACAATCTAATACCTTGAATCTCAAACCAGTGTTTCTCTGTTCTTGCAGATCGACATTCTGACGGCGATCAAGGACTTCAAGAAGGGCATCTACGAGGCGCAGTGGCAGGTGGCCAAACTAGGCATGGACGAAGAAGACCTCACGGAGCAGATCAAACAGTTCCAGCTGCTGCGGGTTACGAAACAGCTGCAGACCGTCATCAAGAACGGGGAGGACATTTCCTCAGCGAACGAAGTCGCTGCGTTAGAAAACAGGTAGGTCGAGTTTTATTACTCTACATGACCAAATCCTTACAATTTTCGGGCTTTGATGGATTTCGGGCTATTCAGAAGTTCAGCTGCTGCGGGTCACGAAGTATCTACAGACCGTCATCGTGAGAGAATGGGGAGGACATCTCCTCGGCGAACGAAGTCGCTGCCTTGGAAAACAGGTGGGTAGAAGGCGTCAAATGATTCGATCGATTTAACGGTTTAAGGCGGTGGCTTGTTGTTAAGGTGCTGCGGTTTACGAAACAACTGCAGACCGTTATCAAGAACGGGGAGGACATCTCCTCGGCGAACGAAGTCGCTGCGCTGGAGAACAGGTGGGTTTCAGGGTTTGGTAATCTGGGTACTCCAGTTTTCAGGTTCTTCAACTTGAAAGAATTTGCGGTTGTTGAGTGGTTACGGCGGTTGCGGGTAATGAAACAGCTGCGGACCGTCATGAAGAATGAGAAATGGAGAGGGTGTTTCTTTCGGCGAACGAAGGAAAACAGGTGGGTTCAAGAGTTTTGGACTCTCAAGTTTTTCGGTTTCCAGGCTTTGAACGAGGTGGGCGTAGTGGTTCTTACAGCTGCTGCGGACATTGAAACAGCTGCACATAGTCATCCAGAATGGGGAGGGCCCTGCTGCTGATTAGCTTGTGACGCTTGAGAAAGAATGCGCAAAGTCTCATACATCATTTGACTATCACAGGCTCGTATTAATTTAAAAGGCATGTGGGATTGAGGGTTCAATGATCAACAGGGGTTCCGAAGTCAGAAAAACATGAAAAGTCTCAGCAGACTACTGAAGCGGATCAAGCTTCTATGTTGGGCGCTCACGACGCACACTCAGCCCGCCACGTGTCCTCCTCAGGCTCGCCCACGACCAGAAGCTCCACGAGAAGAAGCTCCAAGAGCGCGCCGCCCTGTTGCGCAAACTGGAAAAACAATCAGCGGATATTACGGCGCAAACCGCGGAGGTTAAGAAGCGGTTAGCGACGCTCCAGGAGCAGGCCGAGGCGCACGCGCGCATCCGCGAGATCCAGGTCAGCAGCCAAGCGGCACGGCGGAACGCGACGGAACGGATGAAGAGCCTGGTGACGCAGCGGCAACTACAGGACATAGGTGGGCCGCCCGTATCGTCAGTTAGGTACTTGTTTAGCGAGTTAGTTAGTTAGTTAGTGGTTGACATTCTACTTCTCGCCTATTCTTCCCTGGCAATATGGCGTTTATCCTTCACTTTGCTATGTCGACATCCTGATTAGTTTGTTCAGCGGTTTAGTTCAGCGGTCTTAGTTCCTTCGTGTTCCGCCCGAATGCCGGTGGGACATGCCAAGCGAGCCCATTGAGGCTGCTGCGGCTGCTGTGTTTCCATGTCTCATCCTGACGCAAGTCATTGTTCCTGACCTAAGTCAGGCTTTTTCAGTTTGCTTCTCCGTCTTTCTTGTTTCAAACTCTCTTAATCACCCTTCTATCATTCTTTCTCTCGGGAACGTCTTGTCCCGGATCCGTTTGCCTTATTTTTTCCACTTTCGACTTCCTTGATCGTGATCCTTCTTGTCTATTTGACATCAAGTCAAGTTCTGTTCGTCCTTCGCTTCGATCAACCTCTCGCTCCTTTCATCTCCTGACCGCTTCCCTGTCCCTGTGGCAACCACAAATTCGCGCGTAGGTTGTCCGTCCAGGATAATCTGCCGTAATTGAGACTTCTTCAGAACAGATATCTGGCACGCCTTAAAGTACCCAACTTCTGGGCTTCCCCGTTTTTGAGGATCTAGAAGAGTATTACTCATCCGTTGCTGTTTGTTCGCAGCTCGGGCGCAAATGGAGGAGATCACGGCGCTCCAGAACGAACTAGAGGTGCTCCGAAAGCGGACCTTCCCCAAGTTCGATACCGCGCCGCGCGCGCGCTTTGTGGGGCCTGATGAACGCCTTGTATGACTGGTGGGCTCAGGAGGTGTGATTTGCTAAAATCCATTGACAGCGAAGAGAGTATAGAGGTATAGCGCGGACTCGCTGATTTGAGGATGTTATGTAGATGGAACGCAACTGTGAACAATGGCTGTGCATCAGAAACTATAAATCATAAATTATACCTTCACATGCCGTTCAAGTGGGTCGGTACACCAGGATTCGCCAGAAGCTGAGTCCATCTTCAAGTTAATGGCGGTCTATGGCCCATGAATGAGTTGGTATTCAAATTGGTCGAGCAAGCGAGGTCACATCGACTGTAATGCCAATTTGGGAGTCACTGCCGGATTCGGTATTATTTTAGACCTAACAAATCTAGCCTCGATCAGGAAACCAGTTGCGTCGAGTTACCTATCTGTACCGCGACCAAATGAAAAATCTGCGCTCATGTGGCGTCTTGGAGCAATGACTAGCCGGTGCGGTCCTGCGCGGCAGCAAAGTGGCGCTTCTACAGTAGCTCTAATCCTAGCTGCAAGTCAATGCGAGATGGAAACTCTCGTGCAGAAACGCACAAGCACACGCGTTCACGATTAGAATCAGTTTATGCGCTTGGTTGCTTGAGGGAAAGGTTTTGTAGCAGTGCGCACCATTCCGAGTACTTATTAGCGCTGCCTAGAGGAGCAGAGGAGCCCACATTTCAGTTGGCAGATTGAGTTGAATTTTGAGTACAATGCTTCAGAGCTCTGGTTGGGAAGCTAGGATTCAAATGTACACTATTAACACTAGGACCGATTGCTAACCGTGCCCAATTGGGCACGGTTAAATTATTTGCATTTTGCCTCAATCTGATTGGAAAATACAAGTTTTTGAAGAAATCCTTTCTACTATGTGATTATGTGGGTACCTTTTAAGAGGCAACGCCTTGGGTTATCAAAAAATCTATGTTTTGACTTGTATACAAAGTATGAAAGGAGAATGGGTCTGCAGCAAAAACTGGGCCAAAATCCAGCCGTGCCCGTTTGGGCCCGGTTATGGTTATATAGTAGTATGAGCACCTTCACTCCACAATTTCAAGTAGACTTTTCTTAGGTGTTCAAAGAGATGCTAAAAAGCTTTCCTATGGCAAGTATTGAGAAAAATGCAAAAATCGCTCAAGTCCATGCATGTACTTTGATCCACGGAACATCATTATTCGCAGTTTTTTTTGAAATAGCCACGTTCCATTCCCAAAAACATGGACTTTGCCCTCGTTCGAACTCCGGAGCTTCTCATGGGACAAAACCTTGTGTTTGACATCTACATTACGCTTGTTTGCAACATCACATCTTTTGATTTAGTATAGCTACGGGGTTCACTCGCGCATTCGAACAGGGGTGAAATAAGGGTCAAAATAATAGAGAAGAATCATAAACCGATTATGTTTAGCCGTTTTTTCACATTTGATGTGTTGGAATGAGTTTGGTAGGCCGTTTTGGGTTTGTGCACGTGGTTACGATGCTTGATTTGACCGTCGTTGCCCGAATATATCAAATTTTATCAATTATTGGCTGTTTACTAACCCCTCGTTTGCTAACGATAAACCCTAACCCAAATTTAGGGTCACCGGCCGGTTTTCAGACCTACTATAACCACTAAGTCTAGTTATGTGCCGAAACCTCGAATATTTCCAAGAATCGTAAAAATTACGACCGTTAAATCGAAATCAAGTTAACCGTGCCCGTTTGGGCACGCCGTGCCCAGTTGGGCACGGTTATCGGTCCTAGTGTTAAACGACTTAGGTATGCACCATTGAGAAGTCTGACAACATTCCTTTACGACCGGCCCGGGCCAAATCTGGCCCGCCCGGCGGGCCGCGGTGGCGGTGGGTGACTCGGACTAACTTAATTTCTTGTTGAATTGTTAGCCTGCCGCGCGATCGCCCAACCACGCGCGCGGGCCGGTACGGACGCAGTTGGCGCGACCTTGCATTTCCACCCAACTCTGTCCCGGGCATTGCCTGATGAATAAGCTATCCGCCATAAGTGCCCGGGATCGCTGTAAGGGTCTAGCACTTACCATTACCGCTCTTCTGCCAGTACAAACCGTTCCCTCCCACCATGAGCCAAGTCTTCAAAATCATACCCCGAACAACTTCCCTAGCATCCTGATCCTCGAGCCCTCCCCAAGCAAGTTGGCGAGCCATGATCAGGCAGAGCCCGGTCGGGCAGAGCAAGCTCTCTCCAGGATGCGCTTGGGGGTGGCTGCTGCTGCCAAGGGCTCCCTGGGGTTCTCGAAGGGTCATCGAGCCTTCCGCAAGCAAGCAGGCAGCGTGTGCCGGAGTGTCAGGGAGCGACTGGGTTCCGCAGGCCTGTGCTGGACACGAGCTGCATGGGAGGGTAGCTTAGCGGCAGCCATGACTGGCCTGCAGTCACTGGTGAACGAAGAGGACAGCAATCTGCTGGATGGTACAAGCAGGTACTCGCTGCAGTTAAGCGTGCTCACCTGGAGGGGTTGAAGCAGCCGGCAGAGGGCCCCAAGACTCCGAAGCAGCCTGCCTGCGCAAGGCCCAATCAACGGGTGTTCAAGGAGGCCCCGGGCGATCAGCAGACCATCCGCTGCTTCGTGAAGATCCCCCAAGGCCAGTTGCTGCAGCTTGGGATGCCCTGCAGCGACGATGTGAAGACCTTGAAGGGGGCAATCTTGGCGCGCACCGCAATCCCTACCTCGGAGCAGAAGCTGGTGGCAGGAGGGAAGCCGCTTCGCGACGCCATTCAGCTTGGGGAGGCGTGCAAGGGGGAGGAGCTCAATGTGGTGGTGAACTTTGGCCTTGCTGGAGGGGCAGGTGGAGCAGACGCTGCAGGTTCCCGTTCCTCGGTAAGTGACATGACTGTGGGGGTAAATGGGGAGTATGGAAGGTCGCCCCTTTGTATAATCTGACCGACCATCTTAAATTTCACCGGCATTGCACTAGAAGAGGTTGTCACACGGCAGGTGATTTTTCAGCCAGGGTTTTGCAATAGAGTGCTGGATGCTGCCAAGTTGCAGCACAAGGTACTCTTTGTTTGCTGCATGCAAGTGCAGCATTCTTCTGGAGTGTAACTTTGCCGCATCGCTTAGCTGGTGGAATACTCTGTCATACAGGCCATGGAGCTCAGCGATCCCCCTCTGATCACGATCAGGAGATGCGACACAGAGGAGATCTGCACACTTGACAACCCACCACGCCTCTGCAAGGATGTCTTGCAACACCTCGATGAGACAGAAGGCTGGGGCAGAGGAAAGCTGACAAAGACATTGGGGGAGCGCGTAGTCTCTGTACCTGTCAACGACCAGGTGCACGCTGGCAGCTACACCTTCAAGGAGGTACAGGGTGAGACACTTTGGGAGTCTCTTTCTGGCTGGACAATATTTTTACATCTTCGTTGCATGAGTATGATCAAGCTGTCTCCAGAAGACTGGCTCAAAGGAGGACCCCGCCAGCGACTCAGGACACCAGTTGCCTGAGGAACTTTCTCTGCCCTCCTTGAGCATGATTCCTTGAGCCCAATAATTGGATCAAAAGAAATAGACCACCTTTTCTGTTAACCATTTCAAGTCGCTTCAACCACTGTGGGACAGGGATGAGTGGGTTCAGCCAACAGGTAGGTACTGTCACTTGCTTTGCATATGGGGGAGTCGAAGGTAGCAGAAGCTTGTTTGAGGCATTAGAGCAACATCCAGTGAAACTCTCACCGAATCTAGACCTGTGTGGTAGCTTTTGTGCATGCCTGCGGTCGGGCAGAGTGCGTGAGCTTTCTGGTTGACGGTAGACGCAGTGATCCACACCAACCCTCCAGTGTGTCGGTGCCTGTTTGGAGACTTTCCCCCTGCTTCCCCGGGTTGTTTCACCTGTCAGGCAGAATGAATTCACATGCTTCCTGGGCTGGGTGTTTGTTTATGGAAGTTTGCTCGGCAGAAGCATTCATACAGACTCCACTTGCTGACTTTCAGTTGTGGCCTCGTGCAGCGGCTGCTGGCCCGAGCACCACAGGAACTGGTGAGTCACATGGATTTTTGCGCCTTTCCCCCCATGTTGCAATGGTATCTTTTCTCTGGAAGTCTTTGTTGCTGCGCATGGTGGTTATGTTGATCCATGGCACACCACTCCGGTGCTTGTTTGGAGTAGGTCCCTGTGCTTCCCAGGTTGTTCCATTTGTCAGGCCAGGGGTTGCTTCAGTTTGAAGGGTGGAGGGAGGGTTTTGCAAGTGTCTCTGCTTCCCAGCCTGACAGGTTTGGTTGGGAAGGAAGCTCTCAGAAAATTCAACACCTATGCAACAGCGATCGTGCATGCCTGCGGTCGGACAGTGTGCGGGAGCTTTCTGGTTGATGGTAGACGCAGTGATCCACACCCCTTTTCCAGTGTGGTGGTGCCTGTTTGGAGTGTGTCCCTCTTCTTCCAGGGCTGTTTCACTCGTCAACCCAGAATGACATGATCCCTGAGCCGGGTGGTCTGCTGTGAAGTTGCCTGGTTGCAGCATCCAAGGCAGCCTGTTGCTAGAAGGCAATGCTTAGCCTGTCCTTCTGCCAGGATTCATAATGACAATATGAGGAGCCTCACTGCAAGACATCTTCTGCAGATTCACCCTTTCTTCTGAGGATGCTAGGTTTCTTCTGCAGTGGGGACGTCTTTTGGCTGGGCAGCAAGCAAGAGCTTTTCGTCCGGTCCCGCCCAAGGGGGTCATTCTATTGTAGCTCATGCTCGTTTCCGGTAGCTGCCGTTTTCTGTGCAAGAAGGGTCTAAGCGCTCAGGGTTGCATTGCCGGCGTCTTGATCGAAGAAAGCACCTGCATTGAAGCTTTCTTTGCTGGTAGTTGCCCATTTTGTTTTACCATGTAGTCAAGCTTTGATGCAGGACTGTACTCCAGTGTCTGTCCAACCCTATTTTCGGGGCAACATAGAATACGCTGTTTTCACTTTGGGGAATCTGTGTTGCGACTTGAAGCAGTTGGTTGGAGATCGTAACGACAGGATGCATGCCTTTCATGTAATCCTTAGTCGGATTGTTCTCATGAAAGAATTTTCCTTTCTGCAGCCTTTCAACCTCCTCCAAAAAGAGCCTGCAGAAGGATGAAGGTCTTCAGTCTCCAAGATGGGATTGATAAGGAGGGGTTCTTTAGAGAGTCGGAAGAGGCCCCGCAGGTCATTGAGATGATCAAGAAGGGGCAGTATCCGCTCATTGCAGATGTCAGGAAAGCAGGAAAGACGACGCTGAAACAGGAGGTCGTGGACCTGCTCCATGGACATTCAGTAGACACGATCAGGGGCGAAAGCGAAGTCAGGGTAATTGCAGTCACGCTCGGGTGGGGTTTGGAGATGCACGGACAGGTGATCCTCCAGCACCAGGATCTCAAATTCAGACTTGAACATCTACAACAAGGTTCCCCATCCTTGACTTCGTTTCAAAGGCTGAGAAAGATTCAGAGCTGGTGCGGCGATTGGGATCCTCTTGTAATCTCCTGAGCACTCGCCCCTCCTCATAGTGTTTGCTGCCCTGCTTTCGCTGATTGTGTAGACACGGCTGCCAGAGCACTTGGTAAACGATTGCTTGTTGTCATTGCAGGAGTCCGAAACAGCATTCTGGAAGTATGTGATCGATGATGTCGTTCAGAAATCTCAGGGGCTGCTGGTGCGACATCGAGACACGACAGATTCCGCTGCGGGGTTTGCGAGCCTCTTCCAGTGGGTCAGGCCGACTGATCCTTTGATTGTGCTGTGCGTCGATGAAGCCTCCGAGTTGGCAAAGGCCTCCCTCAGGAACCGTGCGAGCCTCATGCACTGCTTCCGGGACCTGCGCGAGGCCGCCACGCGCAGGCAGCACCGGCTTCTTTCAGTCGCTTTCTTTGGCACCTTCACGGTGCTGGGGATTGTTGACGAGCTTAATGAGGGAAGACCGGGGCCGTCTGGGTAAGGCTTTGGAAACCATGCCGTCTGGTCACTCTTGAACAGTTGACTAGCTCATTGCTCGGTCATAAAAGCAGAGCGTAAGCTTTTCTTTCGAAAATGGTTACGTCTTGGTGTCTTGGTATCCTGACCTGTGGCTGCTCAGTTACCAACACACTTCTCGTGCGCACATCCTGTCCTAGTTGAGTCAATTTGCTCCAGAAGGTGGTCTTTGCTATGTAGCAGAAGCAGCGGATGCTTCCAAGGGTCAAAAGTGCCTTGTCAATCGAGGTCGTCATTACTTGCGGTTTTGCCGATAATTGGTAGTCACCAGGTCTTTGATAAGATTTGAAGTGGTCATTATCATTATTGACTCGAACGACGCTTAAAAGTGGGTAGTGTCTTCTGAAGCCGAATTTCACTCCGCCTAGTTTCTCCTCCGTGTACGTCTGTTTTAAGTGGCTCAACGTCCAACCTGAGCCGATCTTCAATCTAAATTCTTCATTTGCAGCGCCATTTTCCGGACGTCACCGTTCCTGCTGGCAACAGGTCCTGAAGTGATCAGGGGCCTGAGGCGCTTTTCTGTTGAAGACGTCGTCCAGCTGCTGAAAGAATACGCCGAGCTGTGCAAAGAGGAGCTCGCGAAGAGGCCGGTTGCGCTGCATGACCTGCAGAGGATCGCAGAGTCCATCTTCGAGAAAACCAGGGGCCACAAGGGCCAGACCATTGCGTGCCTCATGGCGTTGCAGACCAAGCAACTTCTAGAAAAGAATCTAGACGGGCCCCTCGTCGTAGAGCAGTGGCTGCAGTACCTCAGGACAGACCTGCCTGCCTACATCGCTCAGTCTACTGTCTTTCGAGCCACAGTCCAGTGTGCTCTTCAAGCCACTCCAGCCCAGCTCGAGCTCCTCAGCTCCGTCCTCTATAATGGAACCGCAACTGTGCCGGCTGACCAGGTGCAAGAGATCGCAGAGCCGTTGCTAGCAGAAGGAGTTCTTGTGGAAGAAGCGCATGGGGAATCGAGCGAGTTTGGCTACCGGAGAGCGGCAGTCGCCCAGGCGAAGTCCCCGGTGACCCTCGCGCTCGCATCCCCACTGATCAGCAGCTGCATCTTCTCGAACATGGTGCGCGACGTGGTTGAGTGCGAGCCTGCCCCCGCAGAGTACTGAGTACATCGACTTCCTTGTGATTGAGGTAATGTGGCTTCGTTAGGAAAGCTTTTCCTTTGAATAATAATATTGAAGCTTCAATGTGTTGGGATCTTGTTCGTTCGCAGACAGTTCATAAGGTCAGATACGTCCAACCCTCCTTTGGTGTACATTTGCCCTCCCGGCGGGTCCAAGTTCTGTGGGACGGTGACTAGAACGCCGCAATGCAAAGTGCAGCTTCACAAATCAGGCGGTTGTTACGAAGTTGACTCGATTCAAGCATGAGCACCCAATCATGTCACTTTGTTTCGAACTTGCAGCAAGGCCAGTCAAGGCACCATTTTTAAAGCAAGTAGATTTCAAGTTGGCTCTTTCCATGACAATCGTCAGTAAAAGCGCACTGTACACCGAAATTCAAGATAAAGCCGACAGTTCTTGGCACAATCCGATCCAGTTTTTGGACCACACTCCTATCACCTGTCCAACCAGCAAATGTCCACTCTAGGCCGCATTGTTGAGTGCGCTGCATAACGGTTGTGCATGTGAATACCTTTGCGTCCATACACGAATCTTGACTCGTCAGGTGTTTTACAACCCTCTTTACGCCTTGCAGACGGTGCGCAACCTGAATTGGGCCACCATTGCATGTCACAAAGCAGCAAACGTGTCGGGGGACCCGTCGGAGTATGCACTGCAAGGCCAATTTTGGTTGATACTGAATCAGTTGCTCCGGAAGACCGAAAAGGTCCAATTCTTCAGGTATGAGAATTGGCCCATTCTTTCATCTTTTCCTTCGCCTGCACTTAACAGGGTGGGTGAGGAGTGTCGACCCTGCATATCTCTGCCAAGCTATCTCCTTGTGTTCTTTGTCTGGTTGGCCGTTGTTGAAGTGTAAGGTCTTCTTTTCGACCTCTTCGGTATGTATCTTCTTTTCAGTGCCCAGGAAGAGAATGGACAGGCCAAGAGGAAAAAGATGCTAAGGTGCTTGCCATTCGTTCTCAAGGATATTCTTTCCTTGAACTGTTTGACGTCACAAAGTGAAGTCGGTGTGTCTAGTATTTTCCCTAGTATCCCTCATTCAGCATGTAAAATATTCTTTCAGTGTTTGTTCATGCATCCTTTGCCTCTCCACAGCCTAGTCGCAGAGGCCAGGAACATAACGACTACTTTGGGGAACGTGCGGAGACGGATCGACTTCCTCTGCTGGCCCCTTCCACATCGGCTTGGGACTATCAGGCCCTTCGCGATTGAGCTGATTGCGTTTGCTGGGAGGGCCGACATCCTGGAGCACATGAGGCGTGGGTACCCGAAGTTGCACGCCGCTGACGTGGACGGACGAGTCGAGACGTGCCACACAGTGGTTGTCCACGTGTCAGCGGACTGGGCTGCCAAGAGGGGCGCCACAGACTACTTTGGGCCCCCCGAGGGTGTCGAGGACGTGCACGTCGTGCAAGTTCTCTTCAAAGAAAATGGGGCAAAGGCACGGATCGCATTCGAGGATAGGGAAAGGGATAGGGAGATTCCTGTAGCGGGTTTGCGCAAGGAGGCCAGAATGGTTCTTTCGAAGCTCACGACCCCTCCCAGCTCCACCCCCGGCACCCGACGGCCCTCTCTTCCCCAGCCCCGTTAAAAGAAGAAATCAATCAGTAGATGGACGGCAAGCTGGTCGTTCAGAAGCTTCTGGTTCCGCTTGGAGAATGCCGATTGAAATTAAGTGCTGCGGTCTGACATGTGCTCTCGCTTTGACAGCTTGTGTTTTGACTGCTGATATATGTTACATGCGGAATATATTCCAGATTTGCCGCGAGTCACAATTTTGTACGCAAGTGACACGAAGGGTTCTGTTTCTTGTTTGGAATACAGGCGCACTCAAATGTGGTTGGCAACCTTTACTGACAGAGTTTAAGGCCAGCGTACGGCTGCCCCTGGGCAGCTCCTCCAATAGTCATGCATGTGATTTTAGTGCCTGTTGTTGCATATCTCAAAACTTAGTTTGAAGTATGCACTCCGATCAAATGATTTCATCGCAAACACTAGTGATGCAAGTAATACTGAAATCATACTTAAGAATACCCTTGCTCACGGCTATAGTCGTTGGATTGTCTAGACTATTAGAAGGTACTTTTGTTCGACAACAATCTCACCAAACATACCGAACATTATGCGCTATGTCGGATTGTTAGGGCACAATTGTCCAAGGGTGTTTGAGCTATTAATAGCGCAAGCCGTCCAAGCTGTCCAAGGCATTATGTCAGAACAAGTGTGCAAAGGCGTCCGGAACTCCGGAAGTCGGCCCACGTTTGGGCTGGTGGCCGGTGGGGGCAACATCGAGAGGCAACTTTACCCCTACGTTGTATCGTGCATCAAGAGGGGAGGGGGGGGCTGGTGGCAAGTTTCATTTTTGGAGTTCCGGACGCCTCTGCACACATGTTTTGACACGATGCCCAAGGTTTCAAAAAAGTCGTCTTAACCCCCAAATCAATGACGTTGTCAACCATACCAACTGTTCGCGCTACATTGAGAGCGCAAGCCTGTACGGTCCAAAGTGGCCAAGCTGTTCAATTCTTTCGGGACATGTCACACATGCATTTCGACTGACAGTGGCATCGACTATACCAAACATTATGCGCTACAAACCTCTTCAAGGTAGCAAAGCTTTCCAAGCTTATGGAAGCACACTTCTCGCCCCTCACTCCAAAGACATAATCCCATGTACTATCATTAATGTGCTGTTGTTGATTGCGCACACTTGCAAGCTGTTGATAGTGCATACCAGAGTGTCCAAGCAGTTTGAGGGTTTGGGAAACGGTCGTCTTGACCTCCAAATCGATGACGTCATCAACCGTACCAAGCATTACGCGTTCGAATCGATAGTGCAAGAACACAAGGTGCCTAAGCATTCGACATGGGGTCGAAGGAAGGCTCCTCTGGATGACGTCAGCGGCCAATTTTAGCAGGAAAACACTCGGAGCCCGCCACGGCGCTCTCTCCTGGGCGAACCGGCGTGGTTGATGGTCTCAAGCCCGACATACCTTAACGTACCGTGACCCTTACCGCGCTGACGCAGGTCCCCAGCTGCCGTAACGTGAGTCTATGTCCTACCGGGCACCCGGAAAATCAGCCCCTTTAGCGTCGTAAGGGCACCATTACCACTCCGGACCGGCCTGTTCCCTCGAGCCTGAGACGGAAGCTGCCCCTTCTAGTCTCTAGCTTGACACTGCCAGCATGCCCGCAGGAAAGTGCTAGAGCGCCAAGTGGTTTAGGCTTGGGGTAAGTGATTGCGTCATGGCAGTTTTTTATACTCGGGAGTTGAAATCTAGCAAAAGCATGTCTCCGAAGGTGCTTGAGCTTTTGGGACCAATTAATCTTTGGGGCCGACCAATGCTTGCTCTGCTTCGAATTTTCGAGACTGTGGGTCTGCTGTGAGTTGGTTTGTGCTTCAGTTGCTGTGGGCAAACTGATTCCTCTCTTATGTGTGTTTGCAGCTGTGACCAGCGGAGCTAATGTGTGATAAGTAATGGCAAGAAGCCGGCCTTGTGGCAGGTCCAAGTCTGATCACAGGGTCTGCCAGGCTGCTCGCTATGCGTGCGCCGCAGAGTACAGGGACCGCATCACAATTAGTGCAGAAAGGCAGGAGTTTCTAATCGCTGCTGTCAATTCACGAAGCAATGACATTCCTGCCCCTCGCCGCCGGCGGTGCCAGCGGTCAGAGGGACTGAAACATGAGGGGCAGCCTGCTCGCAATGTTTGGCTAGGCCAGGGCTTCAGTGCTGCTGATCAGAAAGCAAGGCGTCAGGATGCGCGGGTGCTCCAAAAAGCTCTGAAGTGGACTGCAAATCGCGGTGAGCAAAGACAGTTCGTTTGCTTGTTTAGAAGTCAATTCCTCTTGTCAAGCAGAATGGAGGATCATCTTGATAGGCTTTTCAACAAACAAAAAGACACCAAGCCATCAAGCATACCACTGTTTCAGCAGGTAAAGATTGTTCATTAGAGCAATGGAGCGATAATCTCTCATCAACATCGACCAGCAGAATCTTTGATGGCATGGCTGGGGTGCGTAGGAGAGTGTACCAAGATTCGATCACTTGTTTCTGAGGATATCAATGGGTCAGATTTGGTACAACGCCAGAAATTCATGGCATGGCTGGGCGCACCTTGAAACACGAGGAGGGCGCCAGAAGTGTACCAAGAAATGGCCAGTTACTTGTTAAAGATATCAATAGGTCATTTCCTGGTACAGCATCAAAACTTGGTGGCATGGCTGGGCGTGCCCTAAAAGGTAAGAACAATGCCCAAGGTTGGAGGCATGGCTTGGGGTTTGCAAGATGTGTACCAGTTACTTCTTGAAGATATCAATGGGTTATTTCCTGGTACAGTGCCAGAAGTTGGTGGCATGGCTGGGCCAGCCTTGGGAGCATACCTGACTCGGACCGCTTATTGTCAATGGCACCAAAACTTCAAGATATCAAAAGACCATTTCTTTGTCCGGCGCCAAAAGTTGGTGGCATGGCCGGTCCCGTATGCAGGGTGTGGGCTGGAATTGGTCCTGTGCCTGCATGATCCCCAGAGTCTTCTTCTCTTTTCCAGACCCGCATGCCATTTACTGCCGCGAGTGCGACACTACCGCAGAGTATGGGCTCCGTGGGGGCAAGATGGGAGGGGCTCTCACCTACTTCTGCGAGAGCCACGGGCCATCAAAGGGATGTTTCAAGATCAACAGCGACTGTGCAGGTAAGAATCTTGAGTCACACACATCTCGATTGTGTTTGAGCAGCCCACGACCTGACCTTGAATCGTGCAGGTCTTTGCATGGTTTCAGGCCCGACAGGCCCTGCGCTGATTGCACCCTTTTCTAATTGCAGCATGGGTTCAGGGGAGCGACAAGGCGCGAAGGAAGGCCTGCCCTGAGCCCGAGCAGCATCAGAAGGGGCCCGGGCCATCTGCTGCTCCTCGGTCATGGACGGCGACAGTCGGTGAGCACCCAGAGCTGTCAGAATTGTCAGACAAGAACTGGACTTGACACTCTGCCAAGCTCCAAGTGTCGGACTGGTGGCCTTGCAAGGTGATTGTTCTGATTTGCAGCATCAGGAGGGGGTTTGAAGCCGCGCCCCAAAAGCAGTGTACCAAGGAAGAGCGTGTTAGTGGTACGTCAATTCGCAGCTCATCACGGACATGTACCAAGAAAGAATCTATTACTTCTTAAGAATCTAACTGGGCGTTTCTTGGTACACAGATTTTGTAGGGTATGGCCGTAGTAGAGTGCTTGCCCTTGACTTGAGGAACGAGTCCGAGGGTACCTGGCGGGTCGATTGCGACATTACCAGTGCAGCACTTCTGACCCATTGCGCGCCGCCTTTGCAGAGTCCGCGTGCGCTGACCGCGGCGCCCGCCACAGCCCCACAACCAGCCCTCATGCGACCGCCAGCAACTCCAGGTCGGACTGTGGTTTTGGCGCAGCCTGCCATCCGCACGCCGCCAGTGGCGATGCGCAGCCCGGGCAGCCTCTTGTCCGTGGTCGCGCAGAGGGCCTGCGCGCCCTTTCAAGCGGGAGCGCCAGGTTTGGGGTCCAGTCCGCCGCTGCCACAATGAGCGGGCTGGCAAGGAGCGCATCCCAAGGTGAGCGACTACCTTGAGTCTCATCTCGTATCGCAATTTGGCAGTGCTGGGGAAGTGTCACGTCTTTCCTTTCAGAGATGAGATTTCGGGTCAGATGCTTAGCCTTCCCGGATAGGAACTTGGCAGGTATGGCCGGGGGCCCTCAAACATGGTGTGAGACTTTGTAGAGTGCAGGGCCGTGTACCAGGAAAGTGTGTATTACTTCTTAGAAAACAAATGGGCGTTTTCGGGTACGCTTTCAAGTTGCAGGGTATGGCAGGGTGCTCTCAACATCCTTTGGGGTATGGCGGCCCCCCAAAAACGGCGCAATCCTTTGCAGAGTAAAGGGCTGTGTACCAGGAAACTCTGTATTACTTCTTAGAAAACAAATGGGCGTTTTCTGGTACGCTTTCAAGTTGCAGGGTATGGCCGGGTGCTCTCAACATCCTGTGGGGTATGGCGGCCCCCCAAAAACGGCGCAATCCTTGGAAGAGTAAAGGGCCGTGTACCAGGAAATGCTGTATTACTTTCTTT